GACGGTTTTCACCAACCGCACTTGCTGCCAACCTTACTACATCTAAGATAATTTTTCTCAAAAATTGCACACGATTAGCCTTAAAAATATGTAAAGAATCGCAACAGTGCATTCGGGTAAATTTCTCGTTACGATAAGCAAAGAAAACTACAATTTGAGTCATTTTGCATCACATTAATTTATGGCGTCCGCCATTTTTGGATCCTAAGGGCTCCATTCAGCCTAAGATGGCTCAGCCAATCAGAGGCGGTAACACCGGTGGCCATACTCTCTCAATATAGGTACTCTAATCGTTGGTGAAGACATTGACCTCCTTGTTCTAATGATAGCTTTGACGCCTGCATCAAGCGACGTCCTATTACTCAAACCAGGTAAGGGCAAATATGCAGCCCAAATTTTTAGCTCAAATCAATTGCGAACATCGAATGTAAATTTGAAGAAAAGCATTCTGTTTATCCATGTCGTCAGTGGATGTGATACTACTTCAGCATTTCGTGGCAAGGGCAAAGGCAAATTTATTAAACTGTTGGAAAAATGTGGCGAAGTCTCTTGTATTGCTGAGAAATTTGATGAAACCGACTGCACTCAAGATGAGCTTTGTCAAGCGGGTGAGCAACTCGTTCTTTTGCTGTATGGTGCTGAAAAATCAGTTACTGCTTTGAACAAATGCAGATTTCAATGTTTTAATCGTGCTTTGGCAAGGCAAAAACTGAGGTGAAACTGCAAACGTTGCCTCCAACTTCAGATGCGTGCAAACAACACTTCTTACGTGTATATTATCAAGTTCAACTCTGGAGAGGAAGAAAACGGAATCCCAAAGAATGGGGGTGGAAATCTTCGGAACTCAGGCTTCTCCTTGTGCCTATGCTCAACCCGCCTGACCCCCCCCCCAAAGAACTTTTACACATCATCTCATGTACATGTTCGAAAGGCTGTAGTAACCGCTGCTCTTGTAAGAGAGCTGGTCTACCATGCAGTGACATTTGTCTACATTGTTCCGGCTTGGGATGCAGCAATCAAGCAGAAACACTGATCGAAGAGGAAGCAGAGGATGAATTTAAACTCCCTCTTTCTATATTTTGTATTAATTCATTTCCTTTTAGTTACTTTGAAAAAGGAGGATTTGTTGTTTGACAAATTTAATTTGAATAAGAAAGCATAAAATAATAACATTATCTTCAAGCGCGACCGTTGACATTTGTTAACTATACAACATGCATGACCTAAAGGGGGAGGGGGGGGGGTTCATGATGAAAGGAAATTAGCACATATTTAAATGGATAATATGACTTACCCTCGCGGTAAATCTACCAAAAAAGTGAAGCCGTTTCATCTTGGACCGCAACAATGCATGGCGCGGCCAAGCCGAGCCTCACCGCGTAGTAGCCGCCGTTGGTTCGGACCGCATAGCGCTCCGGGGGCGGACCCCCTAGTGAATTCATAAGCATTTTTAGCATGGAAATTTCATGCTCTTTCATTCCGGTGAGAACACTTTTTTGCCTCAGACTCGCCGTTTTTAAGATAATTACAGATTTTGTTGAAAAAACGTGATTTCTCGCAAGATTTGACTTTCCTAGCCGCAGGAAACTACCGCCATATCTCACGAACCAGAAGTCGCAACTTGATAAATGTATAGTGTTTCTAATAGGAAATTTTATGATCTTTTTAAAAGGTTCAGTGACATTTTTCCGTAGGATCGATATTTTTCAAGATATAAGCTAAAAACCGGTCGCCGGCGGCGTATTTTGGCCCCCCGCCCCCCCTTTTTCCAAGATGGCGGCCTTAGCGGACGGCCGATTTTGGTAAACTTTTGATATGTTGTTCTGGTAGCCTAATGCAACATGTTTTCGCAAAAAAACCTTCTATATATGGATTTTCCCAGATGACCCTTATTTAGAGCTAAATTGACTGGACTATCAGTCGAGTTAAGAGGAACTAAACACGCAATTTGGCCTGGAGTTCAGCGCAGAGGGGAATGATGACGAGGACTTGAAATGAAAAAGACAAGCCCTCGGCGCGGCGCGGCAGTCGGCATGTAACACATATTAGCGCCTACAAGACTGCATGAATACTTCACGCATTACGTCAAAGACAGTGCGGTCGGCGGGAAACGCATAGCGCCTACAAGACTGCATGAATACTTCACCCATTGCGCCAAACACAGTGCGATCAGCGCGGCGCAGGCGCAGCAGCGGTGGCGGAAGTTAAGATCATTTAACCACATTTATGTTTGTTCTTTCAAAATTTTTTGGTTCATTTCTTATAAATGGAGGACTTTTTCCACACAGAGACAGGTTTATTGAACTTAACTTTCGCGCAAAGTTCCGTGAAATTTTGCTAGTAGTGTTGACAGGGCTTTCGTAAAAAATGTATCCAACACAAGTATAGGTAAACCCATTTTATGCACCCTTCCCCTCCCCCTCCGGCACGTTCACTTGATGGTTTTTATTGATGTTTCAAAACAAATGAGAAGGGGGCGGCAAAATACAGGCGACCCATGGGCGGCAAGTGGGTAAATCCGGCCCTGATAAAATCATAAAAGTAAGTAAAGTAACAAGTACCTAATGCATATTGAAGCCCGAATCCCGACGCCCTCAGGAGGGTTGGACCGCCCAGTGGTCAGGGGGTGTAGTTCCTTAATACTTTTCATTTCGGGCGTGGCTGAATAAAAGTGACTCGGATCAGGAGTAAAATAATTACATGTACCTTCAAATAATATTGGTTGGGAAGAACCGATTGGCTAGAGTAAAAAAAAATGTGACTCCATTGCAACGTTTAAAAATCTTCAATATGGGTGTTATTTTTAGACAAGAACGAGCAAAAATTTCTCCGTAAATTTAATGGAAAAGGGAGGGAAAACAATTCATAGGAATTTCCAAGGAAAACTATTGGTTGATTCTCTTGCAAAAGAAATAAATAAAATATGAGCGAGATTCACAACGCCGCAATATGGAAGATGCGCATAGTTCGACTGTGGTCATCGATGAGAATCTTAACTTTTCAAATTGTTTTCTGGGTAGGTATACCTACTTTTTTGTCTTATTTGTTAAATTTTTTGTGCCGTGTGGAAAATACATATGTACGTTCAAACAGGTATGCTATCATTTTCAGTCATTCCGGGTTTCTCCTATTCGCCTTCAACTGATAACATAGGCAATAACAGCTGCTCGGAGCCGCAGGTAAATAGTCGCTTTCGCATTTTTCACTAATGGAAAGACACGCGCATCTGGAGAGTCAACTCCCGAAGTGGCGGTGCACAGTGGATCGAGTCAATAGGAGAGGTCGGACAAAATTTTGAAACATTAAAAGCTTATAACTCCGTTTATACAGACCTTCAATGTTCTAAAAGTGGTTCCATTGGTTTCCTTGTGAAAATTTCTTCACAAGGGTGCAGGGTTGTATTTGGGCCTCGTTTTTTAACTTTCGTCCCAAATCCGAGAAAAACCCCATTGGCAGCATAGTGCGGAGTATTGCGAGTTCACGCCTCGCGCCATCGCGCCTTCAATTTTGCAGATGCAACACGGACATCCATCAAGCACGAATAGTTGTATCTCTGCGCCGTCATCTACGCGCATCTTTTCTTGTGCTCTATTTTCATATTATGTTTTTTTCGTTTGCCGTATCCCCTGTAAAATTACCCGTGGAGTTCGATTTTCTGGTCTAAAATGCTCCACGAGTGCCGCATGGTTCACGATGTGATTAAGGAAGGTTTGAGGACATCCTTGGCACCAGTTTCATAAAAAGGACGAAATGAATCTTGCGTAAAATTCAACATTATAATATAACATTGAAAATAGCCCCTTGCGAACAAGGGATTCCAATAATTTGCCTCAATAAAAAATAAAAATACCGGTTATGATTTGTGAGTTTGTCAAAATTATAGAATTCTTTCCTGCGTAGGTATTTTTATTTTTTGTCGTGTTAGATCATCTTAAAAGCTTGTAAGGGCTCATAAAGTTAAAATGTTGAAATTTACTCGAAATACGTGAAAATTGTTCTTTTCATAATGCTACGTTAAGAATCTGCTCCGTTAAACCTTCCTTAATTACAACATCAATTATACTAAGAGTAAATAAATTACAAGAAAGGAGCTCTTCAAAGAAACAACTATAAATACAGCCCTTGAAAACGGGTGAAAATGTTTAAACACTGCAGTTGAGATACATGTCTCACAAGCCTTTCATCGATGAGTTTTAACAGTATGAAGAGCTACCTTTGGATACAAACTAGAAAGAGACGAGGACAAGTACTTATAAGTTCTACCAGTAGAATCAGTTTAACTGCATGTCATACTACCAAATTTTCTCTTTTATTTTATTTTTTTACGAGGGTGCTAAACAAAATAATACCATGATAATCTTAGTAAACTTTTCTTCAAGCATAGGTAAAGAATATAGTTGCAAAATTTAAAAGCGAAATGTCGCTCTCTTTTCTTGAGAAAGAATTAAACAAGAGATATTGGGTGACGTCTGGGGAAGCTAGGCCAATTTCGGTTGATGCCATCGATACAAGAACTTCCATATACTTTTTCAGCACTCAAATATAGAATATATTGGATAAAAGTTACTGCGTTATATCTTTCTATTTCCCTAATTTTTACTCTCCCCTTTTTTGAAAAGCATATGACATGAACAACGTTGAGTCCATTTCAGTTGAATTCATATTTTACATCTGCTCACACGGACACAGTAACTGCCACTTGCGCGTGCAGGTGGACTGAAAGGGTAAACTTGCCTAAGACAGCGGTGATTCTTGAGAGTTGGCAACACTGTTTCCCCTCCATTTAAATGTATGTAAAACAATCGATTCTTGGTGAGGCAGCTTGCCTCACCATGAATCGTTATTTTTAATGGATTTAAATGCAGGAAAAACAGTGATGCCAACTTGCAAAATCGCCACTGGCCTAAGACAAGGTCTAACGGTGCTATTTTTTGATGCAAGTGAAAAAAAGACAAAGTAAGGGTTCATTGATTGATAAGGTTAAGAGAGAAAATAACTTGTTTCCAAAATAAAATTTTGTTTTATTAATCAATTAAAATAAATCATAAGGTTATTTATGCTTTCACATTAAAATCGACTGCATGAAAGAGAGAAAACGTAAATGAAAGGAATAAATAGATTGAAATTGATTTTCATTAGGGGAGTGGAAATTAGCAACTTTTCCGTTATCAATAAACTCCGCTATAATGTTAATCATGAAAAGTTTGTGAAAGATCTTTGAGATCAAAGATAAGGAGAGGAAAATTTGAAAATAGTTGGCAGCAATTTTAATTTTCTTTCTTTTCACAATCATTTTGAGGGTAAAACTCTTTTAATCATTTCGCCTTGGATATTCATATTAGTTCTTCTGTTTAAACCAATGATCAAGTTTCAAAATAATTTATTCTTTCTCGTCATTTTAAAAAAACAAAAAGAAATTGCTAAAATATAACATATTAAAAAAACTAAAATTGAACATCCACATGTTAAGAAAGAAATGACACTGCCATTTTCCTTGAATAAAAATATTAAAAAAGAATGAAAAAAGGCTTACCAGAGAGAGAAAAAAAATCACATTAAAAAAGATGTTCAAATCACTGGATTTAGGAATCAAGAACTAAGGTTCATGGCTAAATGTGGTTTGAAATTGAGCTGACATGAATATGCACTGCGCAAAAATAAAAGAGATAACAGATTAAAATCAAAAGACTCGTCGTGGTAGGATAAACAATAATATTTACAAGCCTAAATAATAATATTTACACACATTGAAAATGAGACAACAAAATCAACATTATTACATTAATTACAAATGCCCTCAGTAGAGGGACTTTCAATGACGACAAATGATTAAAATTTTCTTCGCTTCAACAATGAAAATGAAATAAATGAAGATTACTAAACAAGTTAATCTTTACAATTTTTACAATAGTGACCTAATTACTTTGAATTTTTTATTTCACTCGAACTTAAATCCATTAGTAAACATGAGAGGGGTTCTCGACAAAATTCATAAAAGTTGTGGATGCAAGTTATGGTTCTTGCAATTGCAAGAAAAGAATGACTCCTGACCTGAATATCTTAGAACTGGCTTTCCTTCGGTTAAGAAAATTTATTAACTTAAAATGATGAAACATCTCGGAAAAGTCATTTAGTAAAAATAATTTTCACTGAAAATCCGAAAATCTGAAGAGGGAAAGGAAGGAAAAATAATGGGCAGTTTTGGGTAGAACGAAATATAAAATAAGATGTGACACAACTTGATTCCACAACAATCGCAAGGTGTCTTCCTTTCAATAGAAGAAATTGAGAAAAAGTGTACACTTCTTTAAAAAAATAAAGTATAAAAATAAAGATATGAATAACCACAATTTTTTAAGTGGTAAACTTGACTGGTAATAATTTTAACTTTTTCAAAAAAATTAAGAGTACAGCTTAATTATGGTTTCCCTTACTGCTTAAACAAACATCTGTGGCAGATGATGGTACATTGACAAGTTCCTGTGAGACAGGAAGAGAGGAAAAAAGACTGGGGAATGAAAAGAACTAGACTTTGATTATGAATTATTTATCATTTTGAGATTGAACATGAAAAGAAAGTTTGTCTCCTTTAAAAAACCTTAAAAATCAACGAAATCATTTGGACAGATGAAGGCTGATAGAATTTTACTGCCGAAGCTTTCTCTATTCATTCCTAAAGGCAGAGTTTGATTTACAAAAACCTTTGGGCTCGAATCGGAAACTTAATTTAAGCAATAAATAAAACAAGATACATCATTTTTATCTAAATTTGTGTTGATGAGAGAGAGCTGATATTATAGAGCTTCAAAAATCGATAATTTCACCAATTTAATGGTACTCACTAAAGTTGATGCCTGCATACTTGATCACAACTCAATAACAGTTAAATCCAAAACATTCCAATTCAAGGTCTGACAAAAAAAAAAAGGATTCAAATGAACTCAATGGTTTGCATGAAAACAAGACAGAAATTAAAAAGCATCAAGAACGAAAAAATTTAGTACACTCCTTTACAGAGAAAAATTAGGGTTTAATGGTAGATTCAAATAAAAAAAACGACAGAAGTGTATTGTAACTGCAAATGAAACAACAGAGGAGACCAGATACAAATACGAAAATTAAGAAGCCCTCTTATTTACGACTTCTTTCACTGGCATGTTCCTGGACATGCTGACTAAGATCATGTTACGTACTAGTTACGTAGGAAAAAAAAAACTGTTTAATAAATGCGAATAATGAGAGAAAAAAGAATCAAGTTTTCATGCAAGATACAAAATAAATCGCACGTATTTTTTCACTGAAATAGAAAATAGGTATTCTATGAGCTGCTACGGAAAGCAATTGAGTATAAAGAGAAAATAAACAAATATTCACAGATTTTTTTACTCTTAAAAACTGAAAATATCTTAAGAGGTAAAACAAATGAGCAAAGTATAATTCAGACAGAGAAGAACACTTTAAAGAAGAAAGAGGGAGGGCTTTTTTCAACATTGATGCAAAAAATCAAGTGACTTTAAAACTATGTTTTAGAGTTATGAGAAGAATGGAGTACGGAGGGGCCAAAAACATTCCTTTACAAATGTTGCTTTGAACAAGAAAAAAAAAATAGTCCGACTTCATTTGATTACCATCACCATCTCAGAGGATTTTGCTTTTAAGGAATAGCACGTCAAAAATTAAAAGACTAAAATCAACACTCGTACCACGTATAGAGATTTCATGGACTCATTCGATATCACAGTTTTCCACGGGGGTCATTAACAAATTTCTACATACTTCTCTGTTCTTCTGCTATGAGCACTAGAACTCCTTAACAGCTAGATAATGACACAATTTGCAATTTTTTATTCTGAGAGGTTAGGTATGAGAACCAAGATAAGTTAAAAAAAGGTACCTGCTTTTAGATAAACCAATTTCCAATAATGTACAACAAGGGCTACTTGAAAAATGCAAAAACAAGTCACAGTTTTTAAAAAACGGCGAAAATACATCACAATTAATATTCCGATTGCATCAAAATAACAAAAGATTGGGTCAGGAGAGCCCATTACTACATTTAAGATATGCTATTTCTTTACACACTGTTAAATTGATTCTTCAACATTGTAGTTCCATCTGGATGGAGATTAACAGCAAGTTTGAAAAAAGGAAAGAAAAAGAAAAAGTATTACATTACACAATGATTCAGGAGAGATAGAAATGAAGTAGTTCTGGAACACTCAAAATACCATATAAGTAGCAAAATGGAATGAGTTCCATTAAGACTGGAAACTATTTTCTCTATTTCTGGTCAAAAAATTACCCTAAAATCTGCATAAGTCTAACAGGTTTCAAGTAAGGAACAGAAAACAGAAGAATTGAATAAAAAAAAAGATTGCCAAATGAAATCTCCTAATACATTCCTTGTATCCAGGAGCTCTGCGACACTGAATCGAATACTGAGGCAGATGACAAGCAAAGGTTTAGCCGCATGAAAGAATGTAGAAGTTTCCTTTGATTTTGAGGGATGTCTGACTTCTATATAGATATAGAAACTTTTCTGCAGTGAGAAAGGAAAGACTCCCAGTAAAAGGGACTTTTAATAAACTTGATTCCTTGTAGCAAAAATGAGACAAAGAGAAATCGACAAAAACAAAAAAAAAGACCTCCTGGAAAATTCTTGGGTTTCATATTTTGAAAAGGATGAATGAAATGATTCAATAGCTTAAAAAAGCGTCCGAAGAGATGTATATTAATCCAGGGAAGATTTGAATTTCAATTGAATGAAAATCTGGGGGGAAAATTTAAAATGAGAAGTTTAAATAAAATCGTACTAATTAACCAATCTAGTTATAAAAAATTTAGAAGATTTCTTAATAATTTCAATGCTAAAAGAAAGTAAGAAGGAGGAAATTATTAACACTTTGAGACAAATCAATAGCAATTTGCATTTGTCGGTATGGACTGGAGGATGAACGATCTCATTTATAAGGTGAAAGAAGGCAAAAATTTCAAAATGAAAGTTCTGTATGAAATAATAATGATGATAAAATGAAACTTCAACATATGAGAGAAAAGAACTGAATTGATTCCCATAGCATTTCAACTGGTTCTGATACTTACAGTCAGTATCGTACCTCACAAATAATTCTATAATAACCTGGATGGGTCTACCTTGAACTATCTCAAAATGCATGAGAAACTGAAATTAATGTCCCAAATTGTGATAAAAATTTAGTTAAAATGCATTAGGACATTTTGCAGTACTTACATGCAGTCATTTTTTTTCAACGATTTCAAACTAACCAAAAAGAATAGAGAGGCATCCCCTTGAAGCTTTAATCAATTTCAGAGGATAATCAACACTTCAAAACCTCATCTTCGGAATCAGACTGCTGTTGCCACAGAAGAAAATTTTAATCGTAACCCAAAAAGATATTAGCACAAAACTAGATTCTTACCAAAGGAGCCTGACTTACTAAGCAGCATTTAAGAAGCGAGGCAACATTGCAGCAAGAAAAAAATTCAAGTAAAACTAGAAAAATCTACTGACCATTGACTCCTTCTTAAGAGAAAAAGAAAACGAATTTACATCATAACTCCTGGAGAGATCATCTTGAAAAAAAGAAGCCGACAATCTTTTGCAACCAATGAATTTAACGGTTTACCGTTTTATGCTACAGTTAAAATTGCATCTACGAGCTCCTTAAAAATATTTCTCTTGTTTGAATGAAAGAATATACATGCTATGTGAGTAAATCAGACTCCTTTCAGACTAAACCGAAGGAGACATACTTCAATCTCAAGTTACAATATTACATTACCTAAGAGATAAGCGATTGATGCTGACCATTTGGATCAACAAAAAGCATCAAATAACTGAATGTGGTTATTTGTTACCTTTGAAAACAGTTATTCTGTTTTGAGTTGCATGTTTTTCATTGAACTTAGGAGGCAAAAATACGAGTTAAAAGGTTGAGCCGACTGGATTGGTTGTATCCTTAACAAATTAACCGAGAACATGAGTCCTGAGGGAATTCAACAAAGTTTGTCATGGGACATGAATTCTCAAAAGATTTAAAGTTAATTTTTACCAAAGCTTATTAAATATGTTCCTCCCAGCTCCGAAAAGAATACATAGTTATGAGTGAAAAAATGAATGTGAGATATTTCTACTCATTCTTAGTGCTCTATGATCTAGACGTGCTCAATCAAAAATGATTTTAACGGGGAGAGAAATAGATAGAAATCTCACATCTTCAATATTTCTCTGAAGAAATGCACTCTCCAAATTTTAGGAAAGTCAGAGATAAATTAGGTAGGTGGGGAGAGTTTAATTTGTATTTAAGCATGAAAACTAAAGTATTTCTCTTTTTTCACAGCATAATACAGCACTATCGACTATCCTTCTTGCCTTTTGACTTGAAATTTTTGGAACCTAAGAAACTATTAAACTTTGTTTATGGTAGGGCAACATTTCATATTAGTTGTAATGCTTTAAAGTCTAGCGTTTGCAAATGAAGAAAAATAAAAATTAAGACTGCTGAAGCGTCTTTAAGTTAGAACTGACAGCTGAGAAATTCTAAAGAAAGGTTCAAGATCAGTTAAAAAAAAAAAAAAAAAAAAAAAAAAAAAAAAGGTAAAAAAAAACTGTATTAAACGTTACGGTTTCCAGAGATTCCTGTTTTTTAGGTTCACCTTTTCTGTTAATCTGTTAAGAAAGAAGGGAAAAAAATTATGAAAATCCATCGCTGAACACTTCATCACAGCAAAAAGCCAAGTCTTTACCAAACCACCTGAATAGGTGATTTGGCCTTCTCAGCTGTCAAATTCTCGAGAACACAAATTAACTCTGTAGGAAACTGTTTTGATAATATATTGCTGGGTAAAATCTTTAAGATCTGTATATTTAGGACTGTGAAAAACTCAGGCACTTTAATAGCATTTCAAAAGTATGTGCATGTACGGAAATCTTGAATAGAATTTCGTGAAGAGCTGGTTTTGGCAGTTTTGTGTTTTTTTTTTAAAAAAAAAAAAAAACAAGGTAGAATTGTTTTGTCACAGCAAAAAAAGACCAGCGAGGTGATCCTAATCCCTGTTTCTTAGAGGTGAAAAAATTGGACTTCATTTTGCAATTAGGAACGACAATTTCTGGAGCATCTGTAAAAACACTTATGAGCGTAGGGAACATACCCTGTTTTTAAAGTCAGACAGAAATCGTAATTCCTCAATTCTAAATGTGGTCCAATTGATTCTCAATGTTTTCATTCTTTGTCTGAACAAGCAAAAATATTTTGAGTCTCTGCACAAGTGGTTTGTTAAGTAATATTTTTGGTTACCTCATAATTATGCTGCTGTTTCATAATTACTGAAGCTGTGTGTACATTGAAATGAAGTAAGAAACCTAATTGGGTTTGTTAGGTGTCTAAATGCTTTCTTCCGCTAAGAAATTTATCAGTTTAAGAACTCATCGGAATTTTATCATTGCTAAAAGGAGTTGGTGTTACTGAAATCAAAATAGGGCATTTGCCTGTTGAGATAGTAATTTTCTAAATATTTTCAGTTTTTGTGTTAGCGATTAAATAAAATTAAAAATGTACTGACGTAAAAAAAAATATCCTTGCATAAACTTAGTAACGTTCCTCAAATGACATTCGCCTCAAAATTTTGGTTAGGGTTCTACAAATAAACCACAATTGACTGACTGAACACACGATTGAAAAATAGAGAAACAGAATTATTATTATTTCTTTTTTTCAATTGAAAAAATACCGTATGGGAAGAAAATAAATAAATATCAATGTACACAATTCAAATCAGTCCCTGTGGGATACATATCTGTTATTACATTGTTACTACGATAAAAATACCTATCACTTTTGTAGAATTCTTTCAACATAGAATCAAAAATATCTGGGTTTAATAAGAGCAAAAGTTATGGGAACGGTTAAAAAGTAATTTTGGTAGAGACTTCAGGAAATCCAAATAGGAAATTTTTTGAACAAATATATTAAAATAGATTCTCGCAAAGATGTTCACCAATTGAAGAATACGAGAGTAACTAAACAAAATAGAAAAGGACAAATTTCGAGGGTGTATAGATTCTTATAAAAATGATATGCCTGTCAGAGTGATGGGCATTCAAATATTGAGGGGGAAATTCTACTTAAGAAGTCTCCACTTAAAATTGTGGGCGTTCAAAATGAGACAAAGCTATCACTTAAAAGCAACTGATATCTTCTCATTTTGATGGTCCCACTCAAGATGAGTCAATTCTCTATTTTCCAGCAATACAAATCAACACATTTCCTAATACAGAGAGGACTTACAACTAGCAAATAGTCAAACCGTTGTGAGACAGAGAGAAAATAAAGATCTTACTATCTTTTCACTAGGGTGTCTACAGGTTCCAAGGAAAGATGTCCGACCTTTCAATAGAATAATCTACCAATAGCTGGAAAAAATTGAAAAGGGAGGAATTTAAATTACTAATTTTAAAAACAATATTAGAGCTTCTAGATAATTTTGACAGTTCAGGAAATTCTGAGATTGGAAAAATCGGGCAAGAGAAAAAATTCTGGACTATTTTTGTGGAATTTCGTAAAATTTGTACGTTTCCTTCCTGCTGGACTGAGTTTTCCAGCCCTGTAGACACCCTGGTTGTTAATTAAGAGTTGGTGAGCATTTTTAGATAAATGGGTACACATTTTCAGAAATTAAACAATTTTAATTTTTCTCATGAGGGTGAAATTTAAAAATATTCCACTCAACTACTGTAAGAGTAAATCGAACAGTTTTTCCATTACTACAGTTTCAATCGCAAGAGCCGATTTCTGTTGAATCATGTTTGAAAAAAGATGGAATTAACAACTTATCTTTCACATTCTAGGAATTAAGACTAACTTCTCAAATCTTAAGGCAAGCTCTCAGCGCCTGGTTTGTAAGTGATGCCTGAACACTTGGACTTGATTTCAGTTTGAAGTAAATTAGGCATTATGCTTTTACAGTCTGAATTGTTCCTAAAGACATCTGGTGTGTATGATGTTCTACAGTTCTTTAGAAGACAAGCTCACAGAGTTTATCCTACTTTGATTCCAATAGTTTAGGAATTCAGGATTTAACAGGCTCAACTGGTGTAGACTTTAGCAGAGAACAAAATGGTAGCCCCAGTGTCATCAAAAATCCTACTCCTCACAGCTCATCAGTTCTCAAAGATGAAGCCACAATGGCTGGCAATTATTGAGCTACAAGAAAGTCCTTATCTAAAACTTTCGTTAAATAATACATCAGCAGGGTTGCCATTTGGCATGAAATCTCCAAAGATCGAGTTAGTGATTTAAAGCTCAAACCTCAGCAATCCTACTCATGTATTATACTCTATTTCTACCCATATAAAACGTGGTAGATAATAGAGATTAACTCTTCCATAATTCTTTTTGGTGTTCATTAAACCTTTAACTGTTAAGGCTTGGACTTGGAAATAAATTTATAACAAAACCAAGAGCATCATGTCATTCATTGCTCAATTGTACAAGGGATTATTTAGGTACTTATATCCAAGGATCTTCAAAGGATGCAAATGAATTGAGTGATGAATAATGATCACAACAACGTAATAGAACTGTCTTAACCCATTGCTTGATACAATGGCATGAGGAATTAAGTGACTGGAATGCATCAACACATTTAAGATTATGATACTTGATCAAAAGGAGTTTTAAACTTGCCTTACAGTTTTAGAATTATCAGATTTCATTTCACTCATGATTTACTATTTTCGTACTTCAATTGAGAATTTACTCACATATTCTACATTTTTCTCTCTGTCATTTGGTCAAACCATGTGAACAGAAACATATTTCTCCTCCACAATACATTTTTTCCCTTTTTTTTTTTTTTTTTTTTTTTTTGGCTTTTTTGCTTTTATTGGAGCTACTATGGAAGCTACAAGTAACTATTTTAGTAGCATTTTTGGATTTCTTTTTAACAGACCCAAAATGAAACAGGGAGGGTCAGAAAAAAAAGACACATGAACTGATTTAACTGAAATCGGCTTAGTCATTAAAATTACGTAACTTTACATACACATATACACAATTTATATGCACTTTCTTCTTGACACTTTATGTTACAAATCCAACAAGTAGCGGTTCATTGGAATGATGTTAGGTTGTCCATTGCTGCGCACAAAGGGCATGCGACGTCACAAGAAAATTAACCACAATTCTCTTCATCATAACTCATAGGTTAAAAAATTTAAGTACACAACCAACATCAAACACTAGAAACAATCCATCCAAGAGAACTTGCGGAGAGCTTCATCACCATTTCATCTGTAATATGACCGAAAAATGTATTAGTTACAGACACATGAGCTTTGAGGATGTTATTGAGTTAGATGAAAGACTAAGGAGACGAAGATTGAACACAAAGCCGAGAAAATTGAACAGGGTGGATCACATTCCTACATAAAGTCCAAATCCGAAAAATGTTAAAACACTAGAAACTACATATTCAAAACTTGTTTTAACTAAGATTGTGGTAAAAACCCAAAATAAAGTTACATTACCTACTAGTTTTTTTCAGGGATTTTAGGTTAAACGAGGGGTTGTCAGTATGAACTCAGATGCAATATTTCTATAAAGTTTATTTTACAGCTAGTTTCAGTCAAAATTACTTTAGACATGAAAGCATTGGTAAAAACTGAAAACTTTATCTACTTTGAATGCCATGATTACCTCATCCTGTTGCCATGAGTAAATATTAGTAAGTAAGTAAATCATTACGTTCCAGTGAAATTCTGATGGAAAGTTATGTATCTTGACTGTGCAATATTATTGTCGTTTGAAGTGAATATTTTTGTGGTTTTGTAATAAATAAGATTGTTTGTTCATAACTGTTGTACGTACTGCGTCCATGTTGCATTGGTATTCGAGGTGGTTCATTTATTCATTTTTGTTTAGGTACATCAACTAGGGCACTCTGTTCAAGTCCTTTATTAAATACAAAGAACACAGGCTTTTTTCTTTTTTTTTTATCATGGGTTGATGCTGCATATGATGTCATGAGCTTCCAGCTAATAAGAAACGTTTTAAAATAACTTTAGCTTTAAGCCTCTTTTTATCAGTCAAAAAGGCAGTTTTGTGCTTTTTAATGAAATTGTAATTTAAGGAGGATTAAGAATGTTGCGGATTACACAATTATTACCGATAGGTTTCATTTGAACTTCATGAGAGTTTTTGTTTTGTGAGAAAGTTGAAACCTCCTGTTAAAAAGAGAGAAGAAAAAGAAAAAAAAGGGGGCTTTGCAGAGTCTTGATACCTCACAAAAGATGTTAAGAATGCTTGACATCCGGATATTCACCCAAGAAGGCTGAGATATGTTAGTACAGTGGAATGTAGACACATATTGATTGTCAAAAGGGAAATTAGGAAGGCTTTCATGGATCAACAAACAATATGTGACAAATACAGGAAAACTAAGGAAAATAAAGAGAGAGATAGAAGAGAAGAAAAGAAATACCACAACATCAGAAAAAAATTCAAAAGACTTACATTACAGGACACCTTAACAGTTGCCTCTTGACTTTATCGCTGCGTCCGCCTTACGGCTTTCTTTATACGCCTCCCTGAAGCTGCAGCAGCACCTGTTGGTGTTGCTCTGAAACACAAAAAGGAATGAAGAGATATTTTTGACATATAAAATGCATGCATACTTTTTTTAGCGCTCCAGAAAAAATGCATAACCTCAAAAGAGCCTGGAAACCTGATGAACTAGGTAAGAACAGAAAAATGGCAGGCAAAAATATGAGTTTCTCTTCTCCCTTATTTCTCAAAATTTTTCTATCACAGGCTCAGAAAAGACTGAAAATAGTCCTAGATCCACAACTCCTTGACAAAACAAAAAAGCCAAAACATGCCTCACACCCCTGAGAGTCTACTAAAATTTCATTTTGGATTTTCCTGATATTTCGAATACAATTTCCCAACTTTTAGCGCAAATAAATTGACACATTTTTGATTTTGGAAAATAATCATATTTGATAAATTGGATCAAATGTTTCACTTTGGCATGCACTGAACTACATGTAGTTAAAAAATGATTGATGCACACAGAATTTTTTGATCCATGGCCGATTTCCATGATAATATCAATTGTCCTTATATTTTCTGGTTTTTCTGGCTGTTACTGCCACTGACACCCTCTGAAGTTACAGGACTCGCAAAGCATTTTTTTTTATAACCATAGTGGACTTATTTAGTGACTGTCATTTGATATAATATAAAGCCCTTGGTTCAAATGTAAACGAACACAGAACCTTGTTTCAGATTCGCGCCCTTTGCGCCATGGTGGTAAAATGCGTACAAGTGTTTCTTACAATCAAAAGTTCTCCTGTTTAATGAGTCTTCATTTGATTTATGACTGGTCAATGACTAAAATTTGATAAATTAACGCAATTAACTCATGAAGAATTCGTACGTGAGGTTATGTTCATTTGTTTTGGTTTGGACCAAGAGTCCAATATTATATCGAATGATGTAACATTTAAATCAGTCTATCGACTTCTTTCTTCAGATTTGTTCCCAAAAAATCTTACGAGAGGCTTAACATTTACTCTTTTTTTAACTCTTCAGCGATGAAACAGAAAAGTGGAGAGGACACTTTCGAACCCAACTTATGGGATCCACTGAACATCTGAAATAAGATAATGAGCGCATCAAGATTATGAGAAAATAAATTGAATACATACGAGAAGGATGGTGGAGCTCCACCGGTGAAATTGAAAGTTGATGGAACGTGAACGTTGAATGTCGGTGTGGCATTAGTCGCTTGAGCGCCAAAGACAGGAGATGGGGCAGCATTGGCATTCTAAATAAAAGAACAAACATCAAAATTAAGGAAGAAAGCGAAAAGGACAGCAATGTTCCGAGACCATTCACTTGATTTAGCAAATATTTTGGGTATTGATTTACAAACCACAAGCAAAATTATACACCAAAATATTATTTTCCTTCAACAATAATGAAAAAGTCAAAGCAGCTTGTAAAAATTTTGGTGAGAGTTGGCGGTTGACACACAATGACGCAAATAAAAACATGCAGTAATTAACAGGTTGGTCTAACTCGGGAAAGGCATGTTGCGATATGCAATGATATCATTTTAAGAGCTAAGTATGCCCTTGTTTTTCTTTCTCCAGAAAGAAATACAGCTGCACAATTTACTTTTCTTAGAAAATATTGTAATGAGGAGATAATGCATACCTGGCCGCCAAAGCTGAAAACAGACTGCGGAGCAGGAGCGGTGCTGTTAGCTCCAAAGTTGAAACTAGGTTGAGATGGAGCTCCAAATGAGGGTGCAGGATTGGCCGGAGCACCGAAAGGAGACGGATTTGAGTTCGGAGCTACAGGATTCCCAAAAACGTTGTTCTGGTGTGGTTGCATGAAAACAGAGGACTGCTCTGGTTTGGGTGCAGCTGTCACAGCAGGGCTAGGAGCTGCGGCTGCACCAAAAGAGAAACCACCACTAGCCGGAGTATTATTTGACTGAGGGGCAGAGAAGTTAAATCCTTGAGGTTTATTTGTCTGAGGCATTGCTGAGAATGAAAATCCACCACTGGCTGGGGCAGAGGGGGCTGTGCTTGCTGCAGATCCAAAGGAAAACACAGGCTTTGACTCAGCTGCGGTTGTTGTTACAGTTGACTGGAATGGGGAAGAAAATGTATTCTTATTTGCAGCACCAAATGGAGAAGCAGAGACAGGTGCAGCCTCTGACGATGCATTGAAGTTAAAGACGGATGTATTAGAATTGACGGCTCCGAAAGTAGGGGCTGCAGGAGCTGGTTCCACAGGCTTGGCACCTCCAAACGCAAACGCATTTGATGGTGCAGATGAACTGGTGTTACCAAAAGCAAAACCACCAGAAGTTCCGAAACTATTCCCAAGTTGAGGAGTGCTGACAGCGACTTTATTCTCAACAGTTCCAAACAGATTTGTTTGTGGTTTGACAGCTGCTCCAAATACGTTTTCTTTGGGAGCTTCAGTTGCACCGAATAGGGATTCCTTTGGCTTATCAATTCCACCGAAAACGGAGTCTTTCGGTTTGTCTACACCACCAAAGACGGATTCTTTAGGTTTCTCAATGTTGCCGAACAGACTTTGATTCGGTTTATCAGCATTACCGAACAAACTTTCTTTTGGTTTTTCAGCTGCAGCAGCTTGTCCAAATGAAAATCCGGCTGCGGGAGGCTTGAAAACTGAGCTAGAATCAAACGAGAAAGATGGTTTAGAACTGGCGGTGGCGCTGTTTAAGGCAACTGCAGAGGTAGCACTTGGCTGAGTTGAAGTTGATTCAATTTTCATGTCTTGAACTGCTTTCTGAGATTGTGGTGCCACCTGCGCTGAACCTTGGTTAGTCGCAGCACTATAAGAGGGTGGCGATGCAAACGCACTGGCGCCGAAACTGAATGTGCTATTAGGAAGAGAGGTCCCTTTGCTTCCATCCGGCACACTAGTTGAGGTTGGAGAGCTAAAACTGGGGACATTCGGTTTTGCAAGGAGAGGTGAGGCCTGGCTCTTGACAGGACTTGCAATATTCTTGTTGGTATCGAACACTGATTGTTTGACATCCACACTGCCAAACGGATTGGCAAAACCAAGAGATTTCTTCGCTGGCGGTGCTTCACTATCTGTGACATCCAGAGCAGTTTTAGGAGGCGTGGGTGCAGCGAAATTAATTTTAGGTTCATCCGGTTTTTTAGGCTCTGTTGATACAGGGGCATTGAAATTAAAAGCAGGAGCTGGAGTCTCTTTCTTAGCATTAGGTGGAACTCCAAATGAGAAAGCTGGTGGTGTTCCACCAATGGTTGCTGTCCCATTGTCTCCAAACTTGAACCCTGATGAAATGGCCGGTTTGTCTTGGGTGTCATCTTTCTTGATACCAAAACTAAATTTCGGTTCACTAGCTTTGTCAACGCCAAAGTTGAATTTTTGATCGCTGCTGACTGACAGACCTGATGATTTCAATCCAGTTGCGGATTCACCACCACTGCCTGGTTTAGGAGTTTCACAAGCAACGCACTTGTTCGTATCACCTTTATTTTGAACCATGCAAACGCCGCATTCCCATGCTCCTGCGGGTTTCTTGAATTTATCTCCAAAACCTGCCAGACCAGTGGAGGTGCTAACTGGAGTAGTAGAACTGTTGCTAGATGTTGTAATGGTCTCTTTGGGACCTTCCGGCATTTTGAATGAGTTGGTGCCAAAAGCTGAGCCTGTGGAAAAGCCAGTTATGGGAGTGGCAGCAGATTTGTTTCCTGAGCTGGAGGGTTTTGCCGTTTCACATGCTATACACTTGGTAGCATCTGGTTTGTTCTGAATAAGGCAGGCAGAACACTCCCATGAACCTTCCGGCTTTTTGAACTTGTCGCCAAAACCTGAAAATCCAGAAGTGGTAACAGACGAAGCAGTTTTAACTTCTTCTTTCATCGAGGGTTGTGTGACACTTCCTGTTGAACTTGACACCGGTTTTAATTGAGAGGTTGTCTTCTCCGCGTTTCCTGGAGAGCTGATTTTCTTTCCGAACATTGAATCTAATTTTTGTTGTTCGGTGAGTGCAGGCAAGATGGGCTTCTCGCTTTCAACAAACGTCTGGCTCGATTTGTCGATAGACCCTGACTTCTTCTCTTTTGGCATTGTATTTGTTGGTTTGTACACAAAGTTCATCGAGGGTGAATTCGAATTTGACGTTGTAGTCTGGGTAGCTGATAAGCTAACAGATTCTGATGAATTTGATTTACTAAGGTCAACTTTTTTGAAAGTGTCAAGACTGGGCTTAGAAAATTTGAAAAAACTACTACTTGAATTGCTAAATGGAGGAATTGGTTTACTAATGGGTGAAGGTTTCGGGGGTAATGCAATGTCAATCTTTGGAAGTGCAGAAACTCCAAGAGAAACATTTGGTAAGTTCACATCTAACGGAGTAATATTCATATCTTTGTCTCTGTCCTTTCTTTTGGTTTTTATTTTGCCTTTGTAATTGTCACAAGTCTCACCATCATCTTCCCTGGAAAAAAAAAAAAATAAAACAAATTGTTAATAGAGGATTAAACAGAAAAAAGTGCATGATCACCTGGAGCATAGGCATGATTTATTCTTCACTTTCAGATCAGTTTTTCATTGATCGAGCATGTAATACCTTCCTGGCAGAGGATGAAATGTCTCAAAGTGGTCAGTTTGACAGTGCTCAAGCGAAATTCCCTGCCCTAAGCCTCCAGACTTCTTTGACAAAGTGGACGAAACTCAATTCAGGTGAAAATCTTCCCCTTTTGGTAAGAGAGATAGGCCTAAGGGGTAGTGCAGGAATTTCATCTTGTCTTACGATTATCCAGGTATCTCAAAGCTAGGGACGAGAACCAGAAAAATTATCGGACTCTTCAGGAACATTAAATTTTTTGCCAGATTAGTACACTTATCTTATTCAAGTCCTAGCATGGAAAAAGATCCGAGGATAATTTTTTTCAAAGAAGCACTACAAAAATATTATTTTAAAACCTCAAACTTCAGAACTTTCTACGTAGTCCATTTGATGGAGTGTAAATAGTTTATTAGACGCATATACATGTAGTGAATGGCACTAAGTTGACAATTCTAAGCAAAAATTGCTATAACTAGAAAAGACTTCTGGTAACTTAATGATAGTTTTTCCAGAACTTGTGACTCACATCCTCACACTGCATATTTAAACTAATATTTATATCATCAACTGATCAACAGAAATTTTCTCCTGAAAGACTAAGATTTACCTGATGGAATAGTCACTAGCAGGAGTTGAGAATGTTGATGAAGAATTTCTTGCTGCCAGCATTGAATCTTGCAAACGTTCTTTGCGTTTTAGTCTTAGAAGGTCTGGAGTGGTTGGTATACTAGAGCTCAGTTCAGACATTTTACGTTTGTTCGGTCTAACTCTTTCATCAGTTTTGGGGGATGATTTTTTCAATGGTATACGTTTTGCGTCCAGGACCTGAAAGAGAAGACAGACACCACTACCATTAGACTTAAAGTTTTGATTTTCAAATACAATGGTTGTCCTCAAAGTGAGTTTCTATAAAATTCTTTTTCTGTGATATTGTAACAGCTAAACTGCCTCAGCCAAGACATGTTTTTAGGTTGTATCCTCAGAATCTCAAAAAGCTATAGATTCTAATAATTGGCTGCCTGGTAACAGGGCAATTGAATATTTCTTGCAATCCAAATAACAATGATCATCAGTACATAAAATTTCTTTCAAAAATTCTGTCTTTTCTCATCGACCTATTCTGGATGGAAAAATTAGCAATAATTTCAATTTAAATTTTTCCTACTGTTCCTAGGTACTACTCTGTGCCTCTGAAATTTCATCAGCTAATATACCTACTGAAAGAACCCTACAACGCCAGTTGGACGTTTGACCAAATTGTGGACAATGTATTAACTTTTTTTTTTGTCTGCAATTTTTATCTCCTGGGAACAAAGAACATAACTTGATAAGTGCAAACGTCTGAATAAAAATTGCACATCAACTACAAAATTTGACCATTTCAGTAAGCATTGAAGCCACTGATACAAGCTTGAAGCTATGTCAGAAAACAGAAAACAAACTTACTGGGGTAGAAAATTGTTCTAAGGCATCTAAAATCCTTCTTGCGGTAGAGCTCATTCCAGTGGTGGTTGTTGTTCGACAAGGGCTCACCGCTGGACGAATAGCTAGATTAGGTGAATGATGCGTAGGTGAGAAAAGGCCTCCTACTTCAGCGCAACGCCGATAATGCGAAGCTCCACCGTACATAGTGCGACCAGAGTAAAATGGACTAGTGTTAGGGCTTGCTCCTATCTAAAAACATCATTGAAAAACAGGACTCATCGCTATATTTTCTTCAACAAATGAATTTATTTATCCAAATTTTTATTTGATCTCAAACAACATACAAACAGAAAATTGAATTCTGCCAAAACACCTGTATCCAATCAGGGGCAAAGAAAGTTTTTCAGAGCAAAAATTGGTTGCAATCTCAGCCTCAAAATTTCTTTAGTCTCAGAAAATTTTCTCACTGCGTAAAACAGACAAAAGTACACATTGAAACAACATATTGAAAGAAATCGGTGCGCTATATCATTTTTCCACAGTTTCATAACCTCTTGAAAAACTTCTCAAATACTAAGTAAAAAAATCTTTTGGCTAACAGTTAAGAAATTATTATGCTACATACGATGTACCAGGGAGGGGGCCTGGATGTACAATACTCGCCATTTTGATAAGTAAATTTAAGAAAACTTAACTGCACTTTTACTGCAGTATCAACATTGATAGAAAAAACTGAAATCTTTACTCAGAATCCTTACTATTTTCCTGCAAGATTACAATGATGAGATAAGTTCTTAGACTCACCTTAGACGATGCTATGAAGGATGAGGCATTGAAGGATGGGCGCCTTGCTGCTAGGGTATTAGGATTCATTCGACTATGCTGTATCCTAGATCTTGACAGACTGCTCATTTCTCCTGTAACAGACAAAAATCTACTGTCACAAGATTCTAGGATAGAAGTTCTTTAATAAGAGGCATCTCTAAAGTTAAATATTTGCAGAGAGCTTATAAGTTGCCTGCCTTACAGGTCAATTCGACCAGTTTCAATGTGTTCCGCAGGGGCCAAGGTCATTGGCCGGCACTCGCAAGGCTGATTTTTATGTAGAATTGGCATCTCAGTTTAGGAAAATACCTTAATTAGATTATGGGAGAAAAAGTGAATCGGCTATCGATCAGAAATAATATCATACCTGATACATTCGTGTTATTGCTACTATTCTTCTTAAAAATGTTATCTTGAGGAACCAAAGATGAGCACCCACTAGTTGACTCACTGCTGTCTGAGCAATTATCATCTCCTGAAAAGGATGAAACAAGAGTTAAATATTTGAAAAATCTAGAAACCCCCAAAAGGTACCATAAAAAGAGTAAACTTACATGCTACAACACTTGATCAAGATCTGGTCCTATGAATGATGACACACAAAAAATGGTCACATCAACTTTGATCGAAGTTAGCTGCAGTGATTCAGACCGAAATAAATTATTCTTTTCAAACTCTTGACATGGAATCTATAGAATGGACACTTTTATGCAAAATAGGTCCATCTGCAATGTAAACCATGTAGAGATGGTTTCCTTTCGCATAAATGCATTTAAATGGTCCAATTCAGGCAAATCCTTTCACCATTTCTCATCTTGAAAGATTTCCTCTGATTTTATCTCCGAGATTGACAGACCTCCCTGGCAAGTTCAAAATAAAAAAATGTGCAAGAAAAATAACTGCCAATCTTCAAACTTGTGACGAATGCACACAAAATGCACTGACTGACTATGATTGACTATGCACTGACCTATCATGCTAGTCATGTATCTTACATTGCACTCACTAACAATGCCGCGGCATTAGCCATTAATAAGCCTTACTTTGAACAAAAATGATTGTCTTCACTCAATTTTTGCTACATCTGTAGCAAAAGGGTTAAAAATGGATGAATCAGAGATTGGCATGGTCTATAATTTGACTTGGCACATTATTACATGTCAGGGTCAAAAACATGGAATCTTGTAGATCGTGCATCCTGTGTTACGGAAAGCGAGACAACTTTAAAAAATTGCATGCCGATGAGTGGTGGCACCAACCCACATCGATGAGTTTGTGTGTCCCAGTTGCGCACATCTGCGCATGTGCAGTAGCGGTTCCAGTGAATTTTTGTCGGATTGTGAGGCTTTTTTCCTCGGTAGGTAAATAATTAGTTCGGAAAAATGAAACAATGCTATTCGGGTGTAAAATTATGTGTTCTAAAACTTTTCTTCTTAACAATTTAGTCTGAAAATGGACTCTAAACGAGATTTTTGTGAAAAACCGAGCACAGGCATGAATTCTCCATTGCCTCTCTACAGTCTCTTCGAGTGCTTTGGACACACGCTCTCTCCCCTTCCCCGCCCGCCCATCATGGGGCTCCAAGAGACTTGCTTTGCTCCGCCTGTACTAAACCAAGCCGGGCGCACGGTCTACGTGATTCAATGTCTTTGGTCAGGATTCACAAGGAATTTTTTTAAATTGAAAACCAAGCAAAGTTTCTCTGGATTATGAGTATCAGAAAATATAATTTAAGACACAATGCCGTCTATTTTTGCCTTGAGAAACTTGGAAAATGTGATGAAATCAACAAAGGTTGAAAACACTTCCCATTCTGAGAAGATGGGTACTCGTGGTAAAAGACAATGATGAAACTTAGTGCTCTCAAAAAAGTGACTCATGCGGTTTCTCTTAAATCCATATTTCAAATATAATTTTTCTTCCTTCCTCAGTTCCGTGGTTCTCAGAGACATGGACGAAACAGCTAAAAGATGATAATGGTGAATAATATGGTATATTGAGATGAAACCTGCACATTGAAGACTTGAAAAATTTAACACCATCAGAAGCAATAAAATTCACTGTTGCTATGATAATGAGAACAGAGAATTCTTTGAAGAATTCCAACCTGCAAATGCGAAATTCTTATGAGAGTCATCAGCCAACAAGCTTCATTGATGCTCTTGTGGTCAATGGTAAGCTGGAGAATTTTGTCCCCCTATCTAAGGACGGATTTTATCTACTTAGGGCCAAAATAGAGATCACTAACCTAAAAAAGCAGCAAAACAGAACTTAATTTTTTGGTAGAAGCTGATGCTACCCGAAAATTCAGGGGGACAAATTAAAAACTGGTTCATTCAAAATGTCACTCAAAATGAGAAAGACTCAATCAGTCTGCAGTAATCAATACCTAGGGTCTTTTAATTTATGTTTCACAAAAATTCTACCCACACAAAAAAAGATGTGAGAAAAGCGCAACATACCATTCATGGTTGTTTTGGATGGGTTTTCAGTAGAGTTACTGATGCAGTTACCGACTTGAGGCGTCGATGCAACAAAACTCATCCTATTTGATGGTCCAGGCATGCTTATGTTATTCGCATTATCACTTGCTTTGTTGTGATTGACAATAGGACTAACTCCTTGACCAATCGATGGACCTGTAAATAAAATCATGAAATAAATTAAAGAAAGAAAAAAACATCGCTTATGCATGAAGAGGGAGATCTTCGAATCAGGACGGGTTTGGCAATACTTGAAAAGAGCAATTCAGGGAGAATTTCAGTCAAAAGTTCAATTCTGCTGCGAGAAAGTCATGTGACAAAAGCTTGCCCTCAGATATGTTGAAAATCATGTCTCTTTGTGATCACTCAAAGCCTCTAAGATAATGAGACTAATGAAAAAGAAAGGGGTGATACAAGGTCCTAATAAAAGAAAGAAAAGAGAAAAAAGCTAATGTTTATAAAAGAGGAAAACATTGTCCTTACCTACTTTTATTTTAGTAGGAAGATATGACCCATAAAAATTCAAATACATTGTGCTTAGATCAAAGGCATACATGGTTCCCAGGTTACTACGTAATTAACCATGAATTGGCGGAAGGCACTTGAGAATTTAATTCCCATTTCGCACTGTCTTAGAATGACTGGTGACACCAATCCTTTCCTATAGATCTCTGATTATTTAACTCGAGTCCAGCACTTGCCTGAAAATCTGATCAGGAAGTGCCTGAATAATGTTTTGAGCATTAATTTGACAATTGATAGACAGAAGCTCTGCCGTGCTAAGGAAGATCGCCATATGAGCATTCGAGAGTTGCCAAATTTTTTTCAATAAAATTTTTACTATTGAGGGAGGTTATGAATATTTTTCCTTGAAATTTTCAGGAGCTTTAGATCAAAATACTAACAAAATTCTATGAAAAATTGAAAGAAAAACATTCATAAGTTTACCAGGGAATTCGTATTTTATCAAAGAAAATTTGGCAATGCCTGAAGGTTCATACGGCATTGTTCCTTAGCATGGCAGAGCTGTTCACTGACTCAAAGATTGAAATTGAATTTTTTTTATGATGAGGCAGCTTAAAATGATAAAAGTTACAGCTCCAAATAGCTCCTGAAACTTCAGGCTAAATTGTAAGAAAACTGAAAGCAAAGGAAATCAAAGGAAATACTTCTTGAACACGGCAATTACTACACAAAGTTCCAGATCATAGCAATTAAACCTTTAGAAGCAACAGACATTGATTTTAAACGATTCAGAAGACACAGCTAAGAAAGTAAAACATCAATAGGTATGAATTCTTCTATTACCAGGTTCAGGCGATGGAAACGTTAGCTTGTGCAGCTTTGAGTACTGAGGGTTAAAAGGAACTCTGGCTCTTTTAGCCGGTGGTTGCTCAGCCAGAAGGTCATCTTCGGCTGAAGAGTGCAAGTCATGATTTCCAGGGCTTGTATCGGTTTGAGGACTTTCACCAGTGTCAAAAGGCGATGCTCCGGGCGATGGCATAGCCAGCCATTTGCCAATCCATGCCGGCTGTTGGAATAACTCACTGACGCGAGATGTTACCTTCTTCACGAGAGACTGAAAATTGCAGAACAAAAAACGTCATTTGCCATCAGAGACTAACAATGAGATCCACATGATCTGTACAGAAAATTAATAGAAAGGTTGCCAAACTAATAAATCAGCAGCACAGGGAAAAACCCTGAAATCATGACTCTTGACCTGGATAACTTTATGATTCTCTGTAAGACATGTCAGAGCAGGACTCTCACGTTAGTCTTTCCAGAAGAAATTACAGTTAAATTAGGACCCAAACAGTGGGGATTCGTAACTTAAATTTGAAAATTGCTGAGGCAACAAGCTGTACCCCTACAATGGTTACCTAATGCTAGAACTATACGGGTCCGTTTGAAACACAATTAAGTTAAGTTAACCTGAGTTAACCTCGCAGTTCCAACTTAATGCCATGTATTGCGCTGGCCGAAATTGGCCATCTACTAATTAACATGATAGTGGTTAAAAGATAGTGTCAGATACTTGTTTAATGAGATTTTCTTGGCCAAACAATGGGAAATTCCAAATCAAACACTTAAGTAATTGCAATTTAAAAAGGTGAGACGTTTTTTAAGTTTTGAATGTAGAGCTCGCGCATCATATGTTGAGACAAACATCAATCTCTGACTAGCTCTGAATTAGCACCACTCAACAGAGTATGGATTCGATCGACTTGAATCGATTGACACCGATTCGATCGAAAAATTGTTAAAAAACCGGTGTCGATTCGATCGAAAAATTAAAACGTGATTCGATCAACAGTTAATTTAAAAACACCCCTCTTGATTCGATCGAAAAATGAAAACGTGAATCGATTGACGTCAATCAATCGACACCGGTTTGATCAACAAAATTCGATCGACTCACGGATTTGACAATCGATTCACCGGTTTATCGATCCATTCACGGGTTTGTCGATCGATTCAAGGCTTTTGTCCATCCATTCACGGGTTTGTCGAACGAGTCACGGCTTTTGTCGGTCGACTCACAGGTTTGTCGATCCAATCGCGGGTTTGTCGATCGATTCACGTTTTCATTTTTCGATCGATTCATGTGAATCGAACCGATACGGGTGTTTATAAATTAACTGTCGAATCGGTGTCAATCGAATCGGTTTCGATTGATTCACATTTTCATTTTTCGATCGATTCATGTCGATCGAATCCATACCCTCCCCACTCAACAGGCTAATACATGCAGTCAGATGGCACCGCTGATGAGTGGTGACATGAACAATACTTTGGAGTTTGTCTCAAAATAAGATGCGCGAGCTCTAGCAAGCTGTGAAAACATGACACATTTCAAAACTATTTATAAAACTACTTGGGACTAGAGCACATGGTTGATATGACGGCACACTACACTGATAAGTTTCAATAAGAAGGGATGATCCAGAAACAGCATCATGATTTTGAAGCAAATAATCACAATTCTAATCGAGTTAAAGGAAGCAAATGTATCAGATTTTACTCGAAAGCCAATCTAGGGTCAGTCAGTAATGTGTTACATTTGATCGGCGCAGAGAATGTGAGAAGGCAAAGCCAAGCAGCAGTTGGACTGGTCCCTCAGGATTTAAATAATGCAAGTTTACAGTTAGAATCTTCAATCTTGGAGGAAACAAAATAATACTCAGAATGCTAACTCCTTATTCTTGAACAGGAAAAGATAGCTTGGCTTCAGGATTCTGTTATCACTTTCACTATTGGTGGTTCAGAAAACATGCTTCTGGCCAAATTCGGTCTTTGGAACAGACTTGTGGAGCAAGTTTCAACTTGTCTTCAAAAATTGGAATTAAAACATTGTATGAAGCATTGCTAATTTGAGCTTAGGGACCTGTGATAAACAGGACTAGTCAAAGTCTGAAAGTTAGCTCCGAGTGCCAGAGGATCTGTCCATGAGTAGACATTTCCTCACCAGGTAAGGAATATTGACATCAAATGGGAAAGATAAATAATGGGTCACTAACTGCTTGCTGTGAGGACGTTGAGTGCGGATTTGAATGGAAAGTTACTACATGGTGGAACGAGCGGTTTCTTAGAGAGGTTAGGTTCAATCTGGTGCTTGAACATTGATTAGAACTATGGCTAAACTGATAATACACAACAGCCAATTAATGACGCTTTGCATGTATCACCCAGGAATGCGATTAGCCAGTGTTAGTTTGCTAGGGGGGCAGAACCAATATCTAACGTCTGGGTTGTGGTTGGGCTTGATGATGCGCATGATGTTCAAGTTCATCGACTGATCACTTCATCAATCAGGTAAAGGTTGAACATTCAAGATAGCTGACCATTGTTATTGAGCATTAAGAGAAAGAAGAGACTCAGAATGACAGCTAAAATTGACGAGTTTGAAGAAAGAACTCGGAGAATTGGGACACCTGTTTTTCCTCTAAGTTAGTTGACAGTTATTGACGTTCAAATCTCAGGATCCGCTTAGGGAGTCGAACATTCAACGAAGACTACCACTACTACTGATAACGATCGGAACAGAAGCTGTAAGCAATGCCTGAATGAAAACAGATAGTGCAGCAAGAAAGTATGGTGAGGCAAGTAAGTTTCTGGGAAACAGGCCCAGGATCTGGAGTTGAATCATGCCAGCAAGGTTAAGTTCCATTCCAACTTAGGACTATAAAAAGCGAGTTCATTCGGTTCGATGTAAGATTTTGAAAGCATAAAGGCAACAAGCTTCGAAACAACCAGTATAATTTAGACTATGACAGAAGTAAAAAAGCATGATCGGTATCCTTGCTGGGGGCCGTTAATTTTCCACGAGATACGGTAAATGTTTGGCGCCTAAGGTTGCAGCAGAAGAGGGACTTACATTGGAGGCGTCATACGGCTGGAAAGACACGGATTTGTTGTTCTTCACGGTACTGTTGCCTTTAACCATTATTTACACTTTCTCAAGATGCATTTAAAAAATTAGAATATAAATAAAAACCATCACAAACTACGAGAAATTGGAAAACTCATTGGCTCCATCTCGGAACACGGTAAAAGGAAATGGCGGCACTGTGACCACTATGCCATGAATTCGTACTCTGGTGTTGCCTTGTTGCTGAATAATCGCATTATAGATTTAATACATTTTCCGGAACTTTATTTTACCACTTGAAGAAATGAATGAAGGAATATCTGGCCAAGAAAGTTAAAATTGCCGTAAATAAATTTACAATTTTCTTAAAACACTCAGATTTTCCGCTGCAAAATTTAAATGCTGATGTATAATCTGAGATGATCCACATTTTAAGTATTCACATGGCAACACAGCTATGACATCCTCTCTCCCCACTATCACTCTTCTTTCTTTTTTCTCGTCTTTTCCTCCTTTCTTGCTTCAGCACATTTTCCCATCTTCTTTTGCATTTCTTTCGCAAAGCCCGGTCTCGCATCCTTCTCTGTTCATCCCTGTTGGTTGGCGCGATATTCAACATCACGCATTATTCGCTTATGCAAAAAAAGCATGCGTTATCGAGGCCACGGCATTGCAGCGTGAAAAAGTATACCTAAAGCTTTTTTACGTGATGTTAGAATTAGAGAGCCAGTTTTTGGCAAATTTCTACTTTCCCCTACATACACCACAATACTTTTCAGTGTATTTTTTAAACGTGAAGAGTTATTACGGGACGGCCGCCGCTCCGCGAGAAATATTGGGGATCCCATAATTTTTGGGAGTTCTCTGTAATTACAGGTGAGGAACGGAAGCTGTTCACTTTTTTTAAAGAAAAACGGGAGTATGTAAAAAAAACCGTCAAGTATTTTAAAAGCCTTGGTCTCCACGTGCACCCGCAATGCAAGCTCATTGCCCCATTGCCCGATCCCTTTCCACCCGGAGCGTCACGTACGTGTGTACGGATAATCATTATGCGAAAATTATCCACGGTCCATACATCCGAGTGACTTCAGCTCCTTTCATTTTTTAATTTAGTCATTTTTCCCCCCATTCCCATCATAGTCAAGTTATTCATTTTCATTGGCCAAAATGATTATTTATTCCGGGGAACAATAAGCTAAATCCGGATTGCTCCTGCGGATTTCATGATTAGTGCTGTTTTTCTTCCGGAATCATTTCCGGAACTGTCTGTTTTCAAAATGTTGGTCACCGCGCCTTTCACGAGATTACTGATTATCAGCTTATTTTAAAGGTATTCCACCGTGCTTTACATTTTTAATTTAGAAAATAAATTATAAATATCCCCAGTGTTTCAGAAACGTATTAGGACGCTTTACCTCATCAAAATGTGAAAAAATCGGATGTTGCTTTCCTTGTTTATAATCTAACCTAACCACCGGTTTTACGTTTCTTGTTCATCGTGAGATCGTGAATTAGATATGATTTAATTGTTTTCTCCCTCAACAGCGTAAAATTCGTTCATTTTTCAGTTAAACTCAGCATCCAGTTACTATAACCAAAGTTTTCATTTGTTTCATTGTTATTTTTATGTGCTTCCAATGAACCTACCGCTCACTCTGAGTCTCGGAGAGTGATAATCTTCGTCTTCGTCTTGTCAAGGCGAATAATTTCTAGCAATAATTCATGTCAAACTCAATGGAAGCATTTAACAGGCTCAAATTGGCTGCTACTGCACTCTCCTACTTTAGAGCTACTTCTTAGGAAACTATTAGTCTGGTGATTAGTTTGCACCTAGCCGTAGTATGAATTGTACAGTTTTCGATCATGAAAGCGGTAAGACACGTTTTAAGAATATTTGTCCTACAGCATAAAGATAGCTCTCAACTCTAATTAATTGTTTCAAAATTGTTTTGGCATCCTATTAAGAGTTTTCTGAGGAAGGGAAAATAAATTATTACAGAGACGGGAATACTTATCGATGGTCAAAGTGCGAAACCCTCGTATCTCCATTGAGGCGTTTCAAAATTTCCGTTTCTAGTTTATGTTTTTGAGGAGAAACAAGAGATTTTATTGGCTTGAAATTTACACCAACTATTCTGCCAATTAGGAAAATAAAGAAAATTTTCAAGAATTACGTTCACTAGTTTTCCCAAGAAATAATAAAGTATATCAGGAAGTCTGCTACGCCTTAGATGGAGATACATGGTTTCACACTTCCGTTTTAAATTAGGTACATTAAACTGAAAGTTTCATGCTTGCTACATCAAAGCACATAAAAGTTGATCTTGCGATTGCTTTGATTAGGAAGATGGTTAACCCATTCGCCTCATTTGACGAGTATACTCGTCAGCGCGCGTGCTGGACATATCTCAGTTGACGAGTTACTTCGCGGCATCTATCAGCATTGCTATGTGATTTTTTTGGCAGTGTTTTTTCACTGTTCCGATAGATGGCATCTCAAGCATCAGAACTCCGAAAATGGCGCGAATTAACTAGTCAGCTGAGATAATGTCCTAGGCGCCCGCTGACGAGTAAACTCGTCATGTGAGGTAAATGGGTTATATAGTGGTGGGTCTATTTCTTGGAGAAAAACAAGGCTTTGGGGATGCTAAGCAGTGCTCAATGACGAGTGTGATCTACTGTTGAGGTCTAAAAAGACCGAAAATTTTACAGATCTGTGGGCGTCACCTCAACTTAATATTCCCATGCATCTGCCTGAGTTGGACACTCTTCCACCCCCCCCCCTCTTGTACCGGTACTGATTAGAGCTCTTAATGTCTTCCTCTAATTGAAAAATTTGTAAACATTTTGAGCCTGTTTTTTCCCTGCCAAATAGTGTGAACCCAGCACTATTTTACCTCTTTGTCACATTCAGTACGGGTCACGTTTCTTAGATTATCTATCCATCATTGTTACTCATACATACAAAAAAGAATTTAGAAATTCTTCCAAGTTTTTTTTCTTTCACTTGATCCTACTGTGTACATCAAATATCCAAAAACCGTTATCTTCTTTTTTAAAGACTAAACTTTCTGAATAAGCTTTTAATGGATACTAACTGATGACTTAGTATCTTTTTAGCTTAGTAGTTGCAGTTAGCTGTTTTCTGGCTTGCTGTGCACAGATCCTTCAATTTTTCAAATCACTGGTTGGAATTTCCTCGATATTGCAATTGTTTCTCTTATTATAGACACTGAAAGTGATCCTTCAGTACTTCAGAGAATGATTTGACCGTTGATCGATCAATGATCATTTCTGAATTTTAGGATGTTCCTGGAGAATTTATTTTTAAAGATTTGCGATATTCAATTGGACTGCACTATTGTAGTCATTGCAAAGTGCTTCTCCAGTCAAATTGTGTGCATTAATATCTGACATCTACAGTGATGTGGTGCTTGGAAATTTGTTGGAAATATCCTAAAATCTAGGTAATAAATTATCGGTTGATCGATCAACTATCAAAATGTACTCCTAAGTGCTGAAGAGCCACTTCAATGCAAGTTAATTTAGAAGAATGTGTTAATGTGGTGAATATTTATCCTAACCAGTGGAATCTTTGAATATTTTCAGGTTAAGAAACACATTCCCAAAATCATGGCGCCGCCTCCCCTTGGGATGGTGGAGCCAATCATGCAGATGAATAAATATTGCTCCTACGTGACGATGCTGGCTGATCCGAATGTCAAAGATGAAAACAAGCTGAAAGCTGCCCAAGAATTAAGTGAGAACTATGAGGTAAGCTTTTTGTAAATTTTCTATCAGTTTCAGCTGTGGGATTCAATAATGTAATTCTTTAGCAGGAGAGGAGAACATAAGTACGCATAATGAAAACCTCACTTAGCGGAGAAAGAAGTCGAGCTTTCGAGCATGTCATATCAAAAAATTTCCGAAGGGTTCTAGAAATAAGTACTAGTCTAGAAATAAGTCTAGTACTAGAAATAAGTATTATTTGGCACCTTATAACATTTCTGAGAAATTTTATTGAATTTTTAGAAGTTCTGATTAAGCAGGAAGAGCCTCCCTTCCTGCACCAGCTGCCAAGTGATGCGGCTGTATTTTCTGCATCAAGAGAGAAAGGATTGAGAGGAACTTGGACTCTCTTGTAGATAAAATGTTGGAAGAAGGAGAATAGTGGATGAAACATCAAGAAGTTCGTGATAGGGGAAGGATTGCAATGCCCATAGAATAGGATGGGAGCAGAATTTTTAGCAAACGTTGTTTTCAGATCCTTTAGCTGGTTCTGGTTTCAAAGATTTGTCAACAGTGTCAACCCTGGGGGCTGATTTTTGAAATTGGTAGACAAAGCTGTAGACAATGAAGACAAAAGGGATATGGAGGAATCCTATTGGTGGAAGTGGATGGTTGCAATGGACAAAGGAGGTAGGTAATAGACTAATCAACGGCAACCGACAAGAGACCCTGTAGTCAGTCCATCATTTTCTCCCTCAGTCTGCAAGAACCACACATTTCAACCAATTGGATCACTCCATAACATGTCTTTTTTGTCAATAGCTTAGTCTATAAATTTCAACTATCAGCCCTCTGTCTGATCTGAATGTAAACTCTTCGGACTACTAAAATATATCATAAACAATTTAATAGAATCTCTCTTTATGTTTTTTAGATAATTTTGGCATCACAGCAGTACCCGCAGTTCCTAGAACATTCCATGAAGATATTTGTCAAAATTCTTAACGAGGGACAACCTCACTTTATCTCAGAATACACTGTTCATGTGAGTATAAATGTTTTTTCTTTGTCTGAGACTGTTCTGTATAGCTTCATTATCATGCTCCTATCAATTGACCAGATCAGATAAGTAAGTCAATTTTGTGCACCCTCATCAACTCATCACACATGAGAGGTGCAAAAATTATTAATGGCAGAGAATCCAACTTGCCTAATTAATTCTGCTGGGTAATAATATTCAATAAAATCGTATGATTGTACATAGTAGGGAATTGTTTCTTATAATTATTTAAATTAATTTGATACCCCTCCTTCATTTTTCCTGAAACATTTGGACTAATTTGATGCACTTGTTTTCTCTGTACTCACATGTAATTAATAGACTTCCTGCCGAGACACATTTTAAAAGAGAGATACATACTGTAAGTCTGTGCACAATGAACAGATCATCCTAACAGAAATAGTTCTCCTTTATGCTCAGGTTTACCTTGGAAGCAATTTAGGCAATTGTGTAAAGTGGCAGTAAATTGGAGAATGAATGAGAAATAAAGTGCCCTTAGAATTTTGTATTTATTTGTTGTTTTAAAGTAACAGTTAAGTAGGTTTTTGACAAATAATAGGTCAAACTTACGTAATAGGGACATATTTTTTCTACAATTTTCTGGGGGTGTGATATGTAATTTTCTCAATTGGAACTGTCGTGAGGGGGAGTTGCCCATCTAGTTGCCTCCAGGAGGCAGAAAGTCAATTCTTCGTATGTTCTCCACAGTCAACAACAGAGACCTGTCAAACTTTTTGATCCAAACAAATTCTCCACACATAAAAAAAATCATCAATTTAACCACCGAATCATCTCATTGTAAATCAAGATAGGGTAATCGTCTTCACACAATGTTTACTGGAATTAGTGAATAAACTCAAAGTAGTCAATTTGATGTAAAGTAATAATCTGTAGTTGTGATGTGTGTTTTTCCTTTATCATTTCAGCAAGTACGGAAGTTATTGTTGGAGCTCATTTACAGAATGCCTGTAAATGATATTTTAAGACCTTACACAGAAACAGTCCTAATGTTATGTATGCATTTGATCGAATCAGATAATGAAGAAAATGTTCTCATTTGTCTAAGGATAATAATTGAACTAAACAAACACTATCGGCCTGCTTTTACGGATGTCAAACCATTTGTGAGTATTTCTTTAAGCCATGAAGAAAGCTCCAACTTCACCCTAAAATTTTACAAACCATTTTATCTGGCTCCATTAAGTGATTTTCTGACAACATTTTCAATTTTTGATTAATCCAAAAGATATTTGACATGACCATAATGGAAAACATTGTACTTCAATGTTGTTGATTTTTTTTTTCATTTTTTAGACATTATAACATCTGAATAATCAAATTTTGTTTTTCAAAACAATGTTCTCGCTATAATCCTTTCGCACATACAAGCTTCAACAGTTGAAGGTATCCAAAACCAGTTTTAATAGAAGCATTGCTGGAAGTGAAGTTTCTAAGTTTTTTGGTGGAGCGTATGCTTGGAAATGCACAGTGTTACCCAATCAGTCATTGCAAATTTTCTTCTAAGAATAATCTCGGTTGTTTTTGCTCACTAAATTTTATTACTAAAAGTTCTATCAACCCCATGTAATGTAATTATCATGTTCATAATCATTGAAAAGTATTTTAAGTAATGAAATTAGATATTATTTGAGGGCATCGGTTCGAAACGGACACTTTTCTAATCAAATTGAAATTGGGAAAGAGCCCTCTTCACACTCATTGTCTCAATTGTATGGACAACCCTTAATCTTGAGTGACAACACTGATTTTTCAGTATGACTTAAAATGAATATCACTTGTCTTAAACTATTGACTTTGCATTTTTTCCAGATAACACACTTTTTAAATCTTGTGAGAAGTATCTATCGAGAGTTACCAAATCACATGGATAATATGTTCAAACCAAGACCTCCTCCTCAAGTCAATGATCTATCAGAATTAGACGTTGAATCTCTGTTACAAATGACGTATATAAGCACAGAAATTTTATGTAAGAAAGGAGAACTAGCAGAGGGCAGTGGTGTTAACGAATCCGTAAGTATAAGTTTTACCACAGGCTGACTTCTTTTCAGCGTAGGGTTTTAAATTACATTTTCACCATAGAGCTCCGTACAATTTTCAGAAAATGTTGATTTCCTTTTCTAACCGCTAGTTTTTTTGAACTATGAAAAGCTCAAAACTGATTGCAAAAAAGAGGCTTGAACTTGAAGTGATAACAAGAGTGTTTCTAATTGGCCTGAAGCCTACGATGTCTTATGAGGAAATGACCCATGGTTTCAGTCACCTTGAATCCAATGCATTATGGCTACCCTGCAATCCAAATCACCTGCAATCAATTTCATTGGGGGGGAAAATGACAAAAGTATTCACTTCAAACAACTGTAATATTACAATCATGGTGGAAATACATTGCCCTATGTTTCAATTGTGACCCGAAAGAAAAGGAACAAACGCATGTGAAAGGATAGACAGCGGTCAATTCTTCATGTAACATCCCGAAATCTGTCGGTGTGATATTTTTCTATTTGAAATGTGGCTGGATTCTTGGCAACTTTGACAGTCTTTTTCTCCGCTAAAATATTTTTGGATTAAAAACAGAAATATTCAGGCATTTTCATTTTAATGTACTTTCCAGGGGAAACAATACAAAAAAAAAAAACCTGTCAAAGAAACCGTAAACTCACTATTGAGTCTCTTTGCAATGAGTTTCCTTTTCTTAAGATTAGTATTTTTTTAACTATCTTGAAGAATTCCTCCACTGATGTAAAACAATTGTTAAAGATTAATCAAAACGCAGAAAATTGAGTTGAAAATGCAGTTTAAGGAAAACGTTTGCACAGCCAAGAATTTGAAGAAATTTTCAATAAATTTGTTCTCCCTTGCTCGGAATTGAAGAAATTTCTATGGAAAACTGTATGCAATAGTGAATTTTACCAGAGGAAAAAAGTACTCTTTTGCTGCAAGAGAGCAGCATTCCTAAAGTTTTGTCCCCTTTGGGGTTAATTGAGAGGTCATACACTTTTAATCTGTCCTTTACCTTCCAGTATACACTTATACCCAAAGGAGTGGTTTCTTTGAAAGTCCTCCAAGAGCTGCCAATATTAATTGTGCTGTTATACCAACTGTACAAAGAACATATGGAGCCAGAATTAACTAGTTACATTCCTGTTATACTGCACACGATTACCCTACAGCCAGCCCTTGAGTATCGGTAAGTAGAATCTGTTACCGTCAGGCTTAAGTTTATACAGATTAAATAGGTTACTGTTAAGGAATACTGTTAAGGAGGCAAGGTCTCTCCAAACTTTAAATAAGTTTTTCATGTGCTGGCCTCATCTTGAAAGTCCGAAGCCATGGTCTATCTAGAATTGTTTTTATTGTTTACCTCATTTTATGTATTCGATATTTTTTCGTAAACCTGGTTTAAGTGTAGACTTAAAAGAAAAATGGAGAAAAAATTGAACAAAAAGGTCAGGTGTGAATTTTACAATCTGTAGTCGAGGACTTTTTGATTAACATAGCTAAAAAGACTGAAAACCTCATACAAAATTCAGAATATTTTAAGTTCTTAGTAAAATTTGACGAATCTTGATTTTTCTCTTCATTATGAACAGTTACAATGTACCTTTTTTTGCCTTTCCAGGTTACATCCAAATTTCAACAAAAAAGTGTTTGCAGATTTCATGGGGGCCCAAATCAAATCTCTGTCTTTCTTAGCGTATGTTTTGCGTCTTTTCCAAGAAGCAGTTTCCAAGCAAACTGATGTGATGGTAGAGGGCATGATAAACATGCTCACACTCTGCCCGATGGAAGTGACGAACCTTCGAAAAGAGTTGCTCATTGCAGCAAGGCATATTCTATCCACCGACCTGAAAATTAGTACGTATTTTTTAAATCAGAGCTAAAAGTACAAATGTTCTTCCTTGGTCAGGAAATACTGGAAAAATCAGGAAATATCAGGAAATTTTAAGAAGTCATGGGAAACCGGGAACTGTCAGGGAAAATGACAAGATGTGAAGAAAAAATTGTTCAATTGCTTTAATTTGCCTTCAAGAATGGGTTCAATGTTTTGAACCAGAAATTTTGTATGATAACAATTTCAAATTAAATCTTGATACTCATCCTGCGTATCTTCCAATGTCAAGGAAATTTACTAAAATGCGCCAGGGAATTTTGTTTTTTTAAACACTGTGGCAACCCTGGAATATGTGGTTCAACACAGGATTTAATGCATGATGGACAACACATCATATTTATCTAAAGCTACAGGGGTTCAGATACTTTTCAACTCTGCCAAAAGGAGAACCTTTTTGCGAACAGAATTTACTGCTGAAACTGTATACGATTTTTTCAGTATTTTTATTTTTTTAGATTTTAAGTGGTGGAAAAGCTCAATTGTCAGCGGCAAAGGTTTTTTTTGGTCTCAAGGAAGCTTTTAGTTAAAGTAGGAAAGACAAGAATTCTTGTGCATCTCAGTGAAGCGTTGCTTGTTGCATGGACAGTACCTAATAATTGTTTGTTCTTTCCTCTTTTTTATAGAATTTGTTCCCTATATGAGCAGGCTCTGTGACGAAAAAGTTCTGCTTGGTAATGGATGGACCACTCATGAATCCTTGAGGCCCCCAGCGTTTAGTATGCTTGCAGATCTAGTCCTTAATGTTCGCCAGCATCTTCCCATGGCTGACCTAGAAAGGGCTGTTCACTTATTTTCAGTGAATATTCATGATGAAACGTTACCGACAAGGTATGGTAATAAAAATCCTACCTTTTCTAACAGTAAATGGTCCTTTTGCATTATTAAATTGACAAGTAGTTGAAAGTTTGGTTAAATCCTAAATTTTTTGGAATCACGGATTTTTACCCTTGAATTTGATGTTGAATACACTATATTTTTGACAGATGTTAAATAATCTAAAATCAATAGTTTGACAGAACTTTGATGCGAGTGATTTTTTTCAGTGGGTTTTTAGTCTTTTTAGGCTTAAAAAAAATTTCAGAAAAAATGCTTCCAAGAGGGGCATAGCTTTCAAGGGAGCACTTAAAAAAAAAAAAAAAAAAAAAAAAATTGGTGAAAAATAGTCTTATTTTAACCCATAGAGTATGCCCTTGCAATATGGGCATTCAACAATGGATCACCCTGTATTATACTGTTATAAAATTCATTCATTTTAGTGATGCTTAAATCCAGCATGTATTTTTTCTCTCAAATGAAAAAATTTATTCGTCGCCTCTGGACCAAGCAGCCATAATATTTTGCATAAAATTATGAAATTATGTGCCAAACCCAAAATCTAATAAATTTGTCTTCTCTCTGTGTTGTTTCAGCATTCAAACAATATCTTGTAAATTACTGTTAAACTTAGTTGAATGTGTACGTCAGAAAGGTGATGATGACAAAGGATCTGGCCACGAACTATTGTTGCAAATGTTGCGAGTATTTGTTCTGAAATTCAAAACTGTAGCACGACTGCATTTACCAGCACTTATCAACAAAAGGTTCGCTCTGTCTTTTATTTGCAAGACCGAGGATCTAAGAATTTTTTGTATTGCATTTTTTCAACCTCTGATGTTTATGGTTTCAAGGTTTTTTTGAGGAAAACTTGTTTTTCTCATCATATATCATTATTGTTAAGTTACAGCAATGATATTCCTTTACTTGTAAAGTGTTATAGAATTCATACTATCATAAACAATTTTTTCTAGTCGTTTTTTTCAAAATGAAAGGGATTCGTAATTGTCAATGGCTCTCCCAAATATGATAGAATAATATTTTCAGATCGCTAGTCTATGCAAGACTCGCAACTTGAATTTTCCCATTCTAATGCTTTTCATTGCTTTTATAATCTTCATCCTGTCTTTTATAGAAATGTATTTTATGACCTTGAAGATTGACTGATAAAAATTTAAAGCAAAGAGAGTATTGTGGAAAGGCCAGAGGACAAGCTTACTGTCTAGGAAGGCACTGAAAACGAGAGTCATCCGTTGTTACGCAACAGTCGTAATTTTGTAACCCCGAATTCATTCAAGTAGTTCAGACACACTGATAAAGATTGTATCTTTGATCCTCATCGATTGCCAAAAATCGGGGACTTGCGCAATCCCAAGGGAATTACTCAACAACTTACCGATATCTGCCATTTTCAAATCTTATTTACAGCAAGTGAAATCATCATTATCACTATTTCCATTTATCAAAATTTTCCTCCAGTTTTCATAAAACTTTATTCTAATTCCGATTTGTATTTGTCTTGAAATTTTGTAGCAAAGCTCAAACAGCGCAACAAAATCCAGTTGCAGCTGTGCCGCAAGCCTCTGCAGAGACCAAAAATGAAGATGTCAAAGTACCTATTGTAGGTCAGCAAAATCCTATGGATAACCAAGGTAAGTTACTACATTTTATTACCTCCCGTTTCTAAACTTACTTACGTAAACAAACAGAAATATAAGGGACTTCTTCAAAATTCAGTGAATAGCCATAACTGTTTCCTCCAATTAATTTTTTTTTTGTCATTAGAAATTATGAAAGTAGATATTAGGTATGATGTATATCAAACATTAAAACTCAATACCAAGTTGCTATATATTTATAGGCTATAGGCGTAATATCTTAAACGGTAAAGAGAAGAGGAAAAAGTTGACTAGAGTTCAGTCCAACAGGTAGATTGTGAGAAAACAAACAAATAAAACTAATAGCTGTTGGTAATCGCAGCAAATCGTTGAATGGAAATTTTCATTCCATTCAGAATGGTTTCTTTTTTTTGTGCTTCGTAGCAAGGAAAAAGTCATATTATGACAACTACTGTCCCCGCCTAGGCTACAGGCAAGCAATGTAATACAATGCATCGATTCGGAATGTCTGATATGTAAGAAACATTTGCGCATCTTGAAGTTTTGCAATCAACATACCTTTTAATTCATTTTCAGCAAAGCGAGAAAAACCAGATGTGAATAAACCAAGGTTCGGATTTCCTGCCACTCAAACAGCAAATTACAACATTGTGGAATGCAGAGCTTTGGTGAAAGCCCTTGTGTATGGCGTGAAAACTATCATGATGAGCTGCTCCAATAACAAGGTATTCAACCTTATCCTTCTCACCAGAAATGTTTTCGTAAAATTCACTGGAAGTGGCACTGGGGAAACCCTGGAATGTTGGGTAATTTAAAAGTCAGGGAAAAATTGTTCATTCACCTTTACTTGCATTCTAGAATTGGTCTGGCGTTTTGAACCACTTTTTTTTTGTCTGAAAGTCATTTCATATCTTGTCTTTTTAACTATTTAGCAAATCTTCAATGGACATGGAATACTACCCAAATGTGTCAGGGAAATCGGGGAAATTCATTTTCTAAATTCTGTAGCAACTCGGGTCCCCTAATTTTTAGCTCAATTTGGGGGGGGGGGGGAGTGCACTATATCCATGGTTTTTTAAATGGTTTGCCTACTCTAAACCAATTTAGAGTGGCTGTAAGGTCAACCTAGCTTTTTAGGAATCAAAACTTTTGCTGATCTTATCTTATCCTGTCTTCATTTTTCATTTCAGTCGGGTGATGCTGGCGGAACAAAAACTCTACAAGCATGTGATCCTGAAGTTTTAATAAAGTTAGTCAAATGGGCATTGCAAGCACTAGATATCTATACATTGACGTTCACTCCAACGTTGCCAGCAATGCAGAGGATGATCCCTCCAAAGCAATTTGTACGTTCCAAAGAAGAAAAAGAAGTTCTGGAACATTTTTCAAGTATCGTAAGTACATTCCTCCTTTTCTAATGCCTCCATCGGGTAAAGATGGAGATAGAGATAAGTTTTACTATGTAGTCATGAAATAAATAAAATTGTTTACTAGTTCCCTAGTTCTTTTTTTTTTTTGTAACACTACATTTTGTAATGATTCACTTTTTTTTCATCCTTGGTGATCTTTGCTTTCAGTTTGCCCTATTGAATCCACAAGTTTTCCGTGAGATATTCCTGACAACAATTGAGTACATGGTGGAGCGAATAGCTGGCAACTATGCATTGCAAGTGATTGGAAATTGGTTCCTGACCAACTTAGATACTTCACCGATTTTCGCTCCTGTTCTGGTGGAGTACCTCCTCGGTCGAATGGTGGAAATGGGGAATGGTAATGCAGAAAGGAGTAATTTGTACCTGAAACTATTCAAATCAGTATTTGAAAGTGTGCAGTGCTTTCCCACTCAAAACGAGCATATGCTACGGCCTCATCTTCATAAAATTGTAAATAGGTAAGTTCTCATCGCATTTTCCCCTTTGCATAATTGTTTCCTCTGGCCTAGATAACAATTCATATAATGGGAAGTTCAGAAATCAACTCCCAAAGGATGTATTAACAAGTATATCAACAGAGATCAAATGGAAGTTTGATTATATAAATGATAGCATTTATATCTGCTATTTTACCAATGTTAATTGTGAAAGCTTATTTCCTGTTTAGGGGCTCATGTCCAGACTTTCCGTTGTGTGAATTGCTTTCCTCGTGAAATTTTGAAGAGAGAACATGTTGCGTAGTGTTTGAATTCATACCTTGTCTGGAGACCCATTACTTTACATTTATGGATGTATCTTATTAATGGTAAAATTACTTGTATCGATTGTGGTGCTCTATCATTCGGTCCTTTGAAAAAAAGAGGAAAAGATGGAATATTATCGCTGCGTCAAAAATATTTTAGAGTATGATAGCTGAAAAAATCACAAGCAACTACATTAATTAAGGATTGCTACCTATTTTTTATTTATTTATTCATTTTTTTCAATGAAATGAAACCAAATATCACACCAATGCGTTATATATTGATGGTGAAACTGCAGAAAAACGTATATCGGTTTGCGGCGTTGCAGACCTCCTGTCATACTTTATTTTTCCTATGGAAAACCACTTAACATCATTTATTGAGCATTTTGGATATTTTTCTTCTCTATGTGAAGAATATTCGGTGAAAATTTCAAGCCACGGTGTTGGTTCGGTTTCCTTTAAAAAATAAAATAAGAGGGGAGATTTTCAAACACCGCAACTGATATAAGCATTTTTGCAGTTTCACCATCGATATGTAGGTTCTAAGTTCTGCAGCATTATAAGTGATATCTCAGTATTTTAAAAACTCATTTTTTCAGTCATCATGGACATTTCATAATTTTGTTCTTATACCATATTGCAGCAAAAGAATGCATCTATATTAAAAATAGCCAACGAAATATCAGCCCCTCAGAGTATCTGCTCAGTATCTGTGCAATCTCTAGTATTTTAAATCTCTAAAAAAAAAATTCTCAAGATTCAGTAATTAAATTCATCATTTTATACCATTTTCTATATTTTCAAGAGTGTTTATCTGGTTTTCAGATCAATGGAGCTCGCAATGACGGCCAAAGAACCTTATAACTACTTTCTTCTTTTAAGAGCGTTATTCAGATCCATCGGTGAAGGACGCCATGATCTCTTATATCAGGAATTTCTACCTCTCTTACCCAGTTTATTACAAGGTAATTAAATGTTCTTTAACACGCCTGCAGAAAGTATCTCACAAAATGCATGTTTGTGAGCTGTTCTAGAAATCTGACTTTTCTCATTGCCCGTTTCAAAGACATGTGGAATATTATAGCTGTCTTCGTCAAGAAAGTTATTTTTAGGAGTCTCATTTTAAACCATTCAAGTCAACAATGGTACTACGGCGCAGGTCTCCTCAAATTAAAACGGGTGTAATCATTGTTTTACGCCAACACTTAAAGAACAGGGAGTGATACACCCCAAAGTTCAGCTCAAAATATAGTCATTTCCCTTTGCCTACAGAGAACAATAGGAAACATTACCAAGCTCAGAGCCACACAGTGCGGAAGTTTCGGTTTCAAATTTTGTTTTGAAGATTTCAGATTGTTATTTTTTGTGTTTTTAGGTTTGAATAGTCTTCAATCAGGTCTCCACAAACAGCATATGAAGGATTTGTTCGTAGAATTGTGCCTGACAGTTCCTGTAAGGTTGAGTTCACTCTTACCATACTTACCAATGCTGATGGATCCATTGGTGTCTGCGTTGAATGGATCGCATACTCTTATCAGTCAGGTATAATTCATTTTTCCCACCCTCACATCTTTGCCTTTTTTTTAAGGTTCTTCATGATTATAATATTCTAAGGACATCCTGGAAGGTCCCACAGGCTATCAGTGTTTCAGCGAGTACTGAAAGAAACTCAATTTTTTTTTTGCAACATGGCACACACCAGGTTTAACGAAGTTTGGTGATCATAAAAGAAGCACCATTTGTCGGAAAGTAGAGCAATCTTAGCGCAATCAAGAGCAGATTGTCACGTATTTTTATCAAACTGCAATTACATTTCACTCTGTTTTTTTTTCCTCAATAAAAATACAAGGTTTTTTATCCCTCAAGTATATTGCAAAATTCGAAGTCAGTCTGATTGTTACTTTATTGGATTCTTTTTAATCAATAAGTAGCTAACAATAATATTGAGAATATTTATCATTAAAATTTCATGTCTGTATTTTGTCAATTCTATCATGAAGTGATAATTTTTAAGGTAATATCTCATAATCTTATGCAGCTAAATTTGCCAGTGAGTTTTCACTAGCGTAGTCCTACAATCGATAATCTACTTTTAACTCATTGAAACCAATTCGTCAAAGCTGAAAGTGAAGTTGTTACACGACTGCAACGAAGGAGGCAAAGCCCTATTTTTTCAAAGTGTACAGTGAATCAAAGAAATCAACTTCTCAAATTTTTTTAGGGCCTGCGCACTCTTGAGCTGTGTGTCGATAACTTGCAGCCAGACTTCTTGTACGAGCACATTCAGCCAGTCAGAGCGGATTTAATGCAAGCTCTATGGCGTTCCCTCCGTTATCCAACCGATCAAAATGCCCATGTCGCTTTTAGGTAAGTATTAGCCTAAATTTCTTAAACTTAATGTAACTTGCTTCTTGATTTTTTCACCCTTTGTCATCTTCAGTTATTTGAATTCATAGGAATAATGTCTAGCAAAAGAACAATATCTTTTCCAGCTAATACTATTTGTCATGCAAAATTACTGTCTTCACATCTTAAGAGTCATGCCATCAGAACTATTGAGAGTTGAAACAATTTAATCACGTCTAGTGCTTAATTCAGGGAATCACACTGAAGGTTTTTCTCAATATCCGCAGCATAATGAATTCTAAGTAAGCCAATAACATATCAGCCTCTGACCAAGTGAAAGAAAATGGGTTTTTCTTGCAAATCGCAAGTTTATCCTTCAAGACAGTTGAAACCTACAAATTTAATGTTTCTCTTTTCTCAGGGTTCTTGGTAAGTTCGGTGGAGGTAATCGCAAAATGATGACAGAACCTCAACGTCTGGAATACAATAACAGAGGCGGTCTCCCACCCGCAATAGTAGTCCAGTTTCCTGAACATAGTAAACCCATTCAACTCCCTATTGATAAGGTAATTTACTTTCATGTAGATAAAATTTTGATCACTCCTAACCCAACGTTTTATGCTTAAAGAAAACTGAAGAACATCAGTTTCAGTACGGTTCCTTTTAATTATTTTATTACTTGTTTGTACATTTTAAATTCACAGCATATTAGGTCTTTTTGTTGCTCCTATGAAACCCCACATGGAAAACTAAAGAATTCAGCACTGAGTACATTTCAATATCATTCGATATATGTTCTTAACAACCTTGTGAGTACGATGAGCTTTTACAATCAAACCTTCTATAAGCCAATGTCAAGAAACGCAGGGCTGAAAGGTGAATTTTTTAGCACTCTCACATACATTTTCTTTCAAAAATATGGGTCTATTACTGTGTATGTGTGTGTGTGTCAAGTCTGCACGGGACGCTGTCATCATTTAGAGGAATTTGATTATTTTTGTCAGTACTATCTTCCTGGCCAGTAATGAAATAATAGCTCCCCTCAAACACCACTTTGATGTTGCAAAATTTCTACAAGGTAAGAAGTGTTTAAATGTTGGATATAATCACTTTTTAGCCTTGCTTTCCTGTAGTGAGCGAAAAGAAAGGTTGCTTTTTAAGGCTTATTATCACCAGGAGGTTGCAAACAAATAGTATCAAATTATAACGAAATATAGTCAGCATCTGATTACTTGGTTTTCCATGCTACGTCCTTTGTGTTTTGAAGTTTGAATCTTGTAGATAAGCGAAAAAATAATTGTGTCTTCTGAAAGGCATTCCTTTTTTCCCCCTTTAAATCAAGATGAATGCCCTTTGTAGGATTAAGTGCACTAATTTCTTTCATCGTAAAACTCTACACCAATATTTGCAGTTTCATGCAATTTACTTAGCCGTACACTAATTTTTTGATTATTTGTCTTCAGATTTTAGAAACAGCCGTGAATTTCCTTAAGTCTCCTACTACTGAATTGTTCTATCGACGCCAGTGCTGGGAAATTGTCAAAAGTTACACTGTAGCATCAATTAGGTTGGACGATGACAGACTATCAATGTTGAAACTCTTCTCTCATCCCAGGTAATTTTTCTCTGTCATTTTGTCTTAATTTTAGTTAAAAGATGTTTATGCTTTAGCAGATCCACACCACTGTATTTCAACCCCTCCAATGTTTCAGTGGTGTGGCGTGAATTGCGATGTATCGATTGTTCTGCCATGTGAACCTATGATGAATAATCGATTATTAAGGTGTTCGCTGCGAACACCCTGTTTATCGATCCTTCTCCATAGGTTTAAATGGCATATCAATCAATTAATTGCAAAGCAAGCCACGCCACTGCAATGTTTATGTTTTTTTTAAAATTAAGATTCTTCTCATTGCATTTAGCAATATGCGCAGTCAAAACTATTTAAAGTAAACCAATTAAGAGATGTTTCTGCCGTAGAGAAATTCAGGTCAATTTTTTGGTCAGGAATGACAAACGAGCCGATTAGTTAGTCACAGGCGTGGAAATCTAAATCGCAATTACACAAGCGATTTAATATGCATTTAGATCTATTTTCCATCGGTAATCTAGCCATTTTGGAAGAAGATTTGAATTTTTTATTACAAAAGAACAATTCCTCAACCCACATTGAAACATAAACTTTTTAATTCTGGTTTTTTCATAGGCCATCATCAATTCCAAAAAGTTTCATCTCTTCGCAAAACAAGTTTGCTCAGTTTTTTTTATTGTTTTGTTTCTAGCTTTACGGAAGGAGATATTCCACATATTCAAGGATCTCCGTACAAGTGTGCTGATAAACCTTGTCGCGACACCCATCTAACAGCTTTAACAGGTATTTCTTTTTTCACACTTTTTTGTTGATTTGAGGTTTTTGAAAATTGATCTCTCACTTTTAAAAATCTATCATGGGATATATTGCCTCATTAAGTACTAAATTGTTTCAATACGGATTAATTTCATTCCTAAGTTTTTTATTCATGTAGATTGAAAAAAATTTCAATTGTGTGATATAAAAAAAGAATAGTTCTGTCAAATCATGGAAAATGTTTTCATAATAATTTTTTTAAAATCGATATTTTGCTGCAGAATATTTCTTAAAATTGAGGCACTGTTTGTGAGTGCAAGAGGGGGGGAAGATGCGGCGTTTCAGAATCTCCGTTGCTACTTTATGTCTCAGAGAAAAATCTAACGTGCAATTTTTCTGGAATTTTTTCCATGAAACATTGTAGAATTGTGAAAAATGTTCGGCAAAAAAGATTGGTATCAGTAAAGTCTGTTTTTGGGCCCTGTTCTCGCTGAATTTCCTCAACTGCCATTTTTTTCCCATTGAAGGTCCATTTTTTACGGAATAAATCATGAGTTGGTCATTTCAGTTCTAATACTGGCCAAAACGAGGGTTTGAGAGCCGATTCCAGCAAAAAACGTGGATATCTACGCATTGAACCGCAAACCTGCAAAACCCGCATTTTGCGGAGAAATCGGCCTTCAGACCAATATTAAGGCCAGTATTAGACCTGTAAAGACTCCGGGAACAACCAAATCAGATGAATGCTATAAAATATAGACTTAATGGACAAAAAATTGTAGAGTTAAATAAACTCAAGGTGGCCTTCAAAACGGTCCTTAACGATACCCCTCCTTTCAATGAAATTCATGTATTAATTGTCTTTACAATCAATGAAGTATTAGTAGAGATTTTGAAACACTGCAATGGAGAAGTGCCTCTCTTGCACCCAGTGGCTCAATTCAGATGAGAGGTTATAAACGCTTTTTATGCAAAGATATTCAGTAAAAAATCAGACTGTGGTCTCATTTTTGTGCTCACTATAATCTATCTTTTTCTTTTACATTAAAGGATTATTCATCGGGGCTTCCATTAAAGATTTGAAGAAAATTGCAAGTCCATTTTTGATCGCTGTGGTGAGGCATTACACAATGGTTGCAGTCGCACAACAAGCAGGTTTATTTGCCATTGGTGGTAAGCAAAGCAGGCTTGAAGGAGGAATGGATGTAATCGTCTTAATTGATGCGTTAGCAGCCGTTATGGGTCATGAGAAGAAAGATGTTTCTCGTGTAATCGTTCCTTCATTAATACTCATTATCGACACCGCTACAACGCTCTTAGGATCCAAGGAAAGGGTAAGTTGATCTGCTGAAATATTTCCATTCTCTGAATAATGGCAAAGAATTTGCTTGTGTGAATTTTCTTTTTTTCCCATTATAGAAATCATTTAACAAATTGAATGGAGACACATTTTTATCATGTTCACCAAAAGTGCAGACAGTTCTAGCCTTCTCATTTTAGAAAGTCCTTCATTGCTCAAAGAGCCGTATGCAAAAACGACATTTTTCGCCCCCCCACTAAAACTTATTCAAACTTCGTCTATCAGTTACTAATACTGGAGCGCTTCTTTCCCCAAATTTTCAGACCCCCAAAAAATTTTGGGGGGGCGCTAGGGGGGGTGGAAGTCAAAATTTGTGACCCTCGATATCTTTCGAACGAAACAAGATATTGAGGCCCGGTTTGGACGAAAAATCGTCTAAAATTGCGTACTTTAAGATTGTAAAGGTCAAAATCTCAAAATTAAATTTTTAACTTAACTTATGTGCTTTTTTTCAGTTTTTGAGGAAAAACAATTTCTTTTAAACAGATTAAACTAAAATTTCACATTTTTTGATTTGAACCAAAACCAGTTTTTCAAATTGTTCGTCTTTTTCCGCATCCAACGAGTGGTCGTATAAGCTGGGGAACCGAACGGTTCCGGAGTTATGATCGATTGAAGTTTCCGCTCAACGCGCGCCGACCGATTTTCGCGCGCAAAAAAGTCGGATTTGACTGTTATTAAATCAGATTTAATGTTCAAACCGAGCAAAATGCATTATTAGGGACTCTTGAGGGTCGCTGAGTCCAGAAATTACAGATACTTCCAAAAAATTCACGTTTTTAAAATTACAGCTCCGTACAGGACCACTGAGCGGCCGGTCGGCGCTCAATGGGCCTCTAAAATAGCGCTACGGAGCTTTTAAAACAATTTTAAAAACGTGAATTTTTTGGAAGTATCTGTAATTTCGGGACTCAGCGACCCTCAAGAGTCCCTAATAATGCATTTTGCTCGGTTTGAACATTAAATCTGATTTAATAACAGTCAAATCCGACTTTTTTGCGCGCAAAAATCGGTCGGCGCGCGTTGAGCGGAAACTTCAATCAATCATAACTCCGGAACCGTTCGGTTCCCCAGCTTATACGACCACTCGTTGGATGTGGAAAAAGATGAACAATTTAAAAAACCGGTTTTGGTTCAAATCAAAAAATGTGAAATTTCAGTTTAATCTGTTTAAAAGAAATTGTTTTTCCTCAAAAACTGAAAAAAAGCACATAAGTTAAGTTAAAAATTTAATTTTGGGACTTTGACCTTTACAATCTTAAAGTACGCAATTTTAGATGATTTTTCGTCCAAACCGGGCCTCAATATCTTGTTTCGTTCGAAAGATATCGATGGTCACAGATTTTGACTTCCACCCCCCCCTAGCGCCCCCCCAAAATTTTTTGGGGGTCTGAAAATTTGGGGAAAGAAGTGCTCCAGTATTAGTAACTGATAGACGAAGTTTGAATAAGTTTTAGTGGGGGGGCGAAAAATGTCGTTTTTGCATACGGCTCTTTGTTCAATTTCAAAGTGATCCTTTTTCTTACACCCTCTTTTTAAATTTCATAAACCTTCTCAAAGATTACATATTCATTCACAGCAAACCCCAAATGCTTTTTTGTACCGCACGTTTATGTACTAACAATTATTAATGATGCTTATTCAATCATTTATGTTTGTCATCAACAGGCATTCCGTCTACCCCTGATGGAGTATTTAGCAGAACGAATGTGTGCCCTATGTTACGACCGTGCATGGTATGCCAAACTTAGCGGTTGTCAAGCTATTAAATTCTTCTATGAAGATGGGTGGCATCGCATATCAGCAAGGTGGATCTATCAGCATTTGTTTGTTTTTATGAAAGCGCAGTTATTTGTAATGATGGATTTGAACGGTGAGGTAAGTTTATCTAAGTTTGACCAAAGTGTTTCATTTCTACCTATTCTCTTTTTTTTAAAAAAAAAAATAAAAAATACAAGCATACCGGTGTAAAAATTATTTCAAATACCTTCTCTGAAACTTACCCTTGCTCTGAAAAAATAAAGACTTATCATCTATGATGGGCTAAGTGCCAAAAAGTTAATTTTGAAAAATTCATGATTTTGTTTACTATTAGCAGAGGATAATCTCCATATGAGTCTACTGTCTTCAAGTCTACAAATTGTGATCCAGGTTTTTAATTGTCTGAAGAACTCATCGGTCTGCGTAGTAGCTACAAAGATTCCCAGTGTTTTTCAGTCTCTCAAATGACATTTTAACTTATTTTCATTCAACATTTTCTAGGTTTCAAGTGGAGCAATTGATGAGGCTAAACAAAATCTGGAGAAAATGATTCGTCGTTGCGGGGCCCCCATAGAACCAGGCACAGATCCAGAATTAGAAGCGATTCAGAAGAAAGCTCTCGGAGAAGTTACATATGAACTCATCCGACAAATTACAAGTCCAACAGATTTATTGAGAGAACAGGTAAGACCCTAGAAATTTTGTGATTTTACTGCTTTCTCATTTCGTCACACGGTTTTTCACAATACTTGTTCCTCATTAAAATATTAATTAATTTCAAGCAAATCTGCTCAAAAAACCACATTAAAGTAAAATTTTTGCTCTGGATTATAGTTTATTAGCTGTTTTCCCTCTCTTTGTACGAAAAAATTGCTGAAGCGACTTCTTGTAAGAGCATAAGTCTTGGAAAATGCGGATATTTTTTTGAAAGAAATACAGTTGATGTACAGACTTTACCAGTCTTCTTACATTTACCTTTGGTTTTTACACAATAGATTTACGCCGCACGTTTTTAGAAGGAGAAATGATAACAGGAAAGAAAAAATCCCAAAAAATGTATGAGTTTTTTATTTTTTATCTTAAGTTCCATCTAATCCTCTAATTTCTTTCCTCAGTCAATACACTTATTGAAAGTGTTTGCGGAAATGCAAGGGAAAACTGTTCCAGAAGTAATGGAACCCCACAGAGACGTTTTGACTGTTATAATATCACCAAAAAAGAACTTGCTCAGACATCAAGCCGCAAATGCTCAAATTGGACTGATGGAAGGCAACACTTTCTGCTCTTCTTTAGTGCCCCGACTTTTTACCCTGGGTTAGTACTCTTAAGTTTTCACTTGTTTTATTATTTTTCTTTCAGTTTTTTGAAGGAATCCCTCTGCATTTTCAAGGTTGCGGGCAACCTGGAAAACCTGTGAGGTCAGGGATTTTAGCAATTAACGCATTGGCTCAGCAACTTCTGCTGGTGCCATTCAAGAGCGTACAAACAACCTCCGATTGCCTTTTTCCATAGTTTGAATCTCCAGAAGTGGGCATTTTGTTTAAATTTTAGCAAAAGTCAATGTGATTAAAAGATACAAATTCAAGAGGAACTTTTGTCTGAAGGCCTAATAAACCAAAAAAAGTTAGAGAATTGGAAAATGAAAAAATTGTGGAAATCCTGATTATTTTTTTTTTTTATGAGAATTTAAATCTCGCAAAATTTTTAAACGGGCGCTTTTCATGAAATAGTTCATCATCTGCCCTCTAACTATTCTGTACTGATATATTTTGGTACAGTTGAAGTAACTTTTTACTATTGTAACATGGAATAGTCACTGAGCTGAATCTTTCAAGTGACCAATTTACTGATTTATGACATCTTTGTTTTTTGTAGATCTGGAAGTCGAATTGAACAAAACATTCTTTAATGAATTGAGAAATCTATGCTCAACTCAGGACCAGATGCTGTTGAAACTGCCTTGTTACAAGTCAGTCTCAAATCTAGTCCCTTTGAGGAAAGCAGCCATGAGAGTCTTAGCAGCTTGCCACTATATACCTGCAGTCACCGATAAGGTATTCCTATCGTTGTACCAAGCCTTGGACAAACCGAACCCCGAGTTGCAAGAAGCTGCATTCGAGTGCATGAAGACGTTTATTGCCGGGGCAGAATTGGATAGAGCTTTGGTAAGTGTCCTGATCTATTTTTACTAAAAATAATAGGATTTGGTTGATTGCTTGACATTTTTAGTCATTAATCGCGTTTCTTTCCATTTTGTATTGTTAAACTAAGGAACATGGCACTGTACACATATTATTTTTTAGGTGTGGGAAAATATGGGTTATATTGTCTCAAATCAAATCTGATAAAAGAAGAAAAATGAAATATCTAATCAAATATCTTTTTCATTATTAGCCAAAACCATCCTCTCTGTCGGGTTAATTGAGCTCCCGTTAGATTTGTGAGGTATGATTCTAATATTTTGACAGTCGTCATCGCGAGTATACATCTGCCTACTTTTCATCCAACTTTTGCTCCATGTCTAAATAGATCGAGTTTTATTTCCTCAGATTATTCTCATGAAAAATGAAGTCCGAAATTTGATTCAAACATTGGAATCATATAAATAAAAAACTCAAAGTTACAATAGAGCTATAATTCAAATATTCCAAGATTATTTCTTAACAGTATTGGTTTACTTATTTGTTGGTGAATTATTTTTTTCTTCCTATGTAGATTCGTGATGCTTTGCGGCCACTTCTCACAACTTTGAGTGATGTTCGAAGTTTGCATGTCAGTGGTGCAAGGAGACTCTCTTATCTGGTCCAACTATTTCCACACAGTTTCAATGAAAAATTCTGCGAACAATTGCTGGAACATTTGCATAAGTTGTTCAACAACTTAGTCCAACAACAACAACAGGGTAAGTTTTCCTCTTGCATTAAAGCCGTCATCTTTAAAGTTCTAACTTCTAAATTTTCTTTCATCGGCTGACCACAAGCAAATGTCAGGCTACGACCCAGTTTAGAAAAGTGGAGTGAATGACAAGATGAGTAATGAGTGTATAGCACTGTAAATTGCAAGTTTTAATTGCGAGATTTTAATTAAGAATTTTTTCAGTGTTTTATTTATATTTTTCGAATAAATGGATGAACAACCATATTTTCATTTCAGCATCAAAGTACCTTTCTAGATAAGCATCATAATTTTTTCACAATTACCGATGAAAATTCCCTCTACGACAGTAGGGAATCTCATCATATCTCATTATGTTTTTATGTTTCATCCTTTATAGGTGGCACGAAAAACGGGAATATGGAAGAAATAATAGCAATCATAATCAATATTTTCCATGAGGCTCCTGCTGCCAGTGTTAGGTTTATTGAACCTCTGACACAACTCATTCTGCAGAGTGAAAAGTCACTCAATATTGGTCCCAGTTCTCCTTTCAGAGAACCGCTTTTCAAATTCCTCCTGAGGTATCCAAAAGAAACCGTTGACTTGGTCCTACAAGATAAGAATGTTAAGGTTAGTTGCGAGTTTCATTTGTCCTGCCTTGTCATCTTTGTGCTTTCAAATTCGTAGTGAAAATCAAGAAAACCGTAAGAAAATGAATTTTTTTGTTCATATTGTCAAAGCTTGAATGCAGCATCAAGAAACTTTTTCAAGGATGCACTATTTCTTGTTGTTGTACTTCCAGCAATAGTGCTCTAATTGTTTGCTCTGCAGATAGTTTAATACCGGAGAATTATTTTAAGGTTTATCTGCAGCTCTGCAAAGTAAAGAATTTCTCCGCGCAGAGGTGCCATTGCTGTGTTTTGATCTTGAGGGTCACATCATTAGAGTTTGTACAGCTTGACGTGAGTTCTTGAGCTTCTATGAAAATTGAAGGAATTTCTATTAAAATCAAAGAGTCCTAAGTTCCAGCTATGACATTCTTCTTCCTTTTGACACTAAAAAAGATCTGAAAAGTAATTTCTGAAACTCTTTAGTTTGGTCCCAGAAAAAAGTAGGATTAAGCAAAATGACCTTAATGTGACCAATAACAAGTAACCCCTCTCAGCAATTGCAGATATCTCTCGCCACCGTGAACTGTCTCTCTCGCACTTACAGGCATCCTATAAGAGAAACTGGGATCAAGTTTTAGCCTTTATTATGAAACTATGAAAGTCTATTTTTATTGTATTCTTGTGTTTCCCTCAGGAATCTTGCTGGTCCAAATATTTAGCTTTCATTACAAAACACAAGTCGGGTAAACCCTTCAGGGATGTACTGCAAAGCGATGAAGGTGTACAAAAATTGATCCAGATGGTGAAAGCTCCTGTCGATTATCAGTCCAATTTAACGGAAGGTATGGTCTACGATCTTGTCTCTCTCAACTTTAACAGTTTTTAAAATAATTTTTAGGTTGGATGAGGTATCCTCCCAGACAGGTATAATGAGTTTGCTTTAGCAATGTTGGCTCAGGTATACTCGTGTGGTTGGCAAGAACTTCGTAATTCCAGTCAAGATTTCTCATATAATTTTCTGAAGAGTAAAAGTAATTTTGTGAAAACCTAGGCCTATTTTTTCCTGGAGGAACTCTTAAAGAATAAAATGCCAAATAATGATACTTAAAGTGACCATTTCTCAGGTACTTTAGGCGCTTCACATGAAACTCATTGGTCAGATAAAAATCTTTTGAATTTAAAATGTGGGTTTTGCTCTTTGTTTAGTATTTGGTTCCAAAATGTCTCTTTGAAAAAATACTTCTTTTGAAAATGTGAGATAACTATCTCACCGCCAGTACCTATAGCTTTCCTGGTCAACTATTGTCTAAATTATCATCACATGTGTACTTTATTCAACAACGGCAAAATCGACAAGATACTTGAACAAGAAGATATAGTTTGATTCATTAAATTGCAAAAAATTCAATGGCTAGGACACGTTAGCAGAATGGAGGAGAAGGGAATGCTGAAGAGAATCATGAAAGCCAAAGTTCTATCGAAGAAAAAGAGAGGAAGGCCAGGGCTAAGATGGCAAGATGAGGTAGAGAAAGATCTTAGAGTCATGAAAGTGATAGGATGGAAGGAAAAGACCATGGACAGAGTAGGATGGAGACGCGTCGTCTTGGAGGCCAAAGCCCACCCCGGGCTGTAGCGCCATTAGTAAGTAAGTAAGTAAGTAAGTAAGTAAGTAAGTAAGTAAGTGTACTTTATTCAAGACAACTAATCAACTCTTCTCTTTGTAATTTTTGTAGAAGAAAAAGAAGAGTTACGATTCCAAGGTGTCCGCATTGTTGCTTGGTTGATTAAATTTGATGATCAGTGGTTATCTTCTCAATTCACTCTAGTCGACTCATTGACAGAAATTTGGTGTGATAATCAGTACCAGGTATGTAATACAATCCACTTTGTAAATTTAATTGATTGTTGTTTTCAAACAGGCTTTACAACTCTTCTCTACCCTTTCTTCATTTTCCAATTTTTTCCTCTCTGTAAGAAAATTTCCTGCTGTAAAATTATAATTCAGAAATTAATAGATTTTTTTTTACATCTTTTTTGTTTTGAAACACTCATAAATGAAGTAAAGGCAAACATAATGAGGAAAGTATTTAAGTTGTCCATTTCATAACAATTTTCCATGTAAAGCAGGTTTGTTTCTGTATTTTTTTGGCAATCTGGTTTTGATCATGTAAATTCCAGTATCTCAAACTCAACATAAATGTTGTACATTTTTTGACACTATGAACCTTTTCCCAATTGACATTTCTTGAGACATTTACATTTTATTAATTTATTTTTGTTTTTAATTTTTCAGGAACGGCACAGGAAAATTGAAACTGTTTCGTGCGCTCATTGGAAAGAACCGCAGCTCCTTGTTGATATTTTGCTACATTTCTTCAGCCATCATCCAACAAAAATCGACTTGTTGTTTCAACTTTTACGGGCTGTCATCGGAAGGTTCCTACCAAGCTTTCAAGTAAGTAGAATCATCAATTTAAACTGTTTTTTAAGTTGTATTGATGTTTATAATGGAACAAACTAAACGTTTGAAGTAACAAAGTTTTAAACCTGTCAGTAGCATGTATTTTCCTCCTCATCTAAAACCTTCGATTTGTCAATAGTCAATTAATTTCAAAATATTTCAATTAAATTTTTTCTTTGAGGTCTTATTGAACATTTGAAGGCAATATGAAAGTAAAAACTTAAGAAGCCCTAAAAAGCAGTTTTGAAAATATAGTTTGCATCTCTTTTGAAATCTTTCACAGCTACGTTTAGTTTGAGTGCATTCTCTTTCATGTCAGCCGAGTTCTTCATCACTTTGTTCGACTTTTTTTTTTTTTCTTATCTGTCAAGTGATAGGCTGTTTTTACCTACAAAATAATTTTATTCTCTATCATCCATTTTCTTCTCTTTTTCAGAAACTACATAATTTCTTGGAAACAGCCGTTGCTCAGGATTACACTGTGGAATGGAAGCGTTCTGCTTTCTTTAAATTCGTCGAATTATATCAAACTCCCAACGTCTGTGAGGAACTAGTGGCCAAGATTTTACAGTTCATCATCATTCCTTGTTTTTCTGTTTGCTTCGAGTGTGGGAAAGGCGATCAACTCATCCTTGGCTCCGACGGCCATAATATTGTTTCTGTTTTCATCAATGATGTAAGTTACAATATACATATAGTAGCAATAAGAGCAAAATCTAAATATATTAAGTGCATCTTTAAGGCAAATGTTTCACCCTAAAAATTGCCTTTCAACATGACATGGATCCTGCAAAGTATCATTCCCATTAAAATAATCTGAAAGCGGATTTTTGCAACTGAATAGGATTGACAACACTAACCTCCGTAATCTCAATATAGTTCTCTCTGATGAAAGTTTCAATGTATCCAGTCGGCAATATTACCTACCATTTTATTTGAATTGTTTCAACTAAATTGTTGAAATTGTTGACCAAAAAGCTACCAACAAACGTTATCTATTTTCAACTCGTGTCAGCTGTTTTTTTTACGTTAAAGTTGGTTGCAACCAAATTTCATAAAGAAAAGTGTGTAATATTTAGTTGGAAATTATCTTTTATCTTCACCTTTTCCAATTGGGTAAATCTATCAATTGTGTCTGTTGTAAATTGGGGAGAAGTTTTTCATTTTCTTAGGCATGTTGATAGATTTCTAGTATATAAAGTCAAGAATCTTGGTAATTTTGGTCCAGAAAGCTTAGAGAAGCTGTAGAATTTTTTTTCCTAAAGGCTTTAAGCTCCCTGATTATTCTGATTCTGGTGAATTTTCTCCCACACATTTTCACCGTCCTCTTTTTTATATGTATTTATTTTTTGGATTGACTAGGCTCTCTTCTTTGCCGTAATTAAATCTAAATGTAATTTAATCTTGTAATGTGTTTTTCTCCTTTTTGTAGGTCATCGACATCAAAGAGTCATCAAAAAGGGCAGATTGCGTAAGGACTCTCGTGCTGCAACTTGCTTGTCTGCTAGTGGAGCAGGCTCCTCACCATATCCCCTGCAATAAAAATAACCGAGAACAGTTGCAACGCCTCATGACTTACGCCTGGCCATCGCTTCTCAATCGGAATTGTATGGATCCCGCAACTCGCTACCATGGACATCTGCTCATTGCTTTCATCATCACAAAATTCAATGTTTTTAAGCGAATAGTTTCACAAGGTAGGTAAAGGCCAGTCTACTAATGTCCCTGGTTGTTTAATGTATATATCGTCAAAGTAATTTTCATTACGCTCTTTCTAACGACAGGAGTTCACTAATCATCGTAACTAGCACAGCTATCGAAATGAAAAATTTGAAAATTTAAAGTAACCTTAATTTTTTTGTTTTAATTTTGATGTATATCGCTGGAACCTGTGGAAGTCGCCCTAAGGAACAATGAACATGTGAAATTGCCTTATTCTTATGGAGGTCTTTCATTCAACAATTTCTTGCTGTTTGTTTTTTTCAGTGTTCCGTAGCTTACTGAAGGCGTATTCAATGGAAATTCGGGGAGTTGTTAGACAAGCTCTCGATATTCTGACGCCTGCCTTGCCCACAAAAATGAATGATGGTTATGCCACTCTAGCCCACTCCACTAAAAAAATAATCGTTGAAGAGGGTCACTCCATGCAACAGCTCTATCATATTTGCAGCATTGTTGTCCGTCACTATAAGGTATGGTTTGAAGTGTTTTCTATAAACAATTCATTTATCAATTAATGTTTCATCAAACATGTTTGAATTCGGTATTATAGATCAATGGATGAATATAATCATATCATTATCACCATTTAAAAACAATTTCTAGATGTGCAAGATTTAATTCTATACCTTACATTTAAAGCTTTAATGCAAACTTGTGGACCCAAAAATGTCCCTTCCTTGCACATTGTATTCGGAGCCCTCTCACGCGATTCTCTCTCTAACAGCGTTTCAACTCTGACCATTCTTCAGCTGTGGTTCTGTTCCTACTACAATCCCCATTTTTCTTCTCCTACGCTACCTGTAGGTATGACAGTATGCAGCAACTGGTCAAGAAGTCTCTCTTTGCATCCTCTCTAGAACTTCCTAGAATCCTCTCGCAACTCTCTAGAATTCTCTTGCAACTTTCCAGAAATTTCCCAGATTTTCAAGAGTTGTCACCCGGCAATAAAGAGGCAGTTGTTTCAGGAACATTCTAGAACTCAAAAATTTTCTGAAAGTGGCGAATAAGCTAAAGAGAATATCCCCTCCTAACAATTGATAAAGGTCCAATGCAGGAACCCTTTAGTTACCGATAAAGGATGTGTAATGTGCATTTTGAGCGGCTAGTATCTAATTGATTCTATGTTTGCAGTTTAGTATATTTTATTCATTCAAGAGTCAATGAAAAATAGTCAAGTTTACAATCAGGCAATCTGTACATTTTTTATTGTCACCCCTCTACTGTCATTTTTTATTTATTGAATGTAATGTTCAATGCGTTTGATGTAATAGGTTTACTATCCAGTCCGCCACCATTTGGTGCAAAGCATGATCACATCAATTCAAAGGCTTGGGTTTACGCAGTCAGCCACAATTGAACACCGAAAATTAGCAGTCGAACTTGCTGAAGTAATCATCAAGTGGGAACTTCAAAGAATCAAGGATGAGAATGAACCCACCGATGTAAGTGCCTTTTTGTCTCCAATCTTGCCGCCCTCGCAGGAGAAGTTTTGATTTCCCTCAAATTTCCAAACAAATCATGAGATTTTGGCTCTATCGCAAAAAAATAGTAATTTACCACAAGCAAGGAAATCTCTGCAAATACATGTGTTTGATTCTAATAAGAAAAGACCGAATTGAAACTTCCTCTGTCATGGTCGGCCTTCTGTGATGCAGTGCCTGTAGTGCTGGCTAATAGTGTAATCGTTAATTTTTTTCAACTTTCTCCATTCTGAATTTTCCCTAAGCTTTTCAGTTTTTATAGTATTTTATTCAGTCAACTCTAATCCTACCCTCTCTCCTCCAGGCCAATATCGCAGCTGGCATCAGAAAGAGACCTTCCGTTGATGACGCAGGACCTCCTGCCAAGAGGATAGCAACAGGTGTGTCAACTCCAACACCATTTGCAGCCTCTGGCTCCTCACAAGAAGATCTGGATGTTCTGAAACCCATCGAGAAAACACATGCCAATGCTGTTTTAAATTTCTTGGCTCGCTTAGCTTGTCAGGTATGTAGATAGTCTATCAAGTGTGCATCTCCTCTCTGTGTCTCACTTTTCTCTGTAATGGACCTATAGACAAGGTTTAAATTTAAGCATTGTTCAACATGTCTTCTATTCAAAATTTCCCAAGGGAAACAAGTCTCGCAACAAGAAGTCTAGAAATCAACTTCTAAACAAGATATACTTGTAAGTGGTTACAATTAACATTGTTTGAATGGCTGAAATACAAATTATGTCATTTGTATAATCTAACTTCTGTTCGATCTGTGTTAAAAATATTCATTTAGTCTGGTTCAAGAGTTAATTTCCAATCTTCTTGTTGAGTAAATCGTTGTATACATGAAAACATTCAAAGAGAAAACATTTAGAATACTTTTCTAGTTTTCTATTCAAAACCCTACATTTCTATCAGTTTAGGGTAATCTCAAAAATAATGATGAAGATTTTAAGGAAAGTGGCTGCCGTTAACCCGTCTAGTCTCGTCTGAATGGCCACTTGTTTTCAGATTATGCCCTCGCTCTTTTTTCAATTTCATATCAATGTTAAGTCGTAGGAAAATTGCAACTTAGTGATGTTGTCCTTAGTTTTTCCATCCTATTTTCATCTCACAACCCATTTTTGTTTTTTAGTTAAATGAGAATTCTGCTGGAACAAGCGCAATACCGTCACAAGGAGAGTTGCTCTCCCGTCGATGTATCGCTCTCATCAGAATGGCTTTGAAACCAGACGTGTGGCCCCAACAGAATCTTGATTTACGTCTAGCTTGGTTGGATAAGGTTTTTGCAACAGTAGAGTCTCAGAATGCCAATTTGGCCAATGTCTGCACCGCGTTGGAATTGTTCACATTCCTGATAACCGTCATGAGGAAAGAACAAATTTTAGCAACTTGCAAATCGTTGCCCAACATTTCCTCTTGCATTGCTTGCTCAAATACCAAGGTAATTAGACAATAATTCTCAAATTATTATGCTCAGAAAACAAACATATTTTGCATTAGTAAATTTTTTTAAAGCTGTTCAAAAATACCATTTGATAAATCTGTGTTTCACAATAAAATTGTTTAATAATCATAATTGCGAGGTCAGTTGCGCTATTTACAGAATCAACTTTTGATAGTTTAAACTTACAAAGTAACAGGATCTGTTTAAATGCCAAGTGTTTATGTCCAATATTAACAAAGATATTGCTAATAGAAGCACACAGTGTATGATGTCATCCACTGTGGTAGTGTGTGCCATGGTTTCTTCTACCTTGGTTTCATCAATCTGTAATACACACATTTGCAGTGTTGATCAATGTAAAAGATGATAAAAGCGAGATAGGTAAACCATGGTCACCACGGTGGATGATGTCATACGCTGTATTTTTTACTGTGCAATATTTTCGTCAATATTGGATATAGAAATTTAGCGTTTGGACGGATCTTATTATTATTTACTGATCTTCCAAGTTAAACCATCAAAACATGATTTTGCAACTAGCGCAACTGACCCATTCAAGTGCTACAAAAATATTGATTATTTCTTTTGGTAAGAATATCTTGATGTGCCCTTAGGTCTATCAGTGATTTAATTTTTCTTTCAAATTTTTTCTTGTCAAAAGGTCGTAAGGCTTGTGCATGGATTGCTAAGTCGGCTAATGGCACTATTCCCCACTGAACCTGCCACATCACAGGTTGCCTCAAAACATGAAGAGTTGGAGTGTCTCTACTCTTGTGTCAGCAAAGTAAGTTTTTGAAGGAATTTTTTTTTTACTCAAACGAATTATTATATTTTCCACGGCTCTATGGTGGAGCACTATTTTAGACGTGTCTATCGCACGTTTCTCTCCATCAACTTTTTTTCTCTTGCGTGAAAGTCTCTGAGTCAGCCAAAAAGAGATTCTCCTTCATTCTGTGGAAACGCAGTTTTGCCTAAGTGGATGTATCACACATTTCACTCTAGTAAACTTTCCTATTCCTGCGTTAAAGTCTCTGCGTTAGCTGAAAAGAGATTCTCCTTCATTTCGTGGATACGCAATTTCGCCTACTTGGATGTATCACACGTTTCGCCCCATTCAACTTGTCTACTCCTGTGTTAAAGTCTCTGAGCGAGCGGAAAAGAGATTCCCCTTCATTTTGTAGGTATGCAATTTTACCTATTTGAATGTTGGAATCATTGCATCACACGTTTTGCCCCATAAACTTTTCAACTGTGGGTTAAAATCTTCAAGTCAGCAGAAAAGAGGTAAAGTCCTCTTCATTGTTGTGGATGGGGGAGAAAGTTTTGTTGCTTCATAACTGTGACCGGATCTATGAAAAGGGACTTCATTCTCTGGAAAAAATTCAGAGTACAGCTTGTGTGATTATTGTTTTGTTATGTATATTTTCAGGTTATATACGAAGGGTTAGCGAATTATGAAAAAAGTGGAAACACAAACACTCTATTCAGGACTGTAATGGCTTTGAAAGCAGCATGCAGCAGTAACCCAAGCTATGTTGATAGGCTGGTTGGTCAGTTTGTGCGCGTGCTTCAGCGTTTAGCTCGTGAACATCTGGCTTCGCTCATTTCACACACCAGTGCGGAAACTCCTAATGAAAACCCTCAACTCATCAGAATTGGTAAAAAAATGTTTTTTGGTTTTTGATTTTTAAGAAAAAAAAAATGCAAGATCTTAGCACTTTTTTAACTTTTCTTGAATAAAAGCATGCACTCTTTGCTTTAGTAAATTGAGAAAAACACTGATCATTCCTCTAACACTGTTAAGTGGTTATTTGTGGGTACAACACTTATACCATTCCTTCTACCTTCACTTGGGGATCAAATCAAATTTAATTGGATAGAGTAATCAATGCCTAAATTGTTTGTTTTACTCCGGTCACCCATTTTGTGGTCAATTTTGAGGTCTGACAATCGCCAAGATCTGCTTGGCTTGAACGTTAATGGGCTTACGCACTGGACTTTGAAAGGGACTTAATGACCGTACACTTAATGACTATCATACTTTTTTCATAAACTGGAACTATGTGTTATTTTTTTTAGGAACTAATGAGTTGCTGATATTATGTCTGGACCTCGTGAAGAATCGTGTCGGTGGAATGAGTGGTGAAACGCGGAAGACTTTTCTTTTTACCATAATCATAGGGCTGATTGAAAAAACTAGTGATATTAAAATCATGAGAACCATTCTGAAGGTGAGAATCAGTCTATAATTTACCATTTTTTTTTTTAAATAAATGTTTGATGTATACCTATCTCCCTCATAACCCTCTCCAATTTGTATGTATACTCTTCTTAAAATTCCCTCAGGAAGGATCCCAATTACAAGAAAATAGAATATATACAAAAGCAACTTGCAAACAAGACTATTGCATCCACATTTTAATGAAGAAATAGAAATAAAAACAAACCGAGGGAAATCGGCAAAAATCCTGTGACAAAACAAGTAGTCCTAATGTTCTGATTGTCCCTCCTTCTATCAAATTCTGTTCATTATTTTAGCATTTAAACAAAGACAATAAAATAAATATTTGCCCCAAAACCAAGAATTTTAAATAATGAAGAGTTGTACAAATCAGTGAATCCCTCTAAGTCATTTCACAAGTCAGCGGCTAATACAAAAACATGCAAATTGAGGATGTACGCCTTTTAATCTGTTCGCTTTTCTCTCATTCATAAGAAATATGTTTTGTTTTGTTTTATTTTAATTACAGATTATTGAAGATTGGATGAACGGCCCTAATGTCCAAGGTTCACCAACATTGAGGGAAAAATCAATGCTACTCATAAAACTAATGCAATTTGTTGAGAAGAAATTCCCTGACCTCAATACACAATTTTTAGAGCTAGTCAATAATATTTACAGGTATGCCAATGGTATCTTCTGCAATTTTTCCCCCCCTCTTCTGTTCGTGTATCCAGTAAATGCACTATCTACTATGAAATTATTTAAAAAACAATATCATACCAGTTAAAATTGCAACACCTGGAATGTACAAAATCCAGTTTATATCCATTTCTAGGGTGCTACTAGTACAGTTAAAGAAAGTTTTGCTGCTATATAAGAGAAAAATTTTGATACATGAGTCGTTTTAGATGAGAGACAATGATGTCGCCATCCTGCATTCATTAATGAATCAATAAGAAAATTCTCTTCAGACAGGGAAAAGCCTCATTTTGGTAAAGTTTGTTATAACTACCGTTACGCCTACTAGCATATCTCAAATATATGAAAACGTCAAAATTAGTTTTCCCCTCATTATTTGAGAGAAAACTGATTTATGCAGAAAGTAAAACATAGTGGCAAAGTCATCATCTCCTTGTCTAAATTTTCCCTGGTTTTAACCAGAAAATAACCCAAAATATGGTTAGTCTCTATAACCTCTCCAGATAAAGTGATAAGTCTTATTAAGTGAATGATGCTGATAAAATGATTACTCTTATGAAGTGAATGATGCAAATAAAATGATATTTCTTATAAAGTGAATGGTGCAAAGTATAGAAACTCATGCAGCTTGTTTTCATCAGTTGAAAATGCTCATACATCTGTTTTAGCATCAGTGCATTCATTCAAATGGTGGAAATCTTCATTTTCCTTCATTTTCTGTCAGGAGTCAAAAAGTGGGGAGTTGACAATTTTACAAAGATTCTCTCCTGAGTTTGTGCTGTCATTTGTAGCAAGCTGTGAATTTTTTGCTTTCAGAGATGAAGTTTTAAAATCTAGTGAGCTGACAATCAAATTAGAACCTGCATTCCTATCAGGGCTGCGGTGCATGGTCCCTGCATTACGTGCCAAATTCTTTGATGTCCTTGATCGGTCAATGCGCCGTAGATTGTTGGATAGACTTCTCTACATCGTAGCCGCTCAGAACTGGGAACCAATGGGCCACCACTACTGGTTGAAGCAATGTATCGAATTGATAATGGTCACAGCCTCCCAAAGTAAGTCATCAAGTACAGGGTCACTGCAGTCAGGGAATACAGGAAAATATCAGGGAATTTCGAAAAGTCAAGGAAATCGTGGAAATGTCAGGAGAAATGATGGAAGTGTGAGGAAAAAATTGTTAAGTCTCCTTTATTCACTTTTTAGAATGCGTTTGTTGATTCAAACAACAAATTTTGGGTGAATAATATTTCAAATTAAGTCTTTTTAACTATCTGGCTCACCCTCAATTGTTGAATCACCAAAATTTGTCAGAGGATTTAATTCTCCAAATTCTGTGACAACCATGCAAGCATCACCAGACTTTACCATTACTGCGCTACATTCAAACAGAAATAGTGGAAATTAATGTGTGTGTGTGCATGTGTATCCATAGCATTTTTTCTTGTGGTAATCTCTGTAGCAGGTAAATCTTTGATATACTTTTTCATTGTAATTAAATAAAGTTCTTTTTTCTCTTTACAGCCACACAACTACAATTGGCAGGAGAAACCACTAGTTTATTGCCTTGTGTCACATCCGTCATTAATCTTGCAGAACCAAATGATAGAGATAATTTTGTTGTCTTCGCTTGCCCAAAAGAAGAAATGCCAGACTCATCTATGTCAGAAACTTCCATTGTAAGTTTAAACATTTTTTCATAGAGAAACTTTGAAAATTTACTGTTGTATCTTTCCTACACCTGAAATTTTAATACAAAAATAGTTTGCAATGTGCAATTTGCATATGTGGATGGAAATAAAAAGCAGAACAAAAATCTTATAAGAAAGGAGGATGAGAGTATTCTATTAAGTCTCCTCCAAACAATGCTTAAGACACCAGCCAAATCTTTTGTTTCACTGTTTTAACATTCCTGATGTTCATGACTCATCAAGTCTTACTAACGCAATTTTTACTGCAATTTGAGCCCAGAATCTTGTGAATATTGTTAAAAATATTAATTTTTATAGTTATGTAAAATAAATGATACCTGATCTGCTTTTCTTTTCTGTTTCTTTTTGACATGTGAGGAAAAAAAAGGAACTGTAATCCAAAGAAGAACAGTTCATACATTGTTTATTGACATTTTTCCACATCGTTTAGGAGAAACTTATTTCAGGCTATTTTGGAAAAAAATGGCACAACTGGTAGTGTATTGCATTCTAAAGTGTTGTTTTGTAAAATTTCTGTTTTTAAACTTTTACAACGTATCTTTATGATCTTACGTTTTCAGGAGGACCTTGGAGACTTGGAGTTGATCGGAAATGATGCTGATACAGTGGTTGTGAAACAAGAGCCTGGAGTGGGAGTGGCAGGTCTCACTCGGGAGGCTAATTTACAAAAACTCATCGGCTTCCAAGCAAAATTCCTTGAGACTGTCAGAGAAACAAAAACGGTGAACATTCTCGGAGCCATCGCCCAACTTGGACATATGGACACAACTTTAGCTGAATCCATTTGGCTTGATATGTTCCCTCGGCTGTGGGGCATTCTTTCCGAGCGGCAGCAATCAGTGAGTAATCACTTAACTTCAATCTTGTGCAATGAGTTCGATTTTTAAGAGATAAGTTTGCAAATGTATTTGATGCACGTGTGAGCAATATCTTCTTTGTCCTGTTTACTTGGTTACTCAAAATTTCAAATATTTGGTAACTGTGAAGACATATTTTAAAAGAATCAAAAAAAATGTACAAAAAAACTCCAACATCCTGTCTTCAATCTTGAATCTAAACCTTCCTTTGGTGTTGTGTAATTGTGATTGCATAGTTCTCTAATCTCGTGTGTTAAAAATTCAAATTACTTGAAGTTGAAAATGTTGAGAGCAAGTCTTATTAAACTGATTAGATTAAATGAACCAAAACTGAATGCAAAAAAAAGGAGGAAAGTACGAAGGTGGGGATAAAAGTGTGATAACTGAAGACATATTTCAAAAGAACCAAGAAAAAAATGACAAACTATTAACTCCAATTTGCGCTGAAATTTCTTCTAGGGCAAGTTCCCATTAGTTACCATGTTAATATATCGCGCACAAGGAGCTTTTGTCCTACAAACCTCTTCATCAGGAAGTTAAAGATTCGTTTGATCAGTAATCAGCAGCAAAATTGAAAATGATTGAGAAAAGAAAATTTTCTAAAGGTTTCAGGTGTTTAGTCTTAGACTTACTTGGAAAGTCTAATATTTTCCAAAGTTTCCCTCTCAGCAAAAGAGGGCGCATAACCTTTATTAATAAACTTATTTTTTTTTCCTGCAGATTCTTGGAGGAGAAATTGTAGCTTTCATTGGAAGCGGTATTCATGTCGTTCAGAGAGACTCTCACCCTAGCGCCATCTGCACATTTTATGAGTCCTTAGCTCATTGCAATCCTCAGATTTCTTTGAAACCGTGAGTAATTGATTATATCCTCCTTGCATTGGTTTAAAAATGGGAAAGAAAGAAAATTGCTGCAATATCTTTTTTGTACTTAAGACGTTATTTTTATCTGATTGTGATGAATGTAGTAAAGGTGCCTTATGTCAGTCAGCAGCTATTGATATTTAATGGATTTGCACCAATGGGCCTGTTGCATGCAAGAGATACAGCCGCGCGATGAGACTTTTCAGCGGTTAAATGACACGAAAATTACGATGGTCACATTAAAAAAGTCTGAAATACACTCCTTACTGCGCAATTTGCGTTATTAGGAACACGCTTTTTCAAATTTCCTGCGTCTGGGGGCAGTTTTCTAATCACCGGAAACGAGCAAACGGCGGGCTCGGTGATTTCCGGAAGATGATGAGTCGTTGTTGTTGTTGTTATTTTTTCCTTCAGTTTGTTTACAAACCCAACCCCAACCTAATCTCTTATAGTGGTCCATATACGCTGTATGCGGTAACCAAATCGATCAACTTTTAAATATCCAATGCAATCCTTCTGCATTTCATTTCACGATATCACAAGCTCCGATTTTTAGGTTATGTTGTCAGTTTTAGTTGACCGGAAATAGCCGCGAGTTGCTGTTAATTGTTTCCGTTAGAAAACTGCCCCCAGACGCGGGAAATTTGAAAAAGCGCGTTCCTAACAACGCAAATTGCGCAGTAAGGAGTGTATTTCAGACTTTTTTAATGTGACCATCGAAATTTTCGTGTCATTTAACCTCTAAAAAGTCTATTTGCACGGCTGTATCTCTTGCATGCAACAGGCCCATTACCATTTTACATTTCTTGTGAACAGTACTGCTGTTCTAAGGGGAATTTTCGTGTAAACTTTTGGACTTTGCCAAATTTTCCCTGATAAAGTACAAAATATTTAAAGAACTAGAGATTTTTTTTTTCTTATAGTGATATTTTCGGATATTTCTTAATTGCGATTTGTTCCATTTCATATGGAAACTAAAGTAAAAACATCATGTTAAATATTCTCAATAATGAGTATACCACAGTGTTAAAGTGTATAAGTACACATACTGTAACTCATTGTCACAGTATGTAACTTTGTAATAACAAAGTATTTATATAGTTTGTTTTATTCTACTTCATGAAAGTAATACATAATAAGGGTAAATGTAACTTTGGCTATCTTAAACATTTCGAGATTTCCTTCTTTCTCAACAATTTTCTCGCAAAGTTTTGATATCTGTGTAACTAAGCTTTTAATTTCTCAACTAAATCATGAATCTCCATTGCAGGGTTATGATGACTTACCTTGGAAAATCGCACAATTTGTGGCATCGAGTCACTCTTCAGTTAGAGCAGGCAGTTATTGATCAGCAGCTAGTCGATGGAGCTAAGAAGAAATGGGAAACAGTTGACTGCTATGATTTTGAGCCTGACAACTCACCTCAACAGGTTTGTTATAAATTGTTATTGCCTCCATAAATATCATCTTATATAAATATTAGTAATTTAGTTTATGTATAGAAACTTGATGGCCTATTCAAGTACTTCTACCCATATGTTTTAGGAACATTTTCAGGAAATTCGAGCTTTAGTTTATATTTCATCAATCGTCTGCTTAGCATCTATCTTATCTTTGAATGATTTGCTATGGTAAAAATAAATCTCTGAATGAATAAATCCCGGGTAGAACCCCTGAAAATTAAACGGTTTCCCACCATCTCCTCAAGGGAGTTGAACTCAGCCTAAAACTCTGACCCACTGGATAACATCGCTTTTTTTTGTTTTAGGATCTAATCGATAACCTAGCAGAAATGTATTCCCGCCTGCGTGAAGAAGATATGTGGGCTGGTTTACTTCAGAAACATGCAAAACATCCCGAAACAAGCATGGCACTTGCATATGAACAGCAAGGTTTCTTCGAACAAGCCCTCACGATGTATGAGACAATCATATCTAAAAGTCGTCAAGAACTATCCAGCGATCCAGCTCCAATGAGTGAAAGGAGACTCTGGGAGAGACAATGGATCAGGTTTGTTCAATTTTTTTTTTTTTTATCATTTATAAGGTTCCCATATTCCTATTAATGGAGGATATTTGAAACAACCTCATATCCGAAATAATTGTGTTGATCCGAATTTAACAGAAACATATTGAGTTGCCTTTTGAAGAAAAAATGAGTTGGGAGTAGTTTTGAATTCAACTAGTCCTTGAGTCTCTTGTAAAAAATTCATAGTCGAGAAAGTTTATTTTGAAGGTGAAAATAGTCATTTAACAATGTCTTTAATATTGTGTCGTATCAAGGAATAAAACTTCAAACCTCTTTTTCACAGCTCAAACTTTATGTAACTTGGTAAGTTTCTGTTAAACTTGGTCTTTTTGGCCCTCTTTAATAATGCTGAAGACTTATGCTTGATTTATTTTTTAACTACTCATAGTTTAAAGCTACTCATAGTTTAGTTACATATCTAAAATATAACATAGCCAATGTAAATAAGTTAATGAATCCCAAAAGGTAACAGAGGATATTGATGGTGAAACTACAAAAATGTGTATCCCAGTTGCAGTGTTTCAAAATCTCCGCTCTCGTTTTATTTTTTGAAAGATGACGAAACCAACAATCCTGGCTTGAAATTTTTACTAATTATTCTTTGCGTAGAGAAGAAAAATCACAGAATTTTTTAAGAAATTACCGATGGTAATTTTCAATGTAAAGTATAAAGTAAGCAAAGAAGTCTGCGACTGCAAATGGAGATGCGCATTTCTGCAGTTTCACCATTGATTTGCTATCATCTTTCGAGCATTGAAAGTAAAAGTGAATGCAAGAATTGAGATGGCAGAATGACTGGAAAGAAACAAATGAAAAAAAGAAGGAAGAAATAAATTAGTCTAAGTCGGTAATATTATACTGATTTGCAAGTTTTTTTCATGTTTTTATTCTGTTCTCTTTTTGATAGATGCACGAAAGAACTCAACCAGTGGGACAATTTATTGGAATTTGCTAAAACCAAAGGAAATGTAAATCCATTCCTTGTTCTCGAAAGTGCATGGCGAGTTCCCAACTGGAGTTTAATGGAGGAGGCCTTGTCTCACGTTGATATGAGTTGTCCCAAAGAACTCATGTGGAAGGTAAAAACAATTAAAGTGTCTAATAGTCACAGTTTAGCAATGAAGTAAACTTGAGATCTCTAAAATCGTGGACTTGTTCAAATGTTTTTCACAAATGTTTAACCCCAAAAGGAAATGATTGTGTAAAGTTCATTACTGTACATGTATGAAGTATTTTTAAAGAAAAGAAGAAGTTGCACAATTTTAAAACACACTGTAATCACCTTGGTTTTCCTCTGCTAAACGGGATCCTATCGTACAGCATTAACTGGAATTAGCCTACCTGCATTTCTTTTTGCCTAATTTTCTTTCATGTCTTATCTTTTAAACAGAAAACTAAACTTCTCAATGCTAAACTTCCTGTGGATTTCCCATCATTTTACTCTCACAAAATTCTGAATCACCTGCACTATTACCAAGTTTTCTGTTTAAAGAATGAAACATCAGAAAAAATCAGGCAACATCTGATGTAATTAAGTTAATTTTTGTTAAATTCATCATAAGTTCTAAAAAGTAAACAATTCTTTTGAATGCCTCTCTCTCAAACATTTCCTCATGTTTCAGGTGAATCTGTACCGAGGGTTTTTAGCCATTTGTCACTCGGATCAACTAGACATGTCTGTTGTCGAACGATACGTCAAATTAGCCAGTGGTTTGTGCATGCGAGAGTGGCGACAACTGCCTCACATTGTTTCGCACATCCATCTTCCTCTCTTGCAAGCGGCTCAGCAGGTAATTTTCCAATCATTATCTCATCGATTTTCTAAAGTTTTTATTGAACAAACTAAACTGATTCTACATGGGTCCTAGTGAATTGTTCAAAATCCCAAACCAAATTGTTGTCATAGAATCAATACCACCCATGCACGACTGGCCTCTAGATGAGGTATGAATGAAAGCAGTATGCACCATGCTTTTCTGCAAAATTGAAAGTGGAAAATGAATCACACAATGAAATGTCTGGAAATCAACTCCGGAACAAGATGACAGTTTATACAGTTAGCACTGGTTTATCAGCAAAAGTATTACTGACTTAATTTGTATAATCCAACTTTCATTTGATCTGTGTTAAAAATACTTGTCAATATCTTGTTTAGGAGTTGATTTCTGAACTTTCTGTTATGTGAATCGTTTTCTATGTACAAGGTGTCCACTAAAACAGGCCTGCCAAAAATCCGTACTTTAACAGTACTTTTTCAGTATATCCCAAGAAATTCAGTACCTCCAATCGGTAAAATTCGAAAACTTTCGAGAATTTGAATTTTTCGCTCGAGTTGCGACAAAAATGAAGAAAATTCTGGACCTGCCAGCGGATTTTCTGCACTTTTTCGGTACTTCCGGACCGCCCTTAAAAAATCAGTACTATTTCCGGACTATATATTATAACTATTCCGTGTAGTTATGAAAGGGTAAAATGTATGTATTTTATCCCTATTTTTCAACTGTAAACGTTGATATATTCATTCCATGAAGAGAGATTTCTCATAATTTGATGTTCTTAGACAATGTATTAACCAAAAACTCTGATATAATAACCCTCGAAGAAGTTGAATGTTAGGGGTTTAGAATAAATTTATTAGGTTGAAACTTTTGAACAATAAAAGCCAAGATGCTTTGAGTTTGTTCTAAGTTTTAGTTCCTACGCGAGCCTGGAATACAGGAAATGAATTGTCAAAACAAGTAACATTTAACAAGTTTATTCAACAATATAAGTTGAACAATAAAAATAATACAAACTATAGTTCAATTGAACCACTAAAAATGAAACCACATGTTTTTCTAAGAGTAACATACAAACAATTATTTCGGGGGTTTAGGAGATGATTCGCCATTTCTTTAGTTAGAACTGTTGTCAGTCTTACGCAATAAAAGCGGTTATCATGAGACTTAGGTGCGATCAAGGAAGTAGTGGGTGCCTTTGTATTTTTTGAGCTCCTCAAATTTCTGTGTTGCCTTTCAGTGAAGAGGCATGCTTGGTTCTATTTTGAAGAAATGAGTTGCAAAAAAAAAGAGAAAAACTTTGTATGCCTGAAATTAGTAATCTTTGATTTCATCCCGAAGTGTGTTGTATTCCATTAAAGCGCATTGTGGTTTGTGATGAATTGATGGATCTGCCATTCAAAACTATTGAAATGGATCGATTATCAGGGTGTTTGCAACGGACAATGTAATAATCAATCCTTCACCAAAGCTTCCAATAGGAAAATATAAATGGTCCATGATTATCGCTACGCCACTCTACCCTAAAAAACCTTTTAAGTAGTAAAAATCTTATTCTAAGCAATAGGAAACGATAAGCAAGTTACTATCACAGTCACTTATACAAACAATGCCTGATTACGGAGTCTTAATTTCACCACTTGAGAATTTCTACTGATTCTCCAGTGATCACTCCGAATGAAACACACCCACCCCTCTTTTCACATGAGTAACAACTCGCTACCCTTCCTTTCTACACTTTCCAATTTTCCATTCTCTACAGCAGTTAATCAGGAAAAGGTAGCTCACATGCAGCAGCAGACATTTAAGTAAACTCTTCAATGTTCAGCATCAAATAATGACTAACAATAGGAAAAAAGAAACAATTGAGGCAATGCTCTTAGTAGTACCTCGATCACTACTTTTCGAAGCTTAAGTAGGTTTAAAGTAGTAATTCTCATTGACTTTGGCCAACTTTCATTCTTCACTTTACTAGCTCTGGTTTCGATCATATTATCCACCAGTGAAGTGAACACTGGCATTTATCGACCATGAGAACCCTGAGATGGTCCCTCAGATTCCATTACTGACCTGATTTTAAGAAAGTCAGTAGACAAAATGTAACTAGGGGGAAATAGGGACACGATTAGTATCTACCACTTGGTTGAAACCACCTTAGTTAATTTTTAAATGATGCATGCAGAGGTGAATTACTGAATATTCTTGTATGTTGTAGCATACTGCACAATTTTTGACACTTTTTCGGCACTATGAACACTTATTTTCCGTTTAAATTAGACTTTTTTTGAAAACCGATTATACAGTTAGATGACTTACTCTCTTATTATTCTTTGCGTACAATGGCCATTACAGGCGGGCAGGCTGCCAGAAATGGCCCTTGTGCGGAAAGAATAATAAGAAAGTAAGTCATCTAACTATATAATCGGTTTTCTGAAAAAGTTTAATTGACACAGAAAATAAGTGAATATTCTTGACCTCAAAGGTAATGATATCAAACAAAGTTAAAGGTCTCTTTGGGGTTATCTGCGGACGGAAAATTCTCTTAAGAATCATACATTCTTTTGAGGCAAAATCATTCAAATCTATTTAAGATCACTATGAATTCGTAAGTGTGAATTATAAATTTACCCAAATTCTCGTATATGAATCAAATAAATCAAAGGACAAGAGCGAGTAATTAAGAGAATTAAGACCATCAGTCTTTCTTCTTGAGCTACTGGACGAAAGAAGCTCCAGTATCTCATCCTCCCTGGTATCTTTCTTATGGTTCAACATTTTATACCTGGAAACGTAGTCCTCAAACCGACATATTCTGTACAAACTAGTCACCCTCTCGTAAAAATCATCATCTTCGCCTCCCCAACCAAAATAACAGTTCGAAAACCCATTTACCTTTTCGAACTGTTCTTGAAGTATTGCCACCGCTCCGCCAAATAATCTAAAATATAGATTTTGGTAGTCATAAATGTCTATACTAGAACTCATGTGTCTCGGTTTTTTGGTGCAGGCGTAAATATTGTTGGGATTTTCAGGGATTAAATCAATATCATGGAATATTACACATTTAAATTGGGACAGCTTTTGAGCCTCAACGTAACCAACGTTAAACAATTTAGCTCGGTTAAACTTCTGCGGCAGGTTTTGCTCCACCACAAATATTTGGTAGCTCAAGTTTTGTCGCTGGAGGAACGGATGAAGGTTTACAAGGAAAGTCTTCAGGTGATCAGGTCGATTCCTGTAACTAACAATTATTGCAACATGGTGCAGAGAGTGACAGTGTTTGGGGTGCCATGCTCCGCCCGGCTCCAAGTTGTAAATGGTTCCTAATCTTGAAAATTCAGTTACATCCAATGTCACTTCTCTCAATGAGTTGCTGATTCTAGACATAAGCGGACATCGCTCATCTTCGTCTGGTACAATTGATGCTGTTATCACTAGATTTTCTTCTATGCTCTGCAATGGAATTTTGATGTTGAAATAAGAAATTATGTATCCAATGATGAAGCTGAGAATCAGGAGTGTGATGATACAAGTTTTGGGGTACCGCAGTATTCTTCGCAGTAAAATGGATCGCCGCATCCTCCTTCAGGGCCATGTGCATAGTGTGTCTCCTCCAGTTAGCAATAGCCAAGCACCATCACTATGTCATCGTGAATAATTACGAAGTTCGAGCATTCACTGACAATTGATTCATTTATAAACCGTAATTGATGATCAATAATCAATTGCACGAACTTTCTAACACATGGGAAATTAGATTACGATAAGCTTTAACCTCACTTTTCACGATTGATTGATAAACAAAAAACTGCAAAAAATATGCATGAGGTATGAAGCATAAGGAACATTCATCACTACCAGCGCATACCAGCGCGCCAGCGCGCAGGGAAATTTTCAACAACCGCCCTCTTGCGGATTTTTTTGAAACCAGCGTCTGTACTACAAAGCCCGCGAAATTCAAAATGTAGCGGTGCAACAGGAGTCAGGACCATGCGTAGTTACGTGTCCTCTCAACTATTTCGACTTTAGTATTCTCCTAAAATTCATAAAAGATATCTCATAAATCTAATTAATTCCAGCTAACATAAGATCTCACAATATTTAACTCAGGTTCAGAAATAATTGAGGTGTAAAATAGATATACCTATTGAACAAAATTTTCGATTCTATGAAAAAAAAAAAAAAAATGAATAATAATTCGATTATCTATGTAGAGTGATTTTGTCGAAATCTACTCAACCAGAGGAGCAGAGAAGGTACTTTTCTTCTGGCAGATAACTTTTTTTTTTCATCAAGAATTTTCAAAACTAAACTACCACCTTTTCGATGAAAATGAACCCTAGGTCCAAATTTTATCACTTTTGCCTTTTCGGTCCCTTACCTTTTCAATTTGTTGTTCCAGATCATGGAACTGCAAGAGGCTGCCATGATTCATCAAGGCATTCTATCTGGGCGGAACTCAACTAATTCTTTGCACGATATGAAAGCAACTGTGAAAACATGGCGCAATCGTCTACCAGTTATCGCAGATGATTTAAGTCACTGGAGTGATGTTTTCACGTGGCGTCAGCATCATTATCAACATATCAGCACTTCATTTGCTAATCAGCAAGATCAACCATCAAACACTCACAGTATTGTTGGTGTCCATGCTTCGGCTGAGGTTAGTTTTAATTTTTCTAGGTTAATTAACTCTCCATCTTTTTTACTTTTGCTTTCTCGTATTTCAACTCTTCATTTTTAAACTAATGATGATAAAATATCAAAGCTGAAAGTGTATGGAATCTTTGAAGGAAGACATAAAAATTGCCCATCTGGAGTGTTTAAGAGCTGTATTGTTTGATAATTTATTATCAGTGATGTGACAAATTAAATTTATAGGATTTGTTGGTCTTAGCCTGCGATGGTGCAAATTTCCTGCCATATTTTATCTCAAGATAGATGAACACTCATTTTTTATTTGGGGGAGGGAGGAATTTTGCTTGACTTTTCCTCGCTTTTCTGAAATTATTCTCTAAAAGCACTTTCTGAAAATACCAGTTAGTTTTCTTTTGAAAAATTAAAATGAGATTGAACAAAAAAGGGAAAAAAAAGAATTCCCATTTTGGCAACCGACCATCTGCCACTCTGGGCTTATTTCCATACCAAAGCAATTGCTTCACACCATTGTTGGGACAGCAATCTAAATACAGGTTTTTTTCTTCTTTTTTCTTTAATATTACCCTTAATATCTAATTTTCTTCAAATGAATTTGAAAACTAATAAGCTACTCATTGTCTACTGAAAAGATCTGGATCACTAATAAATTCTGAAACTTTTTCTCAAACATATTTTTAATCTCAAATCCTGTTTTTTGCATTTATTTGTCTTTTTTCTAATGTTTATTTTTTACATTTGTGTCCATGTTAGGCTATCGTTCATTTTGGCAAAATCGCAAGGAAACACAACCTGACTGGTGTGTGTTTGGACTCACTGTCAAGATTGTATACTATTCCCACCGTTCCAATCGTTGATTGTTTCCACAAGATTAAGCAACATGTAAAATGCTACCTTCAAATGAAAAGTGAATTGCAAGAGGTATGTTTAAACTAGGTGTCTTGTGTTTATCTCTGCAAGTACACCAGTAGGAGATAATTGTGTGACGTAATTTGAAATAGTGATGTGTTTTTTTTTTGTTTTTTTTTAGTTTTTCTATCTTTTTCAGTTTCTATTTTCTATGTTTTTTTTATACATACAGGTATACATCTAATTCTTTCATTTGTCTGTAGCATTTGTCAAGGTATGACATGCTTTTTAACCAATCGAAAACCAGGATTCTTTCATGCTACAATGGATATGCCAGATAAGAATATATTGATGGTTAAACTTCCTATAACTGTTTATCTCAGATTACAATGTTGCAAACTTCCTGTCCTACTTTGTTTTTTAAATGGAAAACCACTCTATCGCAATTCATAAAAACTGCTGTGATTTTTCTCCTCTGTAGGAAGAAAATTCTGTGGAAACTTGAAGGAATGATGATGGCTTTTTTTTCCTTTAGAAAAATGAAATAGGAACAGAGATTCTATAACACCATAAATTGGATACATGTTTTGGGAGTTTCACCATCGATATGAAACAGAAAAAGTTATAAACACTTTTATTGAATATCGGTTCATCGAAAATTGATAATCAAAAATTAAGTCATAAAAGAAACCTTTTTGCAACTGATACGTCAGCCTCGAATTTATTTATCTCTTAATTTAGTTGGTTCTAGTCAACTTTTTTTCCAGTGAATCAATCTCCTAATGTATTGATTTTTAACCCACCAAAAACTGAAACTAGTAGTGCCTTTATCAGATTTGTATCTACTGAACCAACACTGGGGTTTTCTAATTTTTTCTTATTTTCAGTTTATTTCTAATCCATTTAAACTATTTTTAACTCCATGTATTATCTTGCATCGTATGTATACTTAATTATCTCTGTGGGACTCTTATATATTTCTTTTTTCATTGTTTCAGGGTCTAGAAGTCATTAAATGCACTAAATTATGCTTCCTCACAAAAGAAATGAAAGCGGAATTTTTTGCATTGGAAGGGATGCTTTTGTCTCAGACAGGTATGTGTGTATGGTTTTTATTGTTGGCAGAATTTCTGCAGAATAATGGATTTAACAACACCCAATATCTGGCATTTTATCTCCGTGAGACAAAAAAGAAAGAAAAAAAAAACTACAACCAATAGTCAAAAGCTTAGGAAACTCTTTCTAGACTTTTTTGTTTTACATCCTTTGTTTGATTTGTTCACCTTTATTTAAACATGCAGAAATGTCGTACCTCCTTATCATCTGCATGGCATATATCCTCGAAAGAACCTAATTTGTTCTGCCGTTCCAAAACAGAATGTATCTCTTGTGGATAGTCCTACCCAAGTAGCGATTTTTAATATTGTGTTCATGCACAGAGGATTCACACTTTGACCACCCCTTTCAATGCCTTTCTCCCTCTTATCTTCTTCTTCATAATTCAAATTTTTTCAACTTCTCTAACTTAAAAATTTCCTTGAAAACACGCAGGGAGGATGGAAGAGGCCAACAAAGCCTTCTCAACTGCCGTTCAAATGCATGATACTCTAGTCAAAGCATGGGCGCTGTGGGGTGAACACATGGAAACTCAGTTCACGCAGAATCCAACCGACATGGCGACTGGTGCAGCTGCCATAACCTGTTTTCTGCATGCATGCCGCCACCAAAACGAGTCTAAATCACGAAAATACTTAGCCAAGGTATTATTCAGTTTTTTTTCGCTAGATACATCAGTAGTTTTTAACTTGATTGATTGAATAGGTGAACAGTATTCTAGATATGATCATGGGTGAAGTGATGAACAGAGAAGGTTTGTAAGTTGTAGCTGGATATAAAGTTTCAGTTTCCCCACAGCTGTTGAATATTCGAGCGTGGGGGATCAAATTCGACTGCAAACTTCATCAAACTGAAGTTTCTCTTCCACTTTGTTTCTACAATCCATTACTACAAATTGATAGCTAAAGTTAGTTAATAGGTATTTGAGACTGCGAAGTTGTAATCGTCTGCTCATGTTTTATTTTTTAACAGAAAACTGAGCGAAAATTTCCATTGAAATGTTCTGTGAATTTTCTTCACACATTTTAAAAAATCACATAAAATTACAAGAAAACATTTCGATTAGTTTTCCGTGAAGGAAATAGAGCATAATTGGAGATTTTTAAATGTTGCAATCAAGGTACACATTCTTTGCATTTAGCCATCATTGCCACCATTCATTTCAATCGCCCGACAATGACTTAGTGTAAAACAGCAACTTCAAATAAACATCATATCATGGTCAATGACGGAATAGGTAGAGCTTGTATCTGAACAGGATTTCTTTTGGAAACATCCATCAATATTAGAACGCAACTTCTGAACAGGAAATGCATATCTGAAATAGGTTTTCATAATGGTTTTCATAGTCAAAATCAAGAATAACCGAAACGGAAAGATGATGACATTTTACTTTCAGTGATTTACAAATTTCCAATGATCTACACTATTACTTCTTGGTTCTATCAAGAGTTTGATATCTCTCCATGGGAGACAAAGTCCTAACAACTCTTTCATTTTACCAGGTTTTGTGGCTGCTCACCTACGATAATGATAAATTTGCTCTTATGGATGCTGTCGATAAATATTCAGTCGGAGTGCCGCCCGTCCAGTGGTTACCTTGGATACCTCAGCTTCTCACTTGCCTTGTTCGCAATGAAGGAACTTTAGTTCTTAATTTGTTGACTCAGGTTTGTTCTTTATCTTATTTCAGTAACAAAGCCTCAATCTCATTTGGTATCTTTAGGGTCGCTACAGTCAGGGAACACCTGGAAATGTCAAGGAAAATGACAAAAATGTCAGGGAACGATTGTCAAGTCACCTATATTTGTTCTCTAGAATGGGTTTAACGTTTTGAACAACAAATTTTGCCTGCAAAATATTTCAAATTACGTTTTTTTAGCACTCAAGCATAACTTTAATCATCAGGGAATTTTACCAAAATGTTACAGGGAAATCAGGGAAATTCATTTTTTGAATTTTGTGGCAACCCTTCTTTAAATAGTTTTAGAGCTCCCTCAATCCAATGATCCTTAAATCGATGTTCAAACCTCTTAGAAATGTTTAGTATATTATCCAAAGGAAAATACCATATTGAGTTCTCCACTGACGTCCGGCCTGGATTAAAGACCGTGAGATGAGCATTGATAATGAGACGCAGATCTATTTCTGTGCCTATATCTATTATTTCTTTTGAGTGAGACAACTCATTGAGGTTTGAAAGTCTAAACACTGTTCTTTGTGACCTATAATGTCCATCTTGCATCAAACTTAATGTGTTTCTGTATCAATTGCAATGATCAGTCTACGGCTCTGTGAAAATTCTTACAATAGAAGTTCAGAGAATATTTTGGAAATCAGGCTTTCCACGATGAATCTTTATTTTTAAAGGAATATTATGAATTATAAGCTCTAAAGCAAAGATCTCTGTCTACGTATACCATGTAGTGTCTAAAAATGTCAGAAAATCATTCAGTCCAGGCAAATCCTTTTTCCATACCTTGAACTTTCAATGTGAGATGACTCAGTGATCCAGGTTGTTGAACAATTGCTTCATAGGAATGTTTCAGATAGAAGTAAACCCATTGCTCAATCCATGAAATATTATGCCAAAATTAATTCTTTTTACATTCTTGCTGTCAGGTTGGTCGGATGTATCCTCAAGCAGTTTTCTTCCCTATCCGAACGTTGTTCTTAACTTTGAAAATTGAACAACGTGAACGATTCAAACAAAGTGAAGCAGCGGAAAAACAACAGGCAGGTTCTTTTATTTTATTCATTTTATATCTTGGAACGTTAAGTTATTAATTTTCCGATTTGTGTGGTCCAGGCGTATTTTGTATTTAAAAATATCAAGTGATAAAGGTAGTTTGCTTCCAGCAGCGACCTATGTACGGGAGAGTATTGCCATCTCTGTGCTGCTCTCTGATTGGTCCTATCATGGAGCTCTGAAGTTGGCCCAATGTAAACAAACTCAACCTAGAGGGATACGTATTATCGGTCGAGAAATGAATGATAATCACACTCAAAGGTTAATGTTCGGCAAAAATATCCATCAAAGTTCGATTCGAACTTTATTCAGAAGGTGGATATAAAAAAATTTCTATCTCATCCAAAATCATGCCTAGAACTTTGTCACCATCTTGTTTGTTTACGTTGGGTCAAACTAGGAGCGGAGGGGCTGGGGTTTGTTTACATTGGGCCAACTTTTGGGGCTCCATGATAGCCGATCAACCAGAGAGCAGCTTACTTTTTCTGAAGTAAAAGGATATTTATAGTATACAGATACTCAAGTTGCCAGCACTGAGGTTCTGGGTTCAGTTCCCAGAGGTGACTGATGTATGAGGACACAGAAAAATCTGTCATCATGATTGTGAATGACTATAACACTCCAATACCCTGAATCTTTGAGGTAATAGGGTGTGGGAGAGACATAGTCACTCAGTAAGTAATCAGTCTGCATCCAGACTCACCTCTCCATATCCACTTCAACTGTCAAAACAACTGTGGTTTTGTGAAGTTAAGGTAAAAAAGTCTGCTTATTCTGAACTTTAATTAAGTAGACAAACAGATACATTCTGCAAGTTTTTTCTTTCTATTTTTTATTCACAAGTTAATTGTTTTTTTATTTTACTTTTGGTACAGGCCAATCTGCAATCAGTTAGTGGAGTTACTGAGTCGGCGCAACAAGGTAAATTTTTACCTTCTAACAAAATGGGTAAGATGCTCTTGCTGTTTATTATTTTGCCTATGACTTTAAATACTTTTAACTTACTTTTTCATTTTTTTGCATACCGTAGTAATTTGAAATAATTTATCTCTTGCTAAACTTGCATTGACGTTATGTATTCAGAATTGAAGACGCAAATCAAGACGCTTTATTTTGCATCAGGATTTATATGAGCTGTTCCTTTTCTCCCCCCTCTCCCTTCCAACCTCCTTTCAAAAAGTCACGTACGTACAATGGACAAAAATTGTGTATCCTATAAATACTTTGTCCATTACTTCATTGATTTTCACTGTCTGTCGGCAAATGTCGGATCTTATCAAGCATTCATGTCACAAAGAACGTCCAATGCAACGTTTCCAATTGTGAGGCTCGATGAGTTCAATGTCCTAAAATTTCTGCAATGAAACAACCCAAAATGTGAAGTAGTTATGCCCAAGTCATGCATTTGCATCTTAACATACATTGGTAGCAGAGAATGAAAACATATTAAAAGGGAAACTTCCATTTTTAAGGAATTATATAAGGTCCTTAAAAATGGTCAGTACAACATGGAAAGTTCTCGAACGGTTTTTCAGAAGACCATTTTACTGGTTCAGCCAAAATTATTTCATGGAAGCAGCCTATCTACAACAGACACTCACTAATTTTCTCCAATGTTTTATTTTTTAAACAAAAATTTAACAACACTGTTAACTGAAATTTTGTGAGTATCTCATTCATATTCTAGAGTGAATTCATGGATAGTTTAAAGGCATTAAATAGTGATGTTCTGTGCTAAAAAGTATGTAGAACATGATAGAAATTTAGGCATCATGAGATAGAATTAGCCTGACTTCAGTTGAATGCGTGCAACTAGAATTCCTCAAAATTTCCTCAAAAGTTATCGATTTTTGATGTGTAAAACAGTCATAAAACCTGTGTATTATACTGACCAAATTGCATGAATGTATATGAACGCTTCCTATTTTATATATCAATGGTGAAGCTGCAGAAAAACGGAATCTCGGTTTGCAGCGTCGCAGACTTCCTGTCATACTTACTTTCTGTATGGAATACTACTTAATGTCATTAATTTAAAATTTCGGTGATTTTTCTTCTCTATGTGCGGAATATCCTGTGCAAATTTCAAGCCATTATGCTGGTTTTGTTTCCCTTTAAAAAATTTAATAGGAGCAAAGATAACGTTACTCGGCAACCGAGATGCACATTTTTCCAGTTTCATTGTCGATGTTTTGCATTTATATTCTATTTATAATTTAATTTTTCATTACCTTTACCTCTGTTAGTGATACTTCTTAGTGACGTCTGATGAGAATCCAATGTTTTCTCTTTTCCAGGTACGAATCCAGATACTGGGCCGATTAAAGCAACACCAGCTATGTGGCGCTGTTCTCGCATTATGAACAATTTGCGGGAAATTCATCCCACTACATTATTATCCTTGGAGGGCATTGTTGACCAGGTAAACAAAATTTCAACAAGAAGCGTGCAAAATTTTGAAATGTTAAAATATTGAGCTATTTTATACAGTAGAGGCACAAGTGTGGAGTGAGAGGTGGCAGCTGCTCCCCAAATTTTTTTGCCCATGGCCATGGACCTTAGTAAAATTCCCAAATCCCCCCCCCCCAACGTTTCAGCCTACATGCTGCCACTAATTTCATATGTCCATTGACTTATGTACCATGTGAAAGTAATTAGCCAGGGGAATAGCTTTAAATTTGTTTTGCCATGAACCATGTACTAAAGTTTGATGTGTACGAACGCTCATTATCTTAATGCATCATTCAGCGTTGTTTAAATTTCATCAATATATTTTTCACGAATATGTTCTTTCAAAGGTCGTAACTCTTGATTTCAACTTTAGATGTCAACATTTTGCTTTGATAGAACTTAATGCCTGTTAGCTTTGATTTTCTTAAAAGAAGCGAAAAATTTTCCTAGGGGCTATGCAAACATTTTGCTTAAAAATTGCCGTAAATTAGTGAATTTGTAACCAAATGACTTCAACAAGATGGCGTTAGAAAGCTAATAAAATTATCTTTCAGCTCATACAACCGCATTTTGGTTGTACGAGAGTTGGTGACAAGACTCTTAGGGCACTATGTGCCATGAAGGCTATTTCCAAAATTCAATTTCTAAGCTCTTTTGAATAACATACTTTGTTGTTTTTCCAAATTTTGTAAAATGAAATTTTCCTTTCGAATGTAGTCACTCACCTTAATTTTTAGTTCTTCCATTTCCCATTTTTCATCTCTGTGCTGTCGCTTTGTCACAGAATGTTGACAGAGATTGTAGCGAGTGCACAAGATGCCCTTAAAAATTTTAGGAAGCTTCAGCAATGCATTTTTCATCAAATCAGATGTATTATTTTTACATATAGCTTAACTTTTGTTTGAATAATTCATAGATGATCTGGTTCCGTGAAAATTGGTACGAAGAAGTCTTGAGACAGTTGCGTCAAGGACTCACGAAGTGCTATGGCATCGCATTTGAAAATAGAGGAGCTGTCAATGATGCTACCATCACCCCTCATACCTTAAACTTCGTTAATAAAATGGTCGCAACTTTTGGTCTTGGTGTTGGTAAGTATCCCTGAAATTTTACTTTGTTTACTATCTCAAGATTAGTTTTTGTGCATGAAGTATTGTGGAATGTAGTGATTTTAATATCCTAATTTTTTAAGTAGTTTTTGTTTAGAAAAGTATTTTTTTCCCTACTTAATACGCATGCCTTTTCTTTTTGTGTGCTATCAGTAGTTTAAAAGAGAGACAACCGATACATCACGCAACATGAGACAATCGTCCGAATCTATTCAGAAGATACCATTGCAAGCCTTGTATTTTTAGGATTCAGAGCCTTTTTCTGTCAACGTAGGTTATCCAATATGAAAACCAGTTCTTACTTTTGATGAAAATTTCGAACCTCCTTCATCTGCCAATCCTGCCTGAAAGGCTCAAATTTGAAAGTTCTCCAGCAAACTAGGTATCTAATTTAGGGCAGAAAGACCATTAAATTCACAGTGGTAACACCACTTCCTCATGAATCTAAAGAGCAGCTGTAATTTCATTCCTCTCTTTTGTAATTAGAGTAAAACCACACTTGCCAGGAACTTTATATAAAATTTTATTTTCTCAAAAATTAGAAGACTCCTACTATTTTGGGATGAAATAAATATTTATCTCTATGCACTGACTTAAAATTCATCATCCTTTTTTATTTAATAATTACGTTTGAGTCGCAGTTTCTGTCCCTCACCACAGCTAGTTATCATTAACATTGATTTTTTGCACCCTTGCAGTTGCAGATAGAAAAGCTCTAAAGCTGTAAAATTATTTTATGCTGGGGTACTGTTAAGATTAACATTCTTAGAATGTTGCTCAGAATAATCATCATGGCTGTGTTTTTCTATAGAGAATTTTTCATAAAAATTAGTTAAGATGTTAAACAATATCATGAAATGGTATCTCAAAATGAAAGGTTAGGAAGTTTTAAAAGTAAATCTGCTGAGCTCATCTTCCTAGAAAGTTATTCAAGGCGCATGTATCTCTGTAAAGAGAGGATTGATTACTCATGTTGTAACTGAGAGGCGAGAGAGAGAAATGGCGAATAAAGAGGACAGACGAGAGTAGGTGGAAGGATCTAGTCCTGTAATCGGTGTCTAATCTTTACTTTACAGAAAACATTAGTAATTCAATCAATTCATCGTGTGCAAATGCAGGATCGGAGAGTATGGCAATCCGGGCGCACAACACAATTCAGGATCCTGTCTTCCAGAGGATGAAGATGTCGTTCACGGCCGATTTTGACTTCACCATGCCGGGAGCGATGAAGCTGCACAATATCATCACCAAGCTCAAGAAATGGATCAAGATCATCGATGCCCGCACCAAAATTCTTCCAAAGTGAGTGACACCTCTGCAATTTGCTTCTTGAGTTTGATAAGTCTTGATAAGATTGATTATTCTCAGGGTTGTCGACTAATTTTTATTCCTGCGCCTGCTGCGTGCTAGTAAAATGCATAAAATGAGCAATTAATAAAGAGGAATCATTTATACAAGCACTCTTTTACCCAAACTTTAAGAAAAAGGATAAATCAGATTGATGTTCAGAATTTTTAATAATGCAATGATGAATGCTGATTCCCTGTAGGCCTTGTTTTCGCTAAACGTTTTCATGAGATTTATCTTTTCTCTGGATTCCTCGTCAAAGATTTGAACTAACAAAAAATTGTTTTCTTTTTCCAGATCATTTTTATTAGAAGAAAAGTGCAGATTTTTAAGTAATTTTAGTCTACAAACTGCTGAAGTGGAGTTGCCGGGTGAATTTCTGCTTCCCAAAGTAAGTGAGATATTCAATCAAAGAATCTTGCATGAAGTATTTTAATCGCTATGATGGTATTTTTGCTGCTTGCTCTCAACTTTTTTTTGTATCCTTAGTATACATGCTTCATAAAAATATATATTACCGCTGAGTAACCTCAGCTGAAACTACATTTGTTAAATTTTTCTTGAAATCTGATTCAAAAATAGCATTTACACATCCCTATTACTTCATAAACGTGCCGTCTTGAACAGGCTCAGTGTAATGCAGGAAAAATGCGAGTAGGACCAAAGAATTTTCAGCTGAAGAAGCAAGGTAAGATTCTGCTTTTCTAAGATCTATCATTTTTGGACGCTTCCAGTCAAAGGATGCCAGATAAGCTCCGCACCTCGTAATTTTGACAAAATTCTCTTTCGGCTACCATGACCTACGACTCAGTTGTTCCAAACTGATTTTAATATTCTTTCCCAATAATCTTTTTTGCAAAGATGGGTGTATGTATTTTGTAGGGTATAAATAAAATACACCAAAAAAAAGAAGGAAAAAAAATGTCATAGGATTACAAATTATGACAGTCTTTTACAGTACACCTTTAGGATGAGAGCCTGTGCTTTCATTCTAATTAAAAATTTGTTTAATCATGTTTAATCCGTTTTCTCTTATTTTCAGTACACTCATTATCAGGTACGGATAGCCAGGTTCTTGCCGCGAGTAGAAATTGTTCAAAAGCACAATGCTGCCGCACGGCGACTACTAATTCGTGGTCACAATGGTAAAATATACCCCTACCTTGTCATCTATGATTCCGGCCTTGGTGACGCCCGGCGGGAGGAAAGATTGCTCCAACTAATGCGGATGTTGAATCATTACTTGAGCAAACAAAAGGTAATTTTGCTGAGCACTTTCGCCGATGTTTTTCTGAAAGGAAAGTAATTTTACAGAGAGTGATGCTAAATTGGCAACTCTTGGAGAACGGAGTGATAATGATGTTCATTTTCAGAACAACATTAAAGGTGCAGTCATTTATCTCAGTATAAAGAGAAAATCCCATAAAATTAGAATTTTTCAGTGAATTAGTATGTTTCAAATAAACCCTCTGTAAAAGTATAACTCAAGGTTACTTCCATCACTCATTTCTTCAATATCATGTTGCAAAGAATTTCATTGTATTGAATAAGATGGCTCTCTTTTTACTACCAAAAAAAAGGGAAAGAGTTTCTTTTGAGATAATCAGTAAAGAAATGTCAATAGTTGATGATCATTGTTTTTTCAAAATTCTTAAAAACTGTCTTTTGTGGCTTTGTGTTGATTGAATTTTCCTGAAAATATTTTGTTCGAGATGAAAAAGTTCTTATAAACTCAGGACAGATTTACATAAAATGAGAATCTAAGTTTCAAAATTAAGAATGAAATTCACTGTTTTCTTGCAGGAAACCGCCAGAAGATTTTTACAAATGACTGTGCCCAGAGTTGTAGCAGCCTCTTCGCAAATGCGATTGGTTGAAGATAACCCATCTTCAATATCTTTGCTGGATATTTACCAAAAATCTTGTCAACGGCTTTGCATTGACCATGATGTACCTCTTATAAACTACTACACCCGTTTGGCGACCATTCAGGTTTGTAGTCCTTTGGTAACTTATCATATCCGTCTATGCATCTAATCTTGTGTTTAATGCTGGATTGCATCCTTCTCAAATGAATTTTTTTAAATGTAAATTTCCCTGTTCCAACTCTATACACTACACCATTGGAAGGTATTTGCATTTAACATTTATAGAATTTATGGTGTAAAGTCTTGAGGTTTCAGAAGAAGTTGTTCTCTTAAACGGCTTTTCCAATGATTTATTTCGAATGGAAAGTTAGATAGATTTTTCGAAAAAATGGAAGTATTCATCACATTTTTAGAATATTAGAACTTCATGAAATTTTCCCTTCTTCTTAGGGAAGGAACTTAAAATCTGGATGTCAGCTTGTCTTTTAAATTATGAGCCCCCCTTTTTTTAACCAATTCTGTCATGTGTATGAATGATCAATATCCTTAAAATTCATGGTTCTTATTTCTTCTTTTGATTTACTGATCATCAATTTTTTCTTTTTAATTTTAGAGTCGTGGATCTCAAGCTAGTCAGCAAGTTCTCAGGGACTTTCTAATGGAGGTACAAAGCAATGTTATTCCTCGTACGTTGCTCAAGGAATGGGCTCTACGAACGTATGTAGGGCCCACTGACTACTGGACCTTTAGGAAAGTGGTATGTTCTCGAATTTTTTATTTTCTCTTTCTTAAGTATTGAGTAGTTTCTTATATTTCGTGCATTTGTATTGAACAAAAAAGTAAGTTACATGCTTTTGAAACTCGCTGGATACTACTAAACTACATAATATTTCTTTATTTTTTAATTTTTTTTATTTAACTTAATATTATTGGATTTGTGTATCTTTGTTTTGTCCTGAAAATTTTATAAAGGTAAAATTTTTACTTGACTTAAGAAACACACATACGCAAAATAACAAACCCTCAAATGAACTAAACCCTTACCTCTAAAAAAGGAGCGTCTTTCGTTTTGCTTACCAGTGAATGTCCGGAGCAAACTACTTTGCAATGAAGGATTCTCTAGTAACTCTGCCATTAGTCTTTGGCCAGAGCTTTTTTTGTTGTAATGGGTCAGTTGCTCCGGTCACAAAATCGTGTTTTGATGCTTGATTCTTGCAGATTAGCTAAAAATAATAAGATCTGTGCAAATTGCAACTTTCTACGTTCAATATTAACCGAGATATCGCCCTTTGAAAAGTTGGGTTTTTGACGTCATCCACAGCAGTAGTGACACCCATGGTTTCCTCCACCTTGCTTTTGTTGGTCAGTGACGCACTGGTTATGCAACGTGGAAAACAAGGTGGAAGGAACCAAGGATGTCACTACTGCGTTGGATGAAGTCAAAAACCAGACTTTTTAATAGGCGATATCTCGGTAAATATTGAACGCAGAAAATTGCGGTTTGGACAGCTCTTATTATTTTTAGCTAATCCACAAGAATTAAGCATCAAAATACGATTCTATGACCAGCGCAACTAACCCATCGTAACAATCAGTTTTATTATCTGAATATGAACTATTTCAACATGAGTCATGCTTCTCTAATAAATGGCTTTGCATTCTAAGATGAGTGTTTTACTAACATGTCAGTAATCTTATTCATATTTCAACTTTCATGCCGGTTATCTATTATTTTCTCCTTTCAGTTAACCTCACAACTTTCTCTGGCCTGCTTTGTGGAGTATGTTTTGCATTTAACAAGGTTGAATCCGGACATGATGCTCATTCATCAAGACTCAGGCCTCGTCAACATTGCGTATTTCAAATTCGACATCGATGAAAACAAAGGTAATTTTGCACTGGATTTTTTAATGCTGCTTAATTTGAGATGTTGTGAAGTAACAGAGTTTTGAATTCCCCATGATTTTCATCGTGCATTCTCGTTGATATGTGTTTTGATTTTTGCAAAGGACCATCAATTTTTGAGGTAAATGTAAATATTTGAGCTAATTGAAGAGTTATCGTTGTGCAAAACAGTTCAAAATCGGTGATGAGCGCAAAGACAAGATTTAAAATTCACTTGTAGCCTCGTAATTTACATGGGAAATTGGTGTAGTTTTTGCATTCCCTACCTCATATTTGCTGCAAATTAAGCCATCAATTGAGTTTTTATGCTGCCAATTCCTTTGTCATGAATTTTGAGCTACATAACCTAATGTAACTTCTTGATTTATCAAAGCCTCACTTTAAAATTTTCTTGGTAGAGGGTAACTTTTTCCCTTTTTTTTGCAAAGATACCTCAATATTTTATCAAGGTCCTCTTTCCATCAATAGTATATTATTTCTCATTTTGAATTATCAAAGAATCCATTGGATCGCAAATTTCAAACAAGTGTTATTTTTTCATCAGGAGAGCTTGACGCTAACAGACCAGTACCTTTCCGACTGACGCCAAACATCTCTGAGCTCCTAAGTGAAGTTGGTGTCTCTGGGCCATTGACTGCCTCCATGATTGCTACGGCCAGGTGTTTCTCTCAACCAAACTTCAAAGTACAAACTATTTTACGTGCTATTTTGAAAGATGAAATGCTGGTTGCTTGTTACAAAAAGGTGAATTCTCGGGTAAGTGTGTGACTCAATGTGCTATTGTGCCATCTTGTATTACAGGACTGTTTACGTCAGTTTTTTTAAAAGTAATTTTGAATTTTGACACAGCCAAGATCAACATTCATAACTAATGATTGGTCTTGCTGAAATACTCAAGGGAGTAAGAGAACAACTTTGGGGAAGTAAGATATTGAGTCAAAGCTCAGCCAGTTTTCAGAGGCTTAGTTGGGGAATTCTCTTCTTCCTTTTTGCGTTTTTAACATGTCACTCTGAATAAAGTTGGAACATCATACAATCAAGAGAAAGAAAAATCCCCCAAATTATTTTTTCCCCTAAATTTGAAACCTCTTTGTATCTTTGACCACACAACAATATCAAACTGAATTTTTCAACAGCATTTTGATTGGATGGCGGATTGGAAATAGTTAATCACATTCGGTTACCATGCCCAGTGTTGCATCGGTCCGAATCTTATTAGCCTGTTATAATGGCTCTCTCGGCTGGCAAAATTTTAATTTTAAATGAAATAAATTTTTACTAATAAATTGAATGTTTGCAGCCCACTGACGAAGAAGGGATTCCACACACAACAGGAGATGTTCCCGGTGAAATGATAATAAATCTTGTAACAAAGGCAGTTACAGCAATTAGTAACAGACTGAATGCTTTGACGACCGTCGATGGTGCTGATAGCAAAGTAAGTACCATGACTACACTCATTTGTACTGCTTTCATTGTCACTTTTATTCTTTGTCATTCCAAGATGCTACTAAAGTGGAACAAACGTAATTTTGAGAATTTTTTGGAATGCGACTTTAGATTCTCAAAATGAGACACTCAGTGAAACATATCGCTGATTTCTTTTTCCTTGGAGAGAACATTTTTCATTTTATTTGCTCTCTGTTTTTATCATACTAACAATAATTGTGTAAACATTTTCAATAAATTGGAGTTGCATATTTTTTAACCGTCTTGATTTTTAATTTCATCGAATATTTTTTAATTCATTGCTCTTTTCTTTCCAGGTAAGCACATTGGTAGCTGCTGCAAAAAGCACCGATAATTTGTGTCGCATGGATCCCGCTTGGTACCCATGGTTGTAAAAGAATCTCCGTACATTCTGTCAGAATGTTTTTTTTTGCAAGTCAATTTTTCTCTACTTCTTAGGACCTAATTTAGAAACGGATAAGTGTAAATCTAAGAAAGAATTATGATTTGCATGTCGATGGTGAAACTGCTAAAAGGAATGTCTTTCTTTGCGGTATTGTAAATTTTCCTATCATACATTATTTTTTACACAGGAAACTGCTCTACATCATCTCTGAAAAATTCCCTTTTTTTTTCTATGTGAAGAAAACACTCGGTGAAAATACCAAGCCATAGTGTATGTTCAGTCTCCTTTTAAAAAATAAAATAGGAGCACGGATTTTGAAACACCGCATTCAAGATATGCATTTTTACAAGTTTCACTGTAGATGTCTCATTGCATGATTTATCAAACTGTAATCTTAGCTATATTTTACACTACATTATTGTATTTTATGATTAAAAGCAATTTATTTTGCTTACTACAGAGTAACCCTTATGTGGCTAAGTGAGTCTCCTGTCTATTTTTTGATGGTGGGTTACCACCAAGTTAATATTTGTGATATTGAATTGTACATATTAATTTATTAATTCCTTTTTTACTACTATGTGTTTTTTTTTTTTTAAAAAAAAAAGGAAAGGGAAAAGCGTGTACTTATTGTGAGAAATAATTCTTTTTTGTAAAATAATTTGTTTTGTAAAGTATTTATTTTTTTAATTTTTATACTCTTGAAAATAGTGAATTCTGTAATTATGTATATATCATTAGGTTCCTACTTAAGAATGTTGTTGTAATTTTTACAACAGAGCAGTATAATGTACCACTACTTTAGCATGTACACGAACTTAATCAATTTTAATTTGTTTCTTGATGCAAAATTTTCCCAGAAACAGTCAGTATTGTAAAAAGTTATTTTATTAATTGAAGGAATTAATCTTCTGCAAGAATAGTACAGTCAACTCATTTAAAATACTCGTACTTTCATTTAATAATTTATAAAACAGTGTTTCATCAATCGCTCAGCATAAAAAATAATCTTTAAAAATCCTTGATTGCACCACTTGAGGTAGCGCACTAAGGTGGCTAGATAACACTAGGCTGAATTTTTTTGGTTTTTTTTTTTTATCTTACTCTACTTTTCTTTTCAATTTATCTATCCTCATTTTCTTTGATCTTGTCTATTATGAAGAGTCTTCTAATGAAAATATTAGGGCTACATAAGAGTAAACTTGGCTTTGTTATCATAGAAAAAATGAATGTCTAGTAAATAATTTTTCAGCACAAAGAAGAATTAATTTTCAACATTCCTGAAGTGTTTGTGAATCAAAGTCTAAATTTTGAGTTTTGCTTGAGTTGCCCGAGTATTTTTTGCTGGTTTTACATTAGATGATACTTCATAATCAATCGTAATAGAACATTTCACTTAATCAAAGTCACTGAGCGTACCTGATTGATCCTTAATTTACAAATTTTGTTAGTATTGTGAGGCCAGATGGGTGACTGGTTTTTAATTTTGACTTAAAAGTTTGATTTTTTCAGTTGTCAATACTATCATTTAAGAACAGCTAGTTTTTATAATCAACTTAAATTATCAATTTGTACCCCACAAAGATAATCCTTGTGATGAGCAATTGTCTAGGTACGCAGTTTGACTTAATTCACATTAGAACTTTACGTTTATGACGATTAAAATAGCTATAAAATAAGTCTATATAGCCTAACTGCACTTTTGGCAAGCACAAGTTAGAGACGATGATGCTTTCCTTGGTGTGAAGTAGATAGCTGAATCATCTTCCTGTAAAGTAAATTTCTGTCAATGGCGATGCGGAAGCAATCAAACAATTTACCGGCTGTCTACTTTTCACCAATAATTATATGAATTGTTTCTTTTCATGCCATTGTTAGATCATTGGCATTGCTGCCAGGTGAAATCGTAGATGTTAATAGATGATAGTTTGAAACAATGTTGGTTACACTCAAAGCCTTCTCTGAATAATAGTTGCTACTCCTTAGCACCCCTTTGTAGAAAAGTGGATTACATCCATTTATTTTTAACAAAACGCTGTTAATCCCAACTTTTAAATTTTAAATCCTTCCTCCTTTGCTTGACTGACTCTTGCCAACCCCAACAAAATGATGCAGTATTGGTAAACAATATTTTATGATACTAATTTTACTGAATATACATAACATTAAATCTCAATATAGCTAACTTAAATTTCTGGATTGCAACATTTTAATAGAAATTTTTTGTTTAATTTATGGTACTTATATCCTAAATTTATTTTTCTTGTAAAAGCAAAGTGAAGGAGTTTTCTGCAACTGACTTTTTTCCATCTGCTACAATTACCTTATTAGACTGCAATAAGAAGGTGTTCTCATATCCTAAAAGCTTTTAAGTAAAAATCATGACGATTGAAATAGGTTCATTCGGCAAAAGAGAGATTTTGTGGCTGTGTAATGCACATGATGAAAAGTTGTCTGGCAAGCTTTTTACTCTTATTCGGATGATCAAAATTTCTGTGGCTATTATTCTCAAATTTTACAAGACGGCCAGTTTTGATTAAACCCACTTTATGAAAGCTTAACACATTGATCATTTTATCATTATTAAATATTTTTTCCAAACAAATCTTCAGTTAATAAAAAAAACCTCCTATGTATCAGAGTCTTCAAAAAACTATTGAATGTTAATAAATTGGTCGTACTCAATTTTTGAATTTTGAACTGACATATATTTGCAACTGATCACTAACAAATTTCTGTTTTCGAAAACTCTGCAAAATGGGCGATGAAGTAACTTTTTATTTATTCTTTTGAAGGAAAAAAAGTCATTATCTACATTTTTACTAGTTCACCTTTCTGGTTGTCATTGACAAAAAATCCAGCAAAAAAAGAGCCTAGCAAGGGTTATGAGTGCTTTGCAACAAAGCTAAGATTAAACAATCCTTTTATTCCCTTTTATTGTATGAACTTATCGAGACAACATTTGAATCTGTATTAATCTTAAAAATTGGATCAAAGATTTCATTCAAATGTTCTTGCAAATAGAATTTTGTTTTTTTCATGTTATTTTTTTGACAATCTCAATAAAGCTCCTCATTCAGAAGTGATCAATGTTTTGTTTTGTTTCATTATCGATAAATTTGTAAGTTTGAATAGGTACCTGTGTAATATACCTCCACAATGGAGGAAAACACATCAAACAGATGAGCTGTCATGTTCATGGAAATCTTTTTATACTTCAGTGCTACATAAAACAAATATTTTAGAAGTTATCCACTTGAAGATTTTGTCAACCATATCGAAGTCTTAAAGTTATTTTTTATTTGAATCTTCTCGCATTCTTCCTCTTCTTTCCTTGGAATAATAGTTGGGTCTTCTGTATGTTGTCATTTTAAAATGAAACGAATAAGAAAAAAACTCTTAAATTGGTCCAAGTAGAGGAGTTGGTACCTGATGAAAAACCTCGTAAAATTCGTTTGGTTCAAAATTTTGGAAAATGATTAAATGTAACTCAATAACATATAAACCTGTAACATTCCAAGAAATAGTTCGCCTTAAAGTGTTAAATTAACAATTCACGGAAAAATACAAGTGTGTTTAGGTAAGTTACCAGAAATATACACTATGTATTGGATGATACCAGCTAGGGACGAGTTCTACCTGCCTTAAGTTAGATAGCGCTGCTGTCGCCCAATGATTCTGCCGAACTTTTCATGCGTGTCGAGGACAGTGCACTCTCCTGTTACTGAGTATTATCCATGGTGAATCTCGTAGTCGCTTTGATAATATAATTTTCTGATAACAGTCCGTGTCACTTTTACAGCTCTCCTCTGGTTTATTGTTCAATAATTATGAGTTTATCAAAACTTGTTGCAGTTTTTAAAGACCATTCTACACTGGATAGTTCTTGATAACACATAGAAAAATGATATTCTCTGCGTGTGTGAGTTCCTAACCTCTGCAATCCAAAATGCCACCCAAGACTTCAAAAAAAGTGGCTGGCATGATAATCCGGAATCGGAAAACGATTCTAAACGATGGGGTGATAACGGTAAGCAAAGTACTTCATTCACACTTGAAGCATCTCAATTACTTAGCTGACAATTCTTACACTTTGAGCCCAGTAACTCACTAGTCCTCAGAGTGCCAGGACGGACTCTATAGATGATTAGCTACGTATTCTTGACATCTTGGCCTGAATCCGCATTTCTCATCAGTCTCCATATTTCTTGAGTAGAAAGGGAGTCTCATGGTACTCGTCCAAACGAAACAGGCCAATGAGTGTTCAATTCTAGCAGATGGAAAGTTGAACACACCTTGGCCCTCATATATGATTCAGGGTCAGTGTTGAAGATGATAACATCAGATACCATTGGTAAGCCTCAGGGCTTTAGTGACCATCACCTTGGACTCGAATATGACTCTCTCTTTCCTGTTCTTACTCATTCAAACATTTTATTCATCTGAATGAAAGATGAGGATTCGCGTCAATTCCAATTCTTTCTAGTCTTATCATCACTCTCTTAAGGAATTTCATATCAGCCAACTCACTGGTATTTCATCGAAATCTTGGATGGATTTGCCGAGAAACATCAAAAATGCCTTATGTGGATTGGGCACTACACTTGTCGATAATGTAATAAATAGACTGAAAGCTTGAGTTTCCTTTGTCGGAATTGTGATGATAACATTAAACAAGTGTGAAAGGAAATCGAAATGGTAAACCGAAGAGACAGTGGAAAGAGCTTTTTTCTCTTGTTTTCAAGCATATTTTTCACCTGTCTCAAGCAGGAAATACTGAGGTGGTATCCTGTTAAGCAGACTGAAGAGCTGAAATTTGACAACGATACCACAAGTACTCATTTCAACAGAAATAAACATTTTTTGGACTGCTTTCATCAAATCAACTCAGGCTCTCATTCCTGTACTATAAATGTCCATCTGGCAGATCATTAAGCATGTCTTCTCACTAATTTTTTTATAATTGCTGTTTTCAGACCTCAGGTATTGGATCACCAAGTGTATTTCATGCCCTCGTCGTAATATTTTTGGAATTTTTTGCATGGGGGCTTCTGACGATGCCTCTCATTTCTGTGAGTCTATAGTTAACATTTATTTTTTTCTTATTTTGCCTTATTTCTTAGCGCAATATCTTTATTGAAAATCGATGTCTTGAAAATTGCTGAAATTTGGAAAGGGAGAGGTAATCGATAGCATTCAGCAGCAAGGAACTAAATTTATTACAGTGTTTTCCAAATCCTTCACCTTTTCTTTTTATGGAAAATGCCCTTGCAATTTTCCTTCAAAAAATTTTTAATCTCAAGTCAACAAATCCTGTAAGTTTCCATTGCTGTATATGTGCATGATCTTCATGATGAAGAAGATGTTGCCCAAATTAAAAACGCCACAATTAACTCAGTTTCTTTCTGCTAAATATTGTCCAAATGCCACGACTCAAAAAATGTTTACAGACCCAACCCATCAGTAGCAAAGTTCATTGCGTAATACAACAATAATTGAAGCGTGACCCTGTTTTACATGTCTTATAGAGGTTATTATTGATTTTTTATAGCAGCAAGCTTTTACCAGCTTGTAGCAACTATTGTACCTTCTATATCAACAGAAATACCCACCTATTCTCGTAGAATTATCCAAATTCAGTAGTCTACTGATGGATATTGTTTATTCGAAAAATAATCTTTATCCCATCTATGTTTGAATTTTTGATAATCTTTTTAATTGGTTCCATGACAGATGTTAAAGTATTCAACACATTTTTCATCAGTGCGACTTGCTCCTTGGCATTTGGCGGGAGAACCAATGAGGCTTAATTGTGTTGGAGTTTTAATTTGTAACATATTAGTAGTAGCTTTTAATTGAATTTGTTAGATGGATATGTAGCCAAAGTGCTAAAAAAATTTGCAAGTGTTTACTTACATAAAATGGTTTTATTGATAAAGTTTTTGGTCAATGCTTTTCGGCATAATTCAGGACCAGGTCCAGTCAGGACCTTTTTATTGAGAAAACAAACTTTAAATACATTTCTCCAATAAACAATCAATAATAATTACCTATGCTGAAAATCTGTGACCAAAAACTTCATTATTAAGACCATTTTATGTGAGTAAATACTTGCGCATTTTTTTAGCACTTTGGCTACATACCCACCTAACGAATATATTGGAGTGTTGCAGAGTTTCATCAGATCATTTTTACTTGAGAATAGTTGCAATAATTATCTTTCTGAAATCTGTCAAATCTGTCAGAAGTAGTCGATTGATGTACTTCTAATATATCAGTGTTTTCAGTCCTCACTGAAAAAATTAAATTATCTGAATTTTTCTAGCAGTATCCAGTAGTGAGGTTGGTATTCTGCCTCTTATTTATTTTTATTGTTTTCTTATTGTTGTTAACTATTGTTTATTTTATACAAATATTTTTTCAGGTTTTGAATGAGACTTTCCCAGATCATACGTTTTTAATGAATGGATTGATAATGGGTGTTAAGGTGAGTTGTCACATGTAACTGTCAAAGCTTTTTCTTTTCCTTTCCTTCCATCAAAATAGTATGAAGAGTAGAAATAAAAAGAATCTAAAGCCAGTAAATTCCATGGGTTGCCGGATCAAGTTTGCCGTCAAATAAAGCTTATATTTTCTGTATCGGAATTTGTGAATTCATTTTCCGTGTGTGTGGAGCTACCCGTTGGGAAGCGATCAATTGATCGATACATGACCAAAATTAATTTAATTTTTGCCTTCCTCCATAAATCAAAATGTCAGTGTGAACTATACACTCTGTTGTGCCTCTATACAAAAAATTAAAGTGCAAAACCCTAAACAGAAGGAAAAAATATATTCAAGAGAATAATTGATGCTCAGTATGATTTACAAGGGATTGATCAGTCTCTTGTGCCCACTTTTTCTATCCACACTCGAGCCAAATTTCAAGACATGACAACTTTATTTATTCCAAGGTATCATAGCAGAGATAGCAGTTTACACTGATGTTTGCATTGTTAGGGAATGATCAATTTATCCTCTATTCAGCTGTTCGTCCAACGCCAACAAAATGGTAGTTCCACCAAAATTTTAATTTGATACAAGCTGCAAAGAAGCAATTTTCTTTGTATATCTTAAGTGTTGTAGAAAAAGATTACACTTAGAGGGAGGGTAGACTTTTTTATTGGGGAGAACAAGTTCATTCAACAGAATCATGTAAAAATTAAATTATCATATTCATTCCATAAATGCTTGATGTATCGTTTCAGCTCAGTACATATCGAAGGCATAAATATCAGAATTGATATCCTCATGGAAAAGAATAGAATTTTCAGCTCTTCAAATAGCTGTTACTTCAATTACTGAATTGTTCAATAAAAATGGTATAAAAAAATAAATGCCAAAACTTATTCTGATTGACCAAAATGTTTTATTTTTTTAAGTTTACTTACGTCCATATCTTACTTTTTCAGGGCTTTTTATCATTTTTAAGTGCCCCTTTAATTGGAACTCTATCTGATGTTTGGGGCCGTAAATTTTTCTTGCTCATCACAGTCTTTTTCACTTGCGCACCTATACCTTTGATGACGATCAATACATGGTGAGTAATTACAAATTTTAACTCATTGTTTTCTTGTAATAATGAGAATTAATATATTTTCTCATAGACTTACGTTTGAGAGATTCCACTGAAATCCAAATTCTTCCACAGGCCATCGTCAGGAGGTAAAATTGTGTTTCCACTAAGCAGGACAGATAGAACTGCAATGAGACAATACTTTAGCAAATTTTATGAAAATATAACCAACAAATATGCAGTAATTACTCCTGAATAAGAATGTTACGTACTTTATTGATGCACGGTCTTATCTCATCAGAATATTTTGATAGGACAATTAAAAGTAGAACGCAATTACCTGCAAAATGTCATTTAGAGAAATGCCAAATGAGGAAGGACCGGCTGGGACTTGTCAAAATGAATGTTGTTTCCGAAAAAACATCATTTCGTAAAACGTGATGAATTACAACCGTAGGATCATGGCTCTCCTGCTCAATATCAAACAAATTAACGGTACCAAAATCAAAATAAAAAACTGCTTATACTTTCGCATAATATCTGGTTCCTCCTTGTCAGAACTTTCTGCCGTTTGCTCTCTCTCCATTGCAAACGCGAAGAGTGCATTAGAGTTGCAATAGCACTACTTTGCTGCTCTGGTCACTTTCTGGTGCTTTTCTGTACAAATCTATCAAGAAAAGCTTATAGCAACTGGCAAAGATTCATGCGCAAAGGTAGAGTCAGCAGTTCTTGGAACTCTTGACCTATGCCAGTCTTCGAAGCCTCCGTGCAAGGATTGACTCCAGCAGCGCAGCAATACCATTACGGCTCTATATGCACTCTGTTGGCTGAAGTTGTTTACAGTCACCATCATTCTAAAACTCTCATTGGCGGTTGAGAAGTACCTGTTTTGGAATGCAAAGGCTTTTTTGACACAAGACTCAGCAGTCATTTTCAACTTATTTTTCCTGTAAATGTGGGCAATCAGTGCAACACCCTCAATTTGTTTAATGAACTCTTAATCTTTGTTTGTTATAATTTTTCTCTTTTTTTTGTTCGCAACAGGTGGTTTTTCACCATGATAAGCATTTCTGGCATTTTTGCTGTCACTTTTTCAGTAGTTTTTGCATATGTAGCAGATGTAACGGAAGAACATGAAAGAAGTCCTGCATATGGGCTTGTAAGTATTTTACTTTTTCCCTCTTGCATGAAAACGACAATAGAGATTTTGCAGGTGTCTTAAATTTTGTGAATTTCATCTTTAAAACGATACTGCTAGGAAAACTGAGCAAGAGGATATCCTTGGTTTCTAAATTGAACAATTATTAGAGAAAATATGACAAAATAACCCAATCTGCTAAAATACATGTGTTCAAATGGAAAATGCTGCCATATGACGTCATAAGGCGGCACATTTTTTCTTTTTTAAATCTATTTTTCTCCCATTTCCCATGTCAGAAAAAAGTTTGAAAAATACTGCAATCTCAGCTCATTGAGCACTCTCAGATGAAGCAACAAAATTTGTGTGTGCAAATTCTCCATTATCAATATTGAATGTTCAGTATGAGACATTTATTTTTTTCCCTTCTCTTTCTATTACACTTGAAACCCATGATATCAAAGCAGCACAGATATTTAAGGCAAAGCAATTGGGCAAGAGAGAAAATGAAATTTCAATAAAAAATTATCTGTATGGTATCATGAACATATACATTTGTCAATTTTTACATCAGTTAGTATAGAGATATTTCCCTTCAATTTTGGAGCTTTCAGAGCCAAACTTGCACCTGAAATTTCCATATTTTCTTCTTCAATGTAGTGGTACCAATAACTCAAATATGAATTTTTGGATGATTCTTTTTCACAAATCTGTTTAAAAATACATGGAAAAAGGAAAAACAAGGAACAAAAATTTAGTTAGGTTAACCGGTCAGAAGATGGGGATGCATTGGGAAAGAAGACATAAAAATGAAGTAATTCCTAATCTTCCAAAAAAATGTATATTTGCTCAAAAATATGCTAAAACTAGTTTGGTATTTAATGATCCCTAAAGAAACTGTGCGGCTATAAATTAAAAGACCATCCATTTTCTTTTACCACTTCAGTACAATCACTTATTTCTCAAAATCCTTTTTGTTTTTTTGTTTTTTTTTTTGTCAACATCTAGGTTTCAGCAACATTTGCTGCCAGTATGGCTGTTAGTCCAGCACTCGGAGCATATCTAATGGATATTTACGGTGAAGGTGTTGTTGTTGTTTTAGCCACCGCTATAGCTTTGTTAGATGTCCTCTTTATTCTAGTCGCAGTTCCTGAAAGTCTACCTGAAAAAGTCAGACCTTCCTCATGGGGAGCTCCAATAGCTTGGGAGCAAGCTGATCCTTTCGCTGTAAGTTCAATTGCATGCACATTTTCTGAGCTTTAAAATTGTGCAAAAACATTATCCTTACACCATGTCCCAATTTACTCTTTTTAAAAAGATGGAAGAACGAATGAGAAAAATCTATCGACAAAAATCAGAAATTTTAATTTTTAATGGAAATTAGCTTAAAAAGTTGCAAAGTTTTTAATTTGGGGTAAGAAAACTTGCGTAATCACCATGCATGTAAAGTCTGTATGCCCAGAATTTTTTTAATTTTTTTTTTCTCTATGAGTTTTAAATAATGGAGTTGTTTCTGTATTTTTCAGGCACTGCGTAAAGTGGGCAAGGATCATACAATTTTAATGTTATGCGTCACTGTGTTTCTCTCATATTTACCTGAGGCAGGCCAGTACTCCTGCTTATTTGTTTATTTAAAATTAGTAAGTATTTCTTACAACTCCAGTATTTATTCAGTGTGAAACTACAGGAACATGTACCTTGTTTATTGTTTCAAAATCTCTGCTTTGTTTTTTCTTAATGAGAAGGAGTTCAATCAAAGCTGTTGGTTGAAATTTTCACAGAATACTCTTTACGCAGATAAGAAAAATAAAGTAAGATCTCAAGAAATTAAACCAAGTACTTCTCCATCTAAAAAATGCAGTAAGACGGGAAGTCGATAACAGCACAAACTAAGATATGTGTTCCTGTAGTTTCACTGGCGTCATCCAAGGCACACTCTACTACAGGTATAGACAAATGGGGTGCCAAAGTGGCAGCGCTAAGAATATAGGCCATCGAGTGACGTCGCAAGTCGTACCGTCTTCGCCGCGCAGTTCAAAATAAAGTTCTGGCAGATGTGGTAGCTCCGATAAGCTATCAGATGAATTTAAAAAATTGATAAAACTCCAAATAACGAAAAACTTAACGAAGAACACGTAAAAATAACACAAAATTGACGAGACCCACTTTCAGAACAGAAAGTAAACAAGTTTTCAATATGGCGACGCAGTCGTACTGTTAGACGCTGTCATATCGAAGGGTTTTGACAATTTTTCTAAAAATCCATTTGTCCATACCTGTAGTTGAGTGTACCTTGGGCGTCATCCTTATTCTTCCTGTTTACTCTAGAAAATATGTCTCTTTCAACAAAATCTAGAATTTTGAAATGTTCTAAGTCTTAGCAAGTTTCACGCAATCATCCATGTAGACTGTGAAGGACTTCACCATGAGGTAAACTCTTTGAATGTTCCAGTTTGTATCCTCTCTTGGAGAAAATGGGGTTTGTGTTTAAATGTTTTTTTATCTCTAAATAATGTAGAATGTTTGAAAGCGTTGCAAGCAATTAGAAGGAACGGACACATGGGATGCTAAGAGCAACGGAGATAGATTTCTGGAGGAGGTCTGTAGAAATTTCTAGGAGAGATCGGGTCCGCAATGAAAGAGTGCGTCAGATCACAGGAGTCAAAAATGACTTTTCGACGTCATGACCAGACAGCTTGTCTGGTATGGTCATGTCAATAGAATGATGGACAAAAGGCTGCCGAAGAAGATGCTTGATTGGGTTTCTCCTGGGAGGAGACGAAGGGGACGCCCAGTGAAAGGGTAGCGACAGGGGATTTAAGAAGAAATGAGGGTTTGCCAACTCCCTGAAGGGGTTTTGGAGGATAGGGGACTTTGGTGGCTAGGAGTCGCAGAGTGCTAGAGAGCGCTATGAAAGCGGATTTATACATACATACATGTAAAGTGTGCAAGATTATTAGAAAAACCGTTAGATTACCACTACCAGAGCCTTTTGAACTCTTCTCTGCCTTCTGTGCTGTGCTTGATCATGTTATGAAAGGTCGTGAAAGTTAAAGAGATAAATAAAATATTGCAGTAAAAATTGCACTAATAAATTCAAGAAGTTAACGATTGCGTAAAAATTGCCTATAACAATTCTGTATGTAGGTATGAGATTGATATCCATAGTAGGCCTTAATTTTATTTGCTCATCGCCTGACTTTTTTTTTACACAAAATGGTTTCAAAATTCATCAGGAAACATCCAGATCTGTTCATAATTTATTTTTCCCTGAGAATATGTGTAACTTTAATGGATTTTGAATTTTTTCAGGTGATGGGATTCAGTGTAGTAATGGTTGCTGTATTCATAGCTGTTATTGGAAGTATATCAGTTTGTTCACAAGTAGTTCTAGGTTTTTTAATGAAGTCTCTTGGATCCAAACATACAATTATGTTGGGACTTTTGTTTGAAACGCTTCAACTCATGTGGTATGGCTTCGGCTCACAGACTTGGTAAGCCATTTTGGAACCCTCCTCTCTTGATTTAATCGAACAGCAAAGGGTCTTTTGGGGGAGGTTGATGTTTATCAAGTTCGTTAAATCTTGTTATAGTCATTAAGGTACTGGTGTAAAGTGGCAAAATCTACGAAACCAAGGTGCAAAGTACCCAGTTGCTCTCGGGTTCGCTGCAAGTGGAATACTGCAGACCCTCCAAAATTTGTTCAATTACACTGTGAAGATAAGGTAGGACAAGGAAAAAATACTAAAAATGTGCCTCAGATACTGTAACAGGATGGTAAAAGAATCACACTATTCTGCAGGGAAATGAAAGCCAAAAAATTTCAAAAATCACTATTAGTCGCAAAATCAACTCTAATGAACAGTATTTGAATCTGACAGGCCATCAAAACATCATTTAAACTCTGGCATGATACATATCTACCGTCGCTGACAACATTCATGTTTTATCCTGAAGTATGAAACAGCTCGAAAAAAATTGATTCTCGCTTCATAAGTAAGAGGCTTACCTTGGATAGTTCTTCAGTCAAGGGATTTGGTTTTCGGTTTGGATGGAACAACAGATTTAAGACCAGTCATTTTTACTAATATAACTATTTTCTGTGGTTTCAGGATGATGTGGGCTGCCGGTCTGTTGGCTTCTTTGTCTAGTATCACCTATCCTGCCATTAGTGCATTTATATCAATGCATTCTGATGCCGATAAGCAAGGTAATTTATCCCTCATTGATCTATTTTATTTGTATCTTGGAAATTTGCTGGGTCGGTGTTGTCTGCTGCATCATACAACATATTTTCCGCACATATTAATTTCTTACTAAAAGCTTCGTAAATAAGGATTTGATTATGATCTTGTTACATGAGATAATGAGTAAAAGTCTATGACTAGTCAAAAAGGTATTGATATTTGTTTGCATTGAACAGGAAGTTTACAGAGAATTGAGGACTTCTTCGGTAAAAGAGCACACATGAGCCTTCCAACGTTGCTGAGATTAAACAACGTAGTTCTTGAACCTGTTCAAAAGCTCCATCAACAATTTTTCCTTGAATCTGCTCCGACCTTTAATCATTGTTGTGTGAAAGTAAGACGAATGTAAACAGGGTTGTTACAGTCAAGGAATCCCGGGGAATGTCAGGGAAAAATCGTCAAACCCTGTGTAAGTGAACTTCATTTACTGCAAATGCTATGAAAAATTGTACAATATCAGCAGCTTTGCAAGCCTCAAACTTTATTTTACAGTAGTCTTTTTATCAACAGCTATTGACGGCAGATGCACTTTGAGATAAGCTCTCCCGATTCATTCACTATCTTTTTATTTTTCTTATGCCAGAAACTCTGTACATTTTTGTGCAAGGGTTATTATCCCCCTCTGTGTAATGAACTAAAGTTTGTCCTGATCTTCAAATAATCAATCAATTACAAATTCTGCCAAAACTAGGCCTCAGTGCAAATCGTCTGTAGTGCATTGTGTTTAATTACCTAATTTTGACTTTTAAAGTAAGAATTTTTCTATTTAATTACAGGACTGGTTCAAGGAATGGTAACCGGTATGCGAGGTCTTTGCAATGGTTTAGGTCCAGCAATGTTCGGCATTATATTCTATCTTTTCCATGTTGATCTGAATGAGAGAAGCCGGGATGACAAAGCTCCAATTAGGCCTTATCCTGAATCTTCGCCCACCGTAAGTTCTCTCTCTGGTAGACGTTTTTTATGTTGTTCAAACAAGGGGGTGTTGCACAATATTTTCTTTTACTTCATTTTCTGAGAGAACGTAATAATGAGGAACATATGTATATTAATCTTTTAGCCGTGGAAACTACTTGCAAAGTCGCCAAAATCTTAACCATGTTCCAAATAAAAATATCAGGCTAAATAGATTTTATGACGTCAAATGAAGAGTTTACTGCTGTGTAATCCTTTCACCTGCATTCTTTTATTTACTTCCGGGTTGCGATCGGAAGTGAAGATTTTGTATCTCGACCATGCTCACGATGTCATCGCTGATTGAAGTGAACATTCTACCTCTTTTAAATGAAAGCCTTTTTCAGGCCGCATCCTGCCGAAATTGACCCTAAGAACACAAATCCTGGCAGTTTCTGAATCATGTAGCAGCCCCATTGTACAAAAAACAAAATAAATTGGAAAAGAAAACCTCATTAAATACTTAGTTCAAATCTCAGTTTAAAAAAAGAAAACCAATTTAATGATAAGTAGCCCAACTTGATTGGGTGAGAGTTATCTGATTTTTTTTTTTGCAGAAGGAAAATGAAACTAACCCCTCCTCTCATCATGCATGAACTTCTTGTTTATCTGGTCCCATTGATATCTTATCGGTTACTTCTTATATTTTCAGCTGATTCCAGGACCACCTTTCGTTTTTGGTGCTCTTTTAGTCATCTGTGCTCTCCTAGTCGCAGCATTTATACCTGAGGGACCTCATATGGTTCTCAGCTTTAAAAATAGTATTAGGAAACCTTCAAGTGAGTATTCATCATTGCTTTTTCTCTTTTTCTCATTTTCTAAAAACTGTGAAAAAACTACAGAAACTGATAAAAATACAGCAATTAAAATCAAAATCCTTAAGGCCAAGTATAACACTGAGCCATTAAAAATTTGTACAGAATTTTATGTTTATCCTCTGCCAGATTTTTAATTGTTTAATTTTTAACTTGGTTTTGTTAACCAAGTCAGAGGAAAATGTGAAAAGACTCGTAAACTCTGCATATGAACTGTATTTTGCTCAATACAATGCATTTAAAAAAAAACTTTTTTTTATACATACGTGCATATCTTAAATTGGCCACTCCTTAATTTTCATAAGATCAAAAGAGTATAATTTGCCCGAAAGAAATGTTCTTATTCAAAGCTCCATTTATCAGTCCTTACTTAAAATTTACTTCCATACAGTGCTCGTCCTGTGGCCGTATTTACAATGCAATCTTATTTGTTGGTTTCTCTTTTCAGGCATGGAAATTCATTATGAGTTTGATAAAAACAAAAAATACGATGGTTGCAGTCCACTCGTTCCACTTCTGGACAGTTCAGTACCCCTTTGAAATCAGTTCTCGTAAGCTCTCATTAATTTTCATCGACAGCTGTAATGATTTCAGGTCATTACACTTTCTCTTCAATTGTAATTTCTCTCAGCACTCAATTTTAGTTTTAACGAAGCATACTAGAGAGTAGTCCAGGAATGCCTTAAAGGAGAGCTGTTCCTCGTTCATTTTGACCATGAACACAATGCAATCAATGGTAATGTGAAATATTTTCACAAATAGGTGTACCTTATCCGGGGGTGGTAAGGGATTGCCCTGTGTTCCTTCGTCAGAATCACAGCTCAGAGCTGCCTTTGATCTCAATCTTTCCCTTTACCATGTCATCAGATGACTCTTATTTGATGTAATTTTTTTTTTCTCTTATTTTTTCCAAGCTACGGTTTCATAATGTCAAACAAAGAATTCCTCAGAATTTTACTCAGATCAAATGATATTTTAAGGTGGCTCAATCACATTTAAGTTAAAGCATTTTTGATTTTTAAGCCCAGAAGCAGAAGTAAAATTGATTTCATCAGAGTAAGAATGGCCTTCATTAGTGGAAGTATGCAGGGAGAGAATCTTAAAATATTATATTCACACGGTATCCCTGAAGAAAGTGGATATGATTTGTTCCCAAAGGCAAATATTTAATTACGTTCAATTAGCAACAAAATAATTTAGAAAATAAAATTTTCTGGTTTTTAAAGTTCACAAAGGAATCATGGTACAACTACAGAACAACTTATTTGCAATGAGTGAATGTCTCAATAACATAGTGCTTCAGTTATCCAATTTTAACCAAATTGAAAATACTAGTATTTTGAGGCTGATTCTAGATAAGCGTTTCTGAGCTGTGCTTTGAAAAATTTCTCAACTCTTCAAGCATTAACATGCAGACTTTTTTTTTTTAAATTCGGCTCACTGTAATCCTAAAAACTCTCAGCCTACCTCATGACAGGTAAATCACAATCCATGACTTTCAATTTTATTAGTTAATTTATAAATATCAGGCAGTTTCAGTTCAAAACAAATGATAAGTTTAATTACATGAGTATCTCTGCATTTTGCAATGATTTTTAGTGAAAACTCAATACTGTCTCAATAAATGACTTTGAAAAGCTCATTGACGCATGCAAATCAGTTGGTGAGCTGAAAGAAAATTTGCGGTTCAACTATCTCCTGGAAAGATGTGGGACAGTAGGATTTCCATCTGTCTTATTAAGTGGATGAATCACGTAAAACTAATCCCTCGCTTAGGGCACATCTTCATTGCTATTGCACTTGAGTTAGATAGTAAGCCCTGGCAAACAGCTTCTTAGAATGCTGTTAGTCAGAATCTTGTAGCCTTAGTTTCTGAGTTTATTGGCCGGAAACTAGATTACTTCTAATCTTTGTTGCTTTCTTTTCTCCATACAGGAGGATTGAAACAAGATATTGTAGCACAAAAGATTTTGGTCATGTAACTAGATCAGGAAGAATTAGGTATTGAAGCACCGAGAGGAAGAAGACAATTGAACACTAAAGAGTGTCCCGTAGTGTCCACCCCTAGTGTCCACCTCTGATTTTGATGAAATTTTGGGAGGTAGTAGTCACTAAGGAACTATAACGCATAATACAACCATTCCCACTACTGGTTCTTAGCAGGGAGTAGAGTCATAGCAAATTTTCAGCGCGTGAAAGGTTCAAGCTTAAAAGCTATGCATATGCTGCCAGCAAAATCGCCAATTGATGCCTAAGTGACTGCGCTGCTCGCCAGCGCGTTGACCTCGCATTGGTGGGTCAAAAATAGGAATCATAACTAACAAATTCTGTTTCCAAATACAATCAATCGTTCCTCAAACTCTGGCTGCTCTTTCTGCAGCTGCCTCTGCTGTTGCCGGAGCCGTTGTTGAAGCTCCTGCCATTTTGATCTTGTTGAGCGATCCTATCGTCCGATAACGATTCCCTTGCTCGAGGTTTGCGCTTTTTGAAAATTCACTGTAGCTTTCATAAGTTCTTATAGTGGGAACGATTTCACCAAATTTTTCAGTTCCCTTAGGACTACTCTTCCAAAGTTTCAACAAAATCAGCGGTGGACATTAGGGGCCTCCTCTTCGCAAGATGTCTGGGAAAAGTGTAAAGCGACATTACTTTACAACAATGCCAGAACGATTCAATTTGGCATTTTTATTTCCCTCCTTCATTCATTGTCCAAGTTTTATTGGAAAAGTCGTGTTTCGTTTGTTTTCTTGTTTTATCTTGTTTTTTTCTTATCAGTTTAAGAAATCTGCATGTAAAAGTGTTATCTTCTGTAACACGCAGGTATTAATGATAGGTGAATCCCACCCTATGAAGTATCACATCCGTCCAATGAAAGCTCCTAGATGAAAAGTCCTAGTAACCATCATTCAATGAGGCTCAAGATGAGCTTTTGATTTTGAAAACTATCCAGAAACTGTTAGATGTATAACGCAGTGGCAGAAATTATTGATATCTAACAAGTAATGAATGATTTATTACAGTGTTAAGTATGAAATCATTTGATAAATTGGTTTTTTCCAATGAAACTTACTAGCACTGTTATAAGTGTTTACATCCATGCCTTTCATTGTTCCTGTACTTTCTTGACTCCTGTATGTTGCATGTGCCCTTTTGGCACCCAAGGCTTTCCTTTCAGCTGTCTTTTTTTGGCCTAAATGTAAATTTATGAATTCTCTCCAATCAGTTTATGACCTAAAATATTTATAAAAGCTAGGTACACACCAAATATATTTTAGCTCTATGAATGATTTTTGTATCTTAATGAGGACGAAAATTTCTACTTAGAAATACATTCTATGGCTCATTTTAATAACTCTTTTTTACTGTCTCTGTAACCTTGTAAAACCAGCTAGAAAAGAAATATCTGAAGCCTTTGCAATAGGGAAGATCGTAAAGAATTAAAAAAATGAGTTATTATCTCCAGTTGTCACAATCCGAGTATTTGGCTTGGAGATATGTACTGCTTTCCTTTGAGAGATTCCTTTAAGATTGTTTCATGGAACATAGTATTGAATGAGAATTTTCTGGGATTTTATGTTTGCTATGATTTGCTGTTTGGTCACGGTTCAATCATGTAACATTTAATCGTACTCTTTGTAAATAATTCTTTCTTTTTCGTTCTATCAAAAAAAAAAAAAAAAAATTCTAGATCTCTTGGCTTTTGTATCAAATATTGAGCCTCTTTGCGGGAAATCAATCTATTTTACTCGAGATTGATAAATTCTCACAAAATTGACTCGATTAGGCTTTCATATTGATGCACGCAACTATTTTTTCCATGTTAAATAGATTACTCAGAAATTTTGCTTTGTAGCGCAGCATTCAGTTTATCCGATTTCACTTGTGTGTTCAGTAAATAGATTTATATGCAACTAATGGAGGCATAGTCGTATGAAAGGGCAGGAGAGCTTTGTCTCTTAGAAATCAAAAGACCTCATGTCTTCCACCGCCCTTCTTTCTGATCCGAGAGGACTTATAGTTGGAGGAAAATTAACTTCCGTAATGAGTTTTTATGGAGTATGGGCATCAAATTTTACCTTTTAACGGGTTAAAAATGGGTACGCATTTTATTAATTTCTCCTAGTTTTTTAGAGAAATCTTTCTGTGGTCCTCCCTCACCACCCTCAAGTTTACAAATGTTGGATCTCTCCACCGTAAGAATGTCATATGGACATGCTTGTGATCATTGGAGAAAACTGAAAAGTGGTGTTTCAAAATTCCTGAGTGACCTGTATTGGACAGAATGACATTTTTGCTGTAGAAAGTTTTTGACACGTTGTTTATTTTTACTGCAAACTGTTCATTTCTGAGCTTCAATTTTAAATCGAAAGGATCGTAGAGTTAGACTCATCTCAGTATCTCCTGTCTCTTTTGAGCTTGTCATCGCAAGTTACACAATGAATTTTTTTTCAAGTTAGCGTAAAGAAAGATCACTTAATCTTCATTTTGTTTTCACTTCAAGTGATTTTTTTTTCAATGCCTACTCATTTGATTGACTGGGAACCAACTGAATTCTGTGAGACATTTGTCCTAGCACTACAAGCTTCTATTGTCATACATTGAAGTTTTTTAATTGATTTTGCATTTCTGCTCTGTTGACTTAGCAACTTTTCAATGATTTTCAGTAGTTAAGAAATGGCTGCCCAAAAAAAACTTTTTAGCAGCTTCACAATTCACTAGCTATGTCAACAATTACCTCCTTCCTTTTTTTCTAGTCTTTGAGTGTGTCTTCAAAGCTCTATGTTTGTAAGTTTCCTACAAAACTCTCTGCTCTTTATCAAAACAGTTACAAAACACTGTGAAAAGCAAAAGTGATAGACGTAAGTGATATTTTATTGTTAGTGAATAATTTTTATTATTTTGTATTTTTTGTATATTTTTGACGTGTGAGCTGCATAGTGGTTTCTGTAAAATATTTGGACTACATTTTGCAATTTGGAACTTCAATTTCTAGCCCATCCATAAAAACACTCATGTGCATAGGGAAACTAATGATACGTATATAGTTTCTAAACTGAGTCAGATATTGTATGGTTCCGAATTGCAAAATACAACTAGTTCATTTGTCAGCAATCTTTGAATTAAAAATTATTCGCTTGCTCTTTAGTGTTCAGTGTAAGTGAACATTCGTTTAAGTCAAAGTATTCGAATGAGCTACCTGGATTTTCCACCGCTGACTTTAAAGATTCTCATTGCGAATCTTCCAAGAAGTTTAATTCCAGTTTTTATTTTTCTAAATTCTGTACTTAAATCATGAACAGGAGTCCATGCAATTTGAATGTCTTCATTTTTATTTTGTTGTAGGTAGAGATAAAGAACGAAATTCTGATTTCATCCTGTTATTGTCTTTCAAGTCTTTGATAGTTATTTCTATCATTTATCATTTTCGTTACTCGGATGCTTTTGTACGAAAAAAAAACAAGTCTAAAAGTCTACAGCAACCATTTGTAATCAGACATCTTTTGTGAGAGGGTGTCCTCGTCAAATTCTCTTTTATTATAGTAGGTCTAGAAGTGTGGATAAAATTATATGAATAGGTACTTAAAATAAAGAAGAGGGTAAAGTAAGATGAGCCAAGGAAATTGGGGAAGAATTTGACCTCTGCTCAATTGAATCAATGTCCAAAGTGCGAAACCTCGTATCCCCATCGCAGTGCACCAGAATTTCTGCTCTCACTTTATTTTTTTGAAGAGAAACTAGCCAACGTTATAGTTTGAAACTCATGCAAAATATTGTGCTGACAGGAGAAGAAAAATTATGTAGGTTTTCAATAAATTATGTACTTTCGTTTTTCAAAGAAAAATTGAATATAAAAACAAGAAAAAAATGGAAAATAACAAAATAAAATAAGAAATGAAAAAATAAAATGAAAATTAATGAATGACAGGAAGTCTGCCACTTCAGAAAGGGAGGTACGTGGTTTCGCACTGCGGCTAGCGAAATGTTACATTGTTGCATTAACATGTACGGTTAGCGTTGTTTGAAAGCCAAAAATTTGGGCCATCTAGAAATTTTAGTGAGTTCTGAAAAGAAATTCTGTGTTGAGTAAAAATGAAGACTGTGATAGACACCTGGTTGTTCCTTTCTTATTTTCATCACAAGTGCTAACATCAGGGCAGAAAATCTTTTTGTGGTTGATATGTTTCAAATGCTCTGTCAAAATTGTTTGAAGGAATGTTGAGTTCTCTTGCTTTTTCATTCAAGTATGTAATAGACTGCATCGGTCCTTTTCTTGTGAAGCGAGGTCTCCCAATGGAAGAAAAGCTTTGCATTATTTTAGGCTTCAGTTTTTTTTCACTTTAAATCATTTTTATTTGAAATGATGGATGAGATGTGTTAAGCCATTCGACATTAAAACCGTAAAAATGTGTATCTCGGTTGCGGTGTTCCAAAATCTCCGCCCCTTCTACATTTTCTAAAGAGAGCTCGAACCACCATTGTGGCTTAAAATTCTTACAGAATATTCTCACGTACTAAAGAAAATATACCAAAGTACGTTGAATAATTTTCAGTGAAGACAATAAAGTGTGACTGGAAGTCTGCAAATAGAGGTACGCATTTCTGCAGTTTACCATCGTAGTTGCTTGATCATATTCAGTGCATAATCGAAGCTGTGGCTCAAGCATCATTGTAATGTGATGTCTGCGTTCTTGATTTGCCAAACTTAAGAATATCTAGGCTGAGTTGGCAAAAATGAAGCAGGGAACTCAAATGGACCACAAGCACTAGACAAGGCACGAATTTAAGGATTCTGATACATGTTTCTAAAGCAGAATTTCACATAGAACACGATTCTTGCATCGATAATTGCCGAAATCATTTCTTATCTAAGCTGTTAACGTTTTTATTCTACATTGGTTTGGAAAATTTAAATTGCCCGTTCACGAGAAACTCAATTCTCTATGTAGTCCAATCGCGCACTATTATAGTTTCGGCAGGCTTCTCAATCCAGCACTGTTCATTTCCCACCCTGTGTTGTTCCAATGTAACTATGAACAACTTGCTATAGCTAAGCCAAAGCGTCATGATTGAGATTGCCAGATTTTCATATCGCAGAGATTGTCATGGTAATTTTTAGTGTGTGATTTGACTCACGTAGACCATTGAGTTTTCATGAGCTGGAGGTTTGAATTCATGTGTCAAGAAACATTAAATATATTGGTCAGGAGTTAATTTCAATAATTTTTGTTGCTTAAATCGTGTTCTACGTAAAATTTTTGTTCAGAAACATGTATCAGAATGCTTTACCTCGTATCTTGTCGAGTGGTCCATTATGAGTTGCCTAATAAAGAAGCCATCATCTCCCGTAAAAGTCAAGTTACCTGCTATCGCTATGAAAGGACCGTCTATCTCTCCCTTCTTCCCTGGTCTCTACAGTGAAACTTTTATTGAAGGTAGACGAAGAATGATGGAATGGTACACATTTTTCCTTTACATTTTTGAATATCAACCACAAGGAGGATTTTAAAGTTGCTAGCCCTCTCTCAAAATTTGCTTGTACCTTCACTAGTGAACTAATGCAATAAGAATAGCAAAAAATTTTAAGAAATAATAATGAGATGATTTAATAAATGTATACTTCAAAAGCAGACCATTCTGAATTTTTTATTTCCTTCCCTCTTCATTCATTATATCGAAATGGTTCAAAATATATCTTCCAAAGTATCAAAGTTTATTTATAATGAATGTGTTGTTTTGAAAAGAATATCTTTCAGAAAATTTCAAGGATATATATTTTATTGCAACAAAAGGACATCATTTCCTTATCAATAGTGAAACTGCAAAAATGCGTATCTTAGTTGTGGTGTTTCGAAATCCCTTCCACCATTTTACTTTTTAAAAGGAGACAAAACCAACATCATGGCTTGAAGTTTTCATAGAATCTTCTTTAGAAAGAGAAGAAAAATCACTGGAATTTTCAAAAAATTACGTTTGGTAGTTTTCCAAGTGGTGAATAATGTATGACAGGAAATCTGCAACGCCACAAACAAAGATAAGTATTTCTGCAGGTTCACCATTGATCTGTAATCCTCTAATTTGTAATTTTACCTTCTTATTAAAGGTGCAAATAAATGGCTGAAGGTGTCCTAGCAGCTCTTAAAAATAAACATGTTTTACTCCTATCACTTTCTATCTTTCTTACTTTGAAATTCGGCACTTTTTAGAATAACAAATTGTTCTATATTGATCAGGATTAGACTGAAAGCTGCTTAGAGCGCATCATGTACCAATTTTGAATAGTGTAAAGGGAGGGGGCCAATGTTCTCCTCTGCATTTTAATGAAACCGACGTAGAAAATTAAGGGGTTGTTCAATTTGAGGGAATTAAGAGCTTTTCCCTCTCACCCCCTCAACCAAACAGAATTTTACGTCCTCCCACCAATTTTGGCCCCCTAAGATTGAGGAGTAATCCTCAGCAAGTCAAATTACCCAAACACTATCAGTCATTTACTTTAGCGGTGCAAATTTTAAATTTTGACAGCTGCATATTACCAGAATTTGGAACATATTTTTTATTCTTGAGAAATTAATGCTAAATATTATTTCTTCAAGGGTAAAACTGTTGTGAAAGGAAGCGGACCAACAAAACAAGTACAGTTTGACAGTTTTAGAAATAAATTAATTTTATTAAGATCTGAATGTAGATTGTGCAAAATCCGATTTACATTTTAGCACTGTTCACAATACTCAATACAAAGTTTGGAAGAGAGATAACTCAATATGAGTTAATAATAATTGTAATAGGTGTTTGATGATAAAGAGTTATAATAACAAAGAATCATGACACTAAAATTAAATAATTAGTCAAGAAGATGATTTGGACTACATTTGACTATAAGGGACTACTATATCGGGCTCATTCTTGAAACGACATATCTGCCATTAGTAGCAAATGATACTTTTAAGGACGAGCTGGAAATTTTAATACCTTATTGCAAAATGAAATCCATTTGATAATGATGCTGACAAAAACAATCATGATGAAGTAAACAACTAATGCTACAGCAAGAGGGGGGAGGGGAATTAATGATCAAGGGGTAGATTAATGAATAAAAAAGATGAAAATAAAAGCAATGGATGAACAAAGAACAAGTGCCTACAAAAAGAATCGGAGGAAATTACAAGCATCATAACTTAGAGTGAGTCAAAGAAGAATAGGGAAAAGGCATGAGTTCAGACTTGCTATCAGGGCAATATTTAGCACCCACGGTAGGTTTTAAAAACCAAAAGAGGAGAAAACCCAATCAGAGAAAGGGTCATTTGACTGCCTTCAGCATGAGAGAAAAATCTTCACGGTGAGGTGCTTGATCTCTATTTGTCTTATGAGCAGACTCTCCGTCTCTGATTGATACATTATCTCCCTTTTAGTCTTCAACTTGCTAAATAATAAACTGCTGATTTTTTAGAAGAAGTCAAAGCCCATGCCTCACAAGGAAAACATAAAGACAGGGAAGAGAGTGAAATAGAAATTGCGGTTCTCTCATTAATGCTGAGACTCAATTTAGTTAAACTCCAGATTGAAGTAATTAATGTTAGGTGGTACGGTGGATAAAACCAGGGATACTGCGTTCACAAAACTGCAAGCAATGTCGCTTTTAACAGAGGCAAACAATAAAAATACAGACTGGAAGGAAAAATCAGTTCGGGGAGGGGATGTTTCCTGGAGACGCGAAAAGAGGTTCTGACATGGAGTAGGTCTGAGTGGCTAGAAAGCTGTCGATCAAGTTTTACTTTTAACTGGTAGACGCACACTTAAAAAGCAGCTTCTTATAAAAATAATAAAACATTCTTCGGTCAAAATGAATTATTTTCTTGTGGCATCAAATGCAAATAATTTAAAATAGATCTTTCCCTAGAAAACGGTTTTCAATTGACTTAACAAACAAACAAAAAAATTGCTTTCCGTCAGGTTTGATAAAATACATAGATGAACAGTTCACAATTCACTGATCCTAAATGAAGATTTAATCTTTTTAGGGACTGCAAGTTAATCATAAGTTCAGTTTCATTCATAATTTTTGGGCTTTAAATTGAGGTGCTCAGTATAATTATTTGTTGCTGCTGCTTTCTAAGGGAGATACTCTCTGTTTTGGGAAGTATACTACTTGCAGTCCACTCGACCTGGAATAAGAGATGTTTTTGGATGCAGAAAAATTCCAAAGTGCACCGGTATATGAGGTAATTTTATGATAACAAAACAAAAACACCTGTGAATATGAGCAGAAAATAGCTCTCCTGATAAAACGAAATACTCACTGACCCAGAATTTAATAGAACTGATCACAATGTGAAATTGTTAAACTAGTTAGAAAGAGAGAAAGCTCAAGAGAATGAATGTAAGGCTTGCATGTTGCGGCAAATATTACAGAGATGGTAAAAAATTACAAAATGGAAGCTGCAATGAAATTTACAAACTAAATAGGTACAGTTTTGACACCTAAAGGCACCAGTTACACTACAATTTTATGTGGGCAAGTACAAAATTGGATATAAAAACAAACTCGGCGTTATTTATTTTGGTGACAAGTAAAAAATACTGTGAAACTGATCCTTGTGTTATGCTAATTACCGGACTGTCTGAAACTGTTGTTTACAAGTGCTTAAGTGTGAGGGAAAATACAATTTTCGACAATAGAAAACAGTGCCTCGATTCTATTTTTTGGTATCTGACACGATAATTGCAGAAAATATGAGTATTTCAATTGGGATGACTGGTAGGTGTATTTTTTGTATGCCACAGTATGATAAATGAACAGGCGTAAACTTAAGAAGAGTGTACACATTAACTAGCAGATAATACAAAAACAGTCAGATTTAACTGTACAAAAATTGTACATCATTGCTATGTTCAGTTTGGCTAAGAAATAAAACTAGGCCTAGTTATGTACAGTTGAATTGTTCATTACCTAACCACTATATTAAGGATCAATTTATCTAGTGTATTTGAAAATCACTTTTTTTGATTTGCAACCATCCTCATTATGCAAGAGATCTTTTTCATATCACGAAAATTTTTCATTAATAGGTATGCCAAACAATCCACTCAGCAAATCAATTGAAAAAAAGTGGTATGTGTATAGATTACTTCTGAAAATGAAATGTTTTCAATGATAATGACAATGATTGTGACAATAAAAATTTTTAATTGCATAAAAGTTTGCGGTCTAAAAAATAAAAAAAAACAACGAAAATTTCAATTTCTCAGTTACGCATAAAAACCATAAAATAAATAATAAAAAGAAAAATGGCCCCAAACCTCTACTCTGTCAAAGAATTTTGAAGATTTGAGGAATTATTAACAAATTAAAGTACAGAGAACAAAAAAAAAAAAAAAAAGATTGAAATTGTAAAGTTTCAGAGAATAATTAAAGGCTGATTTTCAGCAGAGTTTTAGCATTCTATTTATGAAGGTTAGAATAATTTTCTTGCCATCAAGCTTTTTATCACAAATAATTTAATGAACAGCAAAGCTAATGAACTTTAAACTTCACCTCCATGAAATTAATTACTTATCAGTAAACAGATCATTAACAAATGGGGACTGATCAACAACACATTGCAACAAAGAAATACTGAGCTAATGAAATAAAAACATCTACAACCAGCTTCTGAATATGGACAGGATATTAATTTTCTTTTTTTAGATTTATAATTATAGGAGGCACTGGTGCTGATAGAATTACTTGTGAAACCTTCTAGATGGAGGACTTCATGAAATGAAGTGATTCTATTCACGTATCAATCCTGTTAAAATTACCGCTGTTTTCTCAAGACAAAATGACGGACAAGTCTACAAAAGCTCAAAATTTTCAAGGCTGGACCGAGAAAAATGAGAATAGGAAATAGTGACTGAAGTTCTAACCAAGAGGGTTCTACAAAGAGGAGTGATACTCGAAGATCTGTTCTGAATTACATATTTTAAAAAACAGAAGTGCTGAAATTACTAATTGCTGTCACCAAAAATTGTCTCCTTTTAACTGACTCGTAAGTAAGGGATAAAGGGCGATAGTGCTTTACTGAGAAAGGAGGAGGCATTTATTTCAATATTTTAGACTTTCTGGATTTTCAAAAGCATTTTAAAAGAATCGAGCGAAAGGAAATTTTTAAAATGATGAATGCAAAATAACTATGAAATATGAAACACTGCATTGCATTTTAGTACATTTTAATAATGATTTAAATAGAACATTTAGGAGCTACCCTAGAGAATAAACACAAACAGGAACTTTCAAAGGTGAGACAAATTTTTAGGATTCCCAAACTTTCATTACAAGTCTTTAGCTTAACCAAATTGCCATTTTCAGTGATTTTTAGTGGATGAGTCAAGTAGATTAGTAGATCTTAACTTGACATTTGAAATCCACTCAACAGCAAGCTTGAGGAATCACAAGAATACAGTAATGGTGTTATTTTAGTGACCCATTTAGTGGAATTTTTATTAGGCATGTAGACTTTGGAAAAAACAAATTTAAGACATGTCAATGCAGCTTCATTGCGCTTTTCAGTTTCTTCAGCTCATAAAAAGATTAAAATCATGGGACGAGGCTGACATAAAAATAAAGGCATAGTTAAAGACGGAAATAAAGAAAAAAGTAAACTTTTAAGAAAGGGGGGGGGGGGGGANAGCCATAGGATTCTATGAGATGAATCACAATAAAGCGAAAAAAGAACGGGGGGAAGAAGAGGAAAATGAAACTGATTGCTGCGACTCATGATTTTAAAAGAAGAGAAAAATGAATGAAACAATAAAAAAATAAACAAATATAATTTTCATTAAAAAAATTATAAAAAAAATTTTAAAAAAAACTGGTAGACAAAATTCTATAATTAAAAGAAGTAAAGGTGAGAGGGATAAATTTACAGAATACCTCACAAGAAAATGATCAACAAGGAAAAATGGTAATGGTCACATGAGTCACTTACAACAAAAATGATTTTACAAAAGTTCCAAAAATACAAAAGGCAAAAAGAAAAATTTATCAAGACCACAAAAGAAAATTCTAATCGGAATGTTGAAATTTGTTTTTTTTCCCAGAAAATGCTGTTGGATGTTCCTTTCTGAAAAATTTTGACAAGAATTGAGAGAATTTTCTTAGAATTTTATGATCTCGAAACTAAAAAATCATTCAAACTAGTGAAGATCAGAATTGGTGAGTGCAATCGGTTGAATCCGTTCACATAGCACTTGTTTTCTTTTCTGTTTTCTTCCTTGCAGAAAAGCTTAGGTGCTTAATAACATTCACAACATAGATGATAACAAATGCAGCATGAAAAAGAAAACATAAGAACCAACTTTCTTGATATGGATAATTTAACGCATAACAATGGACTGGAGTCAATCGTCAATTCAATGAAACAATGCTTTATTTTCTGTCTTATTAATTAGAGATCCTAACTTGAAAAAGAGATGGAACAGGATGGATCATAAAAAAGGCACTGTGTGTTTACCTATTCTCTTAATTAGCAATCAAAGAGGAGTCTACAAAGAGATTCCAATCCTCTAAATCAAAATTTCTACACATTTGATGGCTGTTTCAAACAGAGCCGAAACCTAAGCCAAAAAATAATAGGTCTGCAAGAAATTATTTTGCTAAAAAGAGATGAGCTCAATGCTTACATAAAAAAATCATTGTGTTGCAATCAAGAAATGTGGCGATTCTATGTCGGTATTACAGAAACGAGAAAATTTCAACCAACTGCAGATGCGAGCTAATCATAATTAGCTTCACTTTAGTGAATGGTGCTGATTTTTAGCGTTTCAAAAGCCTTTGCTACTTAATCACAGTCAGTGGCGATTCTTGAAAGTTGGCAACAGTGTTTTCCCTCCATTTAAATGCACGTAAAACAATCGATTCTTGGTGAGACAGCCTGCCTCTCCTATAATCGATATTTTTGATGGATTACAATGGAGGAAAAAAGTGTTGCCAACTTGGAAAATCGCTACTGATCACAGTTAAAAATGACTCTGGAGAATCACCTACGTTGAAGAGGTCAGACATTTTCTTGAGTAGGGAACTTACAATACTACCGTGTTAAAGAAGAACGGCGTATGAACTTTCAGGCGTTGTCAAATTTCCTTTGATAAAACACGAATTTCCTGATAAACGTATTGATATTTTTCTTCCAATTTTTCATATTATTTTGCTCGCAATTCCATCGAAAAGTCTTTAAAATTTCAAGGGAAATTATTCATATCTTTACTCAAAAACGAACATTTTATCGAAGGAAATTTGGCAACTCTCGAATGTTCACACGGCGTTCTTCCTTGGCACGGCGAAATAGCAGTGGCGTGGCGTGAATTGCGATGTATCGATTGTTATGCCATTTAAAACTATGGTAAAGAATCGATTTTTAAGGTGTTCGCTGCGAACACCCTGTTTATCGATCCTTTTCCATAGGTTTAAATGGCATAACAATCGATACATCGCAAAGCACGCCACGCCACTGCGAAATAGGGTACTCAACTTTCTTCTATAAAAGACTCTTCCGGGTTGATCCACTTTTTCGAAATGTTACCAACGACTTTAGCTCGATGACCTTCCTCTCGCAATCGACGGAGAGTGAATGGATGCATGACAATTTTAGAGAGAAAGTCAAAGTAAAAGGGACAAGGAAATGCAACTAAATATTCAGTCTCCTAAACACATCACAAACAAAAACTTAAAGTAGTCACGGTACAATGAAATACTTAAAAATTATCTGTACACGTCAAACAAATTGAAAAAGAAGAGTAAGGATAAAAAAAAGAGGGTTAACATCCTGGCCATTAGAAAATTAAATAAAATGCGAATTTATTCACCTCGTCGCGACTGGCAGAATTTTGGAATGATACAACTACTACTCGGATGAGCGAAACACCGAATTGGAGGATGACACACTTCTCGCGACGAGGGATAAAGGGAAAAATTTCTAACTTCTCTCCTGAACCAAAATGTTAACAGTTTACTGAGCCTAGCGTTAAATTAATATTAACATTATGAATTAACAATTAATATTAACATTAGTAAACATAGATTTGCTTCAACTGATCCCGCAGCTCGGCCGGTATTGTGTAAGCTTCTTGCTGTGGTTTCTTCTTGATGAGCCGCCTCAACTTGCCACCTAGATTCTTCCGCACGCCTTTCCGGCACTCGCTAGGTTCTTCACAGGATACATTTCGTACTAGCGATTCCTGCAACAGATAAATAACATTTCACCATTAGACTCCTGTAAGGATCCCGCTTCCAAGTAGAAAACATGAACACAACAAGAGTCGAAGGTGTCTACTAAAACCCGCTGGCCGAAATTCAGTACTTTTACAGTACTTTTTCGGTGCATTCTCAAGAAATTCAGTACCTCCTCAACAGAAAAATTAAGTGCTTTTTCAGTACCTTCATTTGACGAAATTCGAAAAATTTCAGAAATTTGAATTTCTTGCTCAAATTGCGACAAAAATGACAAAAATTCCGGATCTTCTTGCGGAATTTCCGTACTTTTTCGGTACTTCCGGACCACCTTTCAAAAATCAGTACTATTTCCCGACTTTCCGGAAATTCCAAACTTGTAGACACTCTGGAGTTTCATGAAGGAGATCGGAAAAGAGACGAGGGACTTTCTTCAGGGCGTCTAATTTTTTTTCGCATTTTGGGAAATCCTGCTTTTCCTGATTTTTGACCGCTAGATCCCGATTTCATAATTTTTCCGAAACCTGATTTTTGTGAATTTGAATTTTGGCGAACGTAACTTCACAAAATAAAAAATGACTCGATAAGAAAATCCGATCGGACGGCCGTCTTTTCTCAAATCCTGATTTAACGACCGATTTTTCCTTAAATCCTGATGAAGTCGGGAAAATCGAGAAAATCCTGATGCTGGACACCCTGTAGAATTTCGGCAGCTATGAAGCCCAACCCCCAGAAAGCGCTTTGCGCCACTTTTTTGTGGGAAACCGTCACGGTAAAAGAAACCCATGAGGGGAAATGTGAGAGGAATATGCTCTCCTCTTTCTGAACTGTAATAAACTGACTGGTCTTGAAATTAGGACGAAAATTGCCAATTATAGGGTTCATTTCGTCAAATTTTAAAGGTGAAGGGGCGAATTTCAAGTTAAACATAACAATAAGACCCACGAAACTACTTTGAAGCCTTGTAGCAACCAAGTTAAAAGCTTTAGAAGTCTCTACACTTCGTCCGACTTCCGACATTGACTCGTTCCATTGCGCGGCGTCGCGCTGATGGCGCTGCGCGTTTCCTATATTTCCAGTATCGTTGCCAGACAGATATTGCTGAAAAATCAGTTCTTTCCCTGTTTAACACCGTGAAAAATATCACCACTTTATCGCGCGACCTGGCAACCTTCATTTCCAGATACAGCCACTTCCTGGCTAATTCGAGTGTTTTCACTCCGGCTTGATAGGAAGCAGATCCTCCCGAGCCCCCCCCCCCCCCCCCCCNGGCAGATCCAGATTTTATTCATTCTTGTCGGAGCACCTGACCCCACCAAAAATCGATACATTTCCATAGGTTTAAATGAAGAAAGGACGATGTTGCCAATTTTCTGGATCCGCCAATCAGGATGTCTACTAAAACAGCCCTGGCCAAAAATCAGTACTTTTGCAGTACATTTTCAGTGCATTCCCAAAAATTCAGTACCTCCTCAAAAGAAAAATTCAGTACTTTTTCGATACCTCCAATTAACGAAAAATTTCAAAAATTTGAATACCTCGCTCAAATTGCGACAAAAATGACAAAAATTCAGGTTTTTCTTGTAGAATTTCTGCACTTTTTCAGTACTTTCGGACAGCCCTTAAAAAATCAGTACTATTTCCGGATTTTCTGGACTTTGTAGACACCCTGGAACCAAACACTGAAATTAACCGAAATTTTTGGTCACAGGCACTGAACTCCGGTTCGGTTTCTATGACCGGAAACTTAGACAAGTGCCAATAATCTACTCTCGTGCGGAGAAAATTGACGATTGACAAGAGCGTAAAAAGAACATCAAGCATGTTCGACGATGAATGATTGACGCGAGGAGGATTCGAAGAATCAGGTAAGGCAATTCCTCGCGGTTGACTCACGAAATCTTGGAAGATCTTAAAGACCACTGAACTTACAATTAGCGGGAGGGGCGCAGAGTACGAGCTGTTTACGATGCGAGCTATGGGCATAGCTCCATGATTGACATAGCTTATATTTAGTATAGCCAATGGAGTCTAAATCTCGCCGTGCTTAAAAATGCGTTCTGCGTCAGAATTACCAGCCTCGAAGCTCGAACGCTGCACTGAATACATAGCCGCAACTGCAGTGCATCCCGCAAGGCTAAAAATCCATAACGCATTATACCATTAACGCATTCATGGATACTGACTATTCAGCTTCGGCTGAATAGTCTCGAAAATGCGAGTAGAGCTGTGCGAAATTTGCACGTCACCACCGCAGCGGGTGGGTCATTTGGACCTATTTATGTTTCTTTTTTTTGGGGGGGGGGGGAGAGGATTAACACTGGAAAAAGAAAAAAAACACCTTGGATCTAGAGTCCAGACTCTTGAAAACATTGAAAAGAAAAAGGACTCTTAATTCAATCAGATTTAAGCTTAAATCAAAAGGAAATCCGCTCAAATTAAGAGGCTTGGTTCTTGATTTCGACTTCAATCTGATTGAATCGAATCGAGAGTATTTTTTCTTGTCGATGTTTTTAAGAGTCTGGACTCTGGATCCAGTGTGTTTTTTTTCCAGTGAAGTCTTCTTTACACCCACTTTTTTTAGATTTTACCTTCTCGTGTTCTTTTACTGTCGGGCCTCATACTTTGTGGATCTTCATCCTCCTCGACAAACAAACAAAAAACCGCCGATCTAACGAGGGGTTGCTATAGGAACCACGCGGTTTCGATTTTTTTTTTTAAGAAAAAGGGCTGGCGACAAATCCCATGGCAGCCCTCGCCGGCCGCTTCCTCCCTCGGGCGTTCACACCAATCCCCCTCGTCAGGAGTTTCCCCTCTGGAAATTGGGTCTCGCCGCGACGCGAGCCAATATCCGTGACGTCACGCGTCGATGCGCCGCCGCCGATGACCCACTGCCGCGTTCAATGACGTCACAACCGACGCCGCTCGATAGCCCCGTGACGTCACTATTGCCTGCGTTGCCTTTTCGCGCGGTGAATCCGTCTGATCTGCGCCCTTGTCGATGGAAAAAATAGGAGCTCTGGGGGCTCCGCGCGCAGGCGCCTAGCGTTACGAGCCCCCGCCGGCGTCCGTCGACACGATTTTAACGCCTAACGCGAGACGTAAACACGAAAACACGGGGCCGGCATCAAAGCACCTGGGACGGCTCCGTGTATGATAAACACGCTTCGTTCGAGGAACGAATTTTTACAACGAATTGGATGTCGCGGAAAATAGAATAGTTTAACAGGAATTAGCCTAACTATATTTCACGTTGCCAAATTTCCTCTCATTCCCTTTGTTTTCAGCAGAAAGCTGAACAACAAAATGCCTACACTGAAAAAAAACACATATTGGATCTAGAGTCCAGACTCTTAAAAACATCGACAAGAAAAAATACTCTTGATTCAATCAGAATCTAGCTTAAATTAAGAACCGAGCCTCTTAATTTGAGCGGATTTCGTTTTGATTTAAGCTTAAATCTGATTGAATCAAGAGTCCTTTTTCTTGACAATGTTTTCAATAGTCTGGACTCTAGATCCAATGTGTTTTTTTTTTTTTTCCAGTGTATTTTTAGTCTCAGGATCGAATTAGCGTTTTTTTTTTAAAAAAAAATACTAACGTTGGTTTTCGCCGGCATCGGTGGATTGAAGATGGAGTCGCCTGAAAACAACCGAGTAACTTCAGTAGTAGCTGTCGTTCAACTGATTATCGTGCGTTTTGGTGTGGTTAAAATAGCCCCCCCCCCCTCCCTGGATACTGCGCTCGGAAGTGAAATAATGTAGTATAGTAAGTACATTTTCTGGGAGGCACAATCTCTGAAGGCTGCGACCGAAATTAGTTGGTTTTCCTGACAATGACGTTGATGCATACTGACGTCGTTGATTCGGAGAGCGACTTCGAATACAATAGCTGCAAGTAACTCGTATCTCACAACAGATATCATGAAAATGAGTATGGTTAATGATTTCCTGTGAGGAAATATCCTCTATAGCCATCGACACCGGGAATTTTTGACTCGGTCTAAAAATTAAACGAAATTTTTGCTTTTAGGATACCATTACCATGGATTCATGACCATTGTTACCATTTCTTATTTATTTATTGCCTTACTACTTGAATTTTTCTATTTCTTTACTCAGTATTGACATACATTTTAATTTTTCTTTAAAAACTAGACCCTCTTTATGATGGGGCCTTTGGATTTATCCCCAACAATTTCTCGTTCAGTTGAGCGAAAGATTTCAAAGAGAGTGAGCAGAAAGGGCGTTCCTCCAGATAACCTTGGATTTCAATTTCCGTTTCTCCATAATTACGAGAGCTGAGATTCGCGTGGCCTATGGCGAACTTCAACTCATTAGACGGTCGCATTTAAGTAGTCGATTTTCGCCGTTGGTCACGCTGATACCAGCGCAGCAACTTTGTAGCTTTTAATTGGCTCGAGTGCTTGATGCACCACCCAGTGTTGCGAATGATCGACCATAAATATTTCCCCATTTGAATCCGTGGTAAAGAATCGATTCTTAAAGTGTTCGTTGCGAACACCCTGTTAATCGATCCTTTCCATAGGTTTAAATGGCAGATCAATCGATATATCGCAAAGCACGCCACGCCACGGGCACAACCGTTTCTAGACAAATCAACTTGCAAGCGCTCGTACGGAAAACGAAATGAATCGACACGATGCCGAAGCACAGTGGATCGAGTCAATCAGAGGTCGGACATGAACTTTTTGACTAAAACTCCAAATTTTGATGTTAATTTCGTCATTATTTAGATAAAAAGGGGTGCTTCTAGAAAAAAATTTCACGAGGAAACCAATGGGACCACTTTTAAAACCTTAAAGATTTCAATAAACAGAGCTATGGGCTTTTAAAGTTTCCAAATTTTGTCCGACCTTCTCCATCGACTCGATCTATTGTGTGACGTCTGGCGGGCGTGTTGCGAAGTCGGGCGCCTAATCGATATCGATCGACATTGATCGATACATAGCATTGTTAGGTTATGAATAAATCGATCGAAGCTAATC